GCTTGGGCTGGTCCATGAGGTCACGAAGAGTCGGAGACGACTGAACGAATGAACAACAACAACCCAACATGACCAACTTTGAATACTAGTTGATTTAGAGGGAATTGACCCAGAGTGTTGGAATTTATAGTTCACCCACAAACAACTAGCACTCTGAACTCCTTTTGCATTTTCTAATTGGACCATTCATAAAATCTAAAAACAAACAATTACTTTTTGTAAAGTTTATCCTTACCAAGTACCTAACGTTGCCTAAACTAGTAGGATTATTAAAATGGGGCAGAACCAAAATCAAATGGATAAAAGAAGTCCAGGGAGCTCTGGAGGCTGGCAAGATATCCATATATCAGACTCTTCTGATATATGTGGAAAGTTAGTTTCTGCCCAATCTATTTGAAATTTCCATATCTTCTTTCCTTCCGCTAACCAGTTCCATTTTACTTTTACCCCCCCCCTTTTTTTTTTTTTTTACATTTTCTTCTTCTTATGCTTACTTAACCATTTTCTTCTGGAACATATATATCCTCATACGGTTTCCTTGAAGTGTTTATTCTCTACATCATTGCTTAACACACCCAAAGGCAGAAGTCACTGTCACCTTGCAGTGATTATATCATGCAGAGAAATTGGTGAAAACATTCAAATGGGAAAGGTACCTTTCCTCTACTCAAAGCTGAGAGGACAGCAAGTACATGCTCACTTGATCATATTGAGAAAAGAACAAGTGAAAATCTTAGGGTCAGAAAGGCTGAAAAGATCTGGAACAGACCTCCAAAGACATTACAGAGTAGCCAAAAACCTCATTCCAAGACTCTCTAGACAGAGCCAAAGGATGCAAACAAGAAAACGTCATTTCTTTCATGGTTTTCTTCTTTCTTTCTCTCTTTGCATTGACCTCTGAACTGTTTCTCACAAAAAGCATTTGTTAGGACATATCTTTGGAAAAAAGGAGACACATAACATGAAGAGTAGAGACATCACACTGGCAACATAAATCCACATAGTTTAAGCAACGGTATTCCCTGTAGGAACTTATGGATGTGAGAGATGGACCATAAGGAAGGCTGAGCGAAGGAAGATGTGTTTGAACTGTGGTGTTGGAGGAAAATTCTGAGAGTGCCTTGGATCACGAGAAGATCCAACCAGTCCATACTTCAGGAAATAAAGCCTGACTGCTCACTGGAGGGAAGGATATTAGAGGCAAAGATGAAGTACTTTGACCACATCATGAGAAGACAGGAAAGCTTAGAGAAAACAATGATGCTGGGGAAAATGGAAGGAAAAAGGAAGAGGGGGCAACCAAGGGCAAGCTGGATGGGTGGTATCCTTGAAGTGACTAGCTTGACTCTGAAGGAGCTGGGGGTGGTGACAGCCGACAGGGAGCTCTGGCGTGGGCTGGTCCATGAGGTCACGAAGAGTCGGAAGCAACTGAACAAATAAACAACAACAAACATGCGTTCAGGGCATAGAACGAGAATAATACTGCCAATATATGGAAACCCCTTGACTTCACTCATCTGAAGATATAAAGTGTCTGTTGTTCCTGGTGGTGACCTTATATTCTGGACAAAAAGACACTTTTTGAAGGAACCATAGCATGTAGTTTCATGGTGTTGCAAATTCAAAGCAACAGAAAAGCTCAAAGACATTCTGTGCCTTCACAAGGTGTCTTGGGTTTAACAACAAGGAAATCAGAGAAGTTTGTGAAGTCACTATTTATGGAAGGTTGCTTTTTGGGTCATGTAGATTGTGTATTTCTTGAACAGCTTCAGTTATAGTAAACATCAGAGAAGGATCCAAGCATTCATGAACTACTGGTTAGATTCAGAGATAAACATCCATTCTGGGAATATATTGCATGTTAACCCAAAAAAAATGTGTATTAAAAGAGGTAGATATTCTATTTTAAGCTATCTTAATTCTTTGAATCTGTCTTCTAATTTGTCATTTGTTTTATATAACATTCAAAGACCATATTACTAACATTGTTTTAAATTTGTTAGATTGTTTAGATTGCTATAGAATCATGTGAGTTTTACAAGGTCTTTAGCTTTCTTTCCTACTCACCGCTGGTGCCTCACCAGACTAGACACCTCAGTATTGGGTAGCATTGATCTGTGACAGTTAAAGTGGAATCAAACTGCATTCATTCTACAGTGTAGATCAGTGGCTCCCAACCTATGGTCTGTGGACCACCAGTGGTCCCCAAGAACTAAAATATGGTCCGTGACCTCACCATTATTATACAGTTGCAATGAGAGCGACTGGTCTCGCAGAACCTTTTTTAGTACAGAGTCAACAAGGATATTGGGAGGGGAGAGGCTGACTACCCATGAAAGGCATGACAACAAGGCCTCATGACTGCTGTTTCTCCTCCTCCCTCCCCCCCCCCCCAAGCAGAGCCGTTCCATGTAGCACCTGGAAGTGAGGTGCCTTGGTATTTTTGTTTTTAGGCCTGTTCCTGGTGTTATTTGGGGTGCTGATTCAGAACACTATATTGGATAGACCACATCAGCTCTAGATTATTAAATATGGTTTTCTGTGGGTGAGCAGATGGCGACTACTGGACACCATATGTTCTATCAGAAACTAGGGCTGATGTGGTCTATCCAATGGTCGTTTCTGAATCAGCACCCCAAATAGCCAAACCAAATCTAAAGTTGACCAAAAACTGATTCATAACCCTTTTGGTACTAATGTTGGAGAGTGGTCCCTGGTCAAAGGGGTCCCACTGGGAACCACTGGTGTAGATGCACCCTAGGGTTTGGAAGGCAACTGAGAAGAAACTAGACAAGTGCAGAGTATATCATTGAATAGTAAAGTTAGAACTGTCCATGCCATTATATTCCTAATTTTTATGCATGGTTGTGCTAATGGTGTGATTCAAATTTCTGTTTGATAAAAAGAGGGTGAGACAAAATGACCCATGGGGCCCTATTTGGAGAAGAAAGCACCAAGAGACAATTTAGAAAGTTCAAAGAGGACTGTCAAGGCAATTATGAAAGCACAGAAATGTATGAGCAAAGAAACCTGAAAGAACTTCTGAAAAGACATCCCTTCCTGGGTCTGATACAAAAGCGGTTAGGAAAAAAACAAAAAACATTTCATTACATACCAGTATTCATGCTTAATTTTATAGTCATTTCTTGTTATACGGATTTTTTCCTGATGAATATATATAGTGGGGTTGTTCTATAATGATACAGTGCTATTTTTCATAGCCAACCAACAGATCTTTTATGTAAATACACAAGGCTATAAATTCCTGTTCAAGTTGCTATACTTTGGAAAGAACAGAACTTTATAAAATTATTTTCCATTCTGCAGAATGCCCAAATTAAAGGTTGATTGATTTCCTATATTTTTGAGGGATTGTTTATACATTATTGGGGAGTGTTCGGGAGGGAGGTGGGGGAGGGGGGGACGGGAAGGGTGTGTATCGAAGATGCAAAAGTGCAGGTGCCAAACCACGTGGGTGGGAAATAAGTCGGGTGTTGGTGAACAAGTGGGGGTACGTAAAGATATAGTGTGAAAAGCGATAGAATGATGCGAAGTTAAGTCGAGGAAAATAGAATTTTGAAGTTTACTGGTTTCGTGAACAAAAGTAGCGTTGGAACTTAAAAAAATTATTTCTGGGTAACCGTAAGAATAAAAGGAATTTTATAATACAACTAAAAAGGAAGGACAAAGATATGAGGTGAGGGAAAAGACTTGAATGGAGAAAAAGGAATTACCCTGTAATTTTAATGTATTCGAATTTTAACCCGTGTGGTCGGTGATACTGCTATAAATAATTATTTGTACATAAATAAAAATTATCTAAAGAAATTATTATATTAACGAACTAAATTTAAAAAATATGTCGAATTAATATAATTCTACCATAAAAATCTTTATCTAAAAGATTTAATACTTTAGTATCTGAAATAATAAAAAGGCAACCCCAACCCTCTATGGTTCCTTGGCAGCAAATCAAGCCTGAACTCTCCCCCGAAGAAGAAGGAAGAAGAACGAAGAAACCAAGGATGACAAACTGGAAACTGCGTATTTTACTTTGGCATTATCACGTTGAGGGGGTAAAAGGAAAGGAAGACATCGCTTAGGAAGACAAAAAAAAAAAGAGGGGGAAAGGGAAAGAAATGAGAGTTGTAGTAGTTATTAATTTTTTATTTTTTTTTTATAAATTTAAATGTTAAAAATTAGTATTCGAAAATAGAAAAAAAAAATAGAAAAAAAAAAAAAGAAGAGGAAGAAGAACCCAGACCACATTACAAGTGGATAGATTCAGTAAGTGGGAAACCATGGCCAGGAGTGTACAGAGCCTGCAGGTGGATAGATTCAGTTAAGGAAACCATGGCCCAGAGTATGCAAAACTTGACTGGAGCCAATGATAATAGGGTGACTTGGAGGCTGTCATTCATAGGGTTGCCACGAATCCAAGTTGACAATAACAACGTAAAATTCTGGTTCCTGTGTCACTGAATGGGATGCACATAAGCTGTATGAGGGGAAATAAAAACTTCCAATAGAAAGAAGATCACAATGAAATAGGACACTAAATATATTATTAAATCAATCACAATGTTCATCACAATCTAGCAGCTAGTACTTGAATGATATCTTGTCACCAAAACCAGAGTTTGCATAAATAAATTTGCATCAGAGATATTAATAGAGTGGAGAAATTGTAACTATCTCACATTGATATGCTAAATAACTTTAATAGCAAACCCAAAAGTCAGGGAACAAATAAATATAACATGTCTTGACCCCCTTGGCATTATTTCATTGAATGATGAAACGTAATTCACAAAATTAATTAGTAGTTTATTCTTGTAACTTTGAAGAATTTTTTTTCCCAACAATTCTTAAAACAGATTCATTTTTTTCCCTTTATTTTTTCTTTTTAGTCTAAAAATAGGAAAAACTTTATGTCTAGGTGGTGCACAATATATGAAGAACCACCAATGGAAGGGAAACATGTAGTGTTCAATTAACATTTTGACTGGACGCAGTTTAATCCATGCTATCAACACTCTCACGACGACTTTTTTTCCACTTATGTAAAACATATAATGTTATGCCAGCAATAACACACAATACAGCAACACATACTATGATCACAGAGGCACGTGAGGAAGTAGGAGTAGGAGGCGCTGCACGAAGGAGCAGAGTGGCCCTTGCAATATTGGATACTTCCCCAATATTGTTGTTTTCATCAATGGCACGAATGGCAAAGTAGAGTAAGGTGCCATTTTCTTTTGTGAGATCATCTGGCTTATACCGAAAGGTCTGTTTGACTCCAGAAAATTCAGGTATCAGAGCAGAAGTGTCCAAAGAAGTGGCACTAGGAAAGTTAATCTCTACTAAGTCCAGTGGGTTTGAACTGACTTTTATTTCATATCTGTCAGCTGAAAAACATGGGAGAGATGACACATTCACATTAGGCTACATGAACTAAATCGTGACTCTAAATCCGAGGTGTCAAACTTGCGGCCCTCCAGATGTTTGGGCCTTCAACTCCCAGAAGTCCTGGCCACTTTATCCAATTGCCAACACATCTGGAGGGCCACAAGTCTGACACCACTGCTCTAAGCAAACTGTGAAATAATAGTAGTACTGTATTTCCCAAAAAATAAGGCCGGGTCTTATATTAATTTTTGCTCCAAAAGATTAGGGCTTATTTTCAGGGGATAGCTTTCTTTTTCGTGTACACCAATCTACCTTTATTCATGTCCAACAATCTATATTCATGTCACTTTCTTCTGGAACACAGTTGTAATATTCTAGCAATAATATCTATATTGAATTTTATATAATAATAATATTTTATAATTCAATATGTCTCTTGTGTGTTGCAATGGATGTACTACCAGTAATTGGCAATTTTAACTGGATCTTATTTTTGGGGGTAGGGCGTATTTTCAGGGAAACAGGGTAGTAGTTTCCCTGCAAGCCCTTAAAATAAAACTTACCGGGCTGTCATAACTCCTCCCTAGAAGGCCTCCTGGAGTGTAGAAATGATGTGCCAGGAGTTTGGGGGGGGGGGGGGGTTAGTCCACTTGAGAAACTGCAAGTCGCTTCTGGTGTGAGAAAATTGGCCGTCTGCAACAACGTTGCCCAGGGGACACCCAGATGTTTTGATGTTTTATCATCCTGTGGGAGGCTTCCCTCATGCATGCCAGGAGATCGGGGGCCAGGAGGGATTTGGGGCCCCCAGCCTCCTGGCACGTCATTTCTATACCCAAAGAAATGAGATGGGAAATGGGGACTGATCCCTGGGTAGTCACAAGATTACCTGTGAGTGAGTCCCAACAGGCCCCATTCCCCATTAGACCCAGGTCTTTCAGGAAGGCCTGGGTCTAATGCGGTATCAAATTCATTCGGGATAAAGCAGGGTTTACCTGCTTTGTCCCGAATTAACTCTCTTTTACTGGAGGGGTCATTTGGATGCCCCCAGTAAAAGTCTGACAGGGCCCGCATTTTGGGCCCTGTCTGGAAGGGCTCCAGGTCTCCATTCAGATGGAAATGATTTTGTTGTTGTGGAATCGACCTATATCTGCCTCTGGCTAACATGTTCTCTAACTGTGAATTCAGGAGACACCACCATGCAGCATAAAAAAAATGCACCTAGACAGCCAAACAATAGTAACAAATGCCTCAAAAAGAAAGAATGAAAGACAAGAACCCTGAATTTAACTGTGGGATGGAACCACTTTGCCATCTACTAAAACAAGTGAGGGCATTGTTAGCAGGTCTGAAGGACTATAATTTTTGTCAAAGGAACCCACCATAAGGTGCAAACCTCCTCATCCCTACCTAATTGTCAAAGAACACTGAAAACCAAAGCCAAAAATTCTGTTTCAGAAATAGTTCTTTTCAGCTTTAACATAATTGCCTCTTCTATTACCAGAAAACCACAACTACTAGAGTACAATTTTCTTTATTTTACTTAAAATTTTAGTTTTGTGTATGTGTGTGGTACTAGTGTTGATGGGTTGTTCATCCCCATCCCACAGTAAATCCAACTTTCCTTGCAAGTAACACTGGACCAACTTGAAGATTGATATCTATTACATTATTATTGTTGTTGTTGATGTATAATAACAATTATCATCATTACCATCATCACCATCATCATCTGACTTTCTCTCTCTCTCTCTCTCTCAAAAAAGGAGATCCACAGTGGCTCACAATAATACCAAGGACAGGCAGCCCCCAAGTGTGAGACAACAGAAAGTGAGAGAAATGTACACCTCAGAAGGGAAATTCACTCCTGAAAGAGTTATCACGGGGAAAGGGTGTCTCCACTGAAGCTTTATCACCAATCTTTGTTTCCACAACAAGCTATTTTTTTCAAAATCCAATTCCCACAGGGACAGAAAGTGGGGTGAAATTTTCTCAAGAGGGGCACAGACAGCAAAACAAACACCACATGGGTGTTAACCCTTCCCTATGCTATCCAAAAGCCTTTGTGTGTGAGTGTATGTATTTGTCTGGAGTTACACTTAAAAATGTAACTGTTCCGACTTATATACAAATTCAACTTAAGAACAAACCCGCAGAACCTATCTTGTTGATAATTTGGGGACTGCCTGTACATTACAGCTAAAACTTAAAAATTTCAGTTAAAACTACAGCAACATTATAATACTACTCTTAATGTTAAGGAAATTGGATAATTAATGTTAATAGAACTAAAAACAGTATTTCCTCTTTATACTGCAGAAAAGTCAATCTGTTGAACTGATGGGCTCATAAGTTCAACCGTTCAAATCAGAATTATACATACCTTGTCCAAAATCATAATCATCCCCAGGGGCTGTCCAAGTCAAGACGAATTCCTCATCCTCATTGTATATCACTTCAAGGTCGGTGATTTTATTTGGTGGAAAGACATCTATGTATGTTCCTCCGCCACCTCCTCCTCCTCCGCCACCTCCTCCTCCTCCGCCACCTCCTCCACCACCTCCTCCTCCACCACCTCCTCCACCACACCTCCTCTCCTCCGCCACCCCCTCCTCCTCCACCTCCTCCTCCACCACCTCCTCCTCCTCTTCCAGGAGTAACACCTCCTCCTCCAGGAGGAACAACTCCTCCTCCAGGAGGAACACCTCCTCCTCCAGGAGGAACACCTGTTACAATAAAACTACCTCCTGATACTACTCTGTCAAAATTTCCTAGGCCGGGAGTGGGTGTCGTATCATTCATTACAGGTCTTGGTGGATTCAGACTCACTGCACCTGTGTGAAAAAATGGAAAAACCTTCATTTTTGTGCTTGATTATTTCCTTTCATGAATTTTTTTGGATAATGCCAGTTCTTAAATGCCAACTTTTGTTATATTTTGCCTCCCTGCCAAAACGTTAATTCTTCAAAAGCATTACTAATGATAATGATGAACTAGTCTTATATCTTATTATTGAATATGTTATTATACATTTATTTCCCACATACTTAAAATGTCAGAACAAATGCTACTGCTCCTTTCATTTTTGTAAAATATTTGAAGCTGTGAATCTCCACATGATGAGAAGTTTCTATGGAAGTAGAAGATGAGTGGAAATCAATTTAAAAACACATGCAGAACCACTGAACCTCTTAAATAAGTCCATGACTGTAACATGTCAAGCTTATTTCCAAAAGTATGTGTAATCCTGCATATCTTTTGCACTCTTCTAGTGGCTGTAGCTGAAACATTCATTTAGCTATATTGCTCATGTTAAAAATGTTCTCAGGTAACTGTGCACCAAGAACTCCCCAAAAATTTAGGAACCCTTGCTCAAACCTTGCAACCCCCCCCCCCATTTTGATGAAATAACTAAAAATTTGCTAACAGAGACACTCAAAAACAGTGATAAACGTGTCATGAAATATAGTATGATGATTAGTCAGAAGTATTAAGTTTTCATGCAGCAGTACTAAAAATGTTTTATTTATTTTCATTTTAGTTTGTGAAAAAATATTTTAAAATGAACTTCTCATTTACCCCATTCTGATAAATGTTTCTCCTTTATTATCCATTTTAAACCTAAGTCGCTGAAAACCGTTTTTAATAGAGATAACATTTGGCTTAAATGGGTTTTGTGCAGAGGCAATTCCAAGCAGTTCCCCAGGTGATGAACATCTGACTTAGGTATACCTGACCTTGTATACCAATGGGCCTGTCTCTTCCTCACTGCCACAAAATCTCCGTGCTGAGTGAAAGCTTGTCTGTAACTTTCCCTCCTTTTCCTTTCCTTTGTGTCTGTATCTCTCCCCTTCTTCCATTTCTTCATGTCTGTTTCTCTCCCTACCTTTTTCCTTTGTGTCTGTATCTTTCCCATTTCACCATTTCCTTCATGTCTGTATCTCTCCCCACTTTTCCCTTCCCTTCGTGTCTGTATCTCTCGCCTCTTCCCTGTCCTTCATGTCTGCATCTTTTCCCCATTTCCTTTCTTTCATGTCTAACACCGATTTAATTGTCTGGGCTCAATGCTATGCAATCCTGGGATTCTGTAACATTGAACCAGGGCAGTTAAATTCATTTTACAATATGATGTACCTCAAGGAAGCTGAGGCCGAAGGCACTTCCAGACAGCATCAAAATGCAGGACAAATAAGTGGAACAAAAAATCACAGAACCTGACAGCAAGTCCAAACACAGTCCTGTCGGTCCCAGTAAATGGTCCTCCGCTGTCTTGACACCTTTGTTTGTAGCAGATTTTGGAAATCTGAAATGTGGATGGAGATATCCAGTGGAAGTTTTTTTAAAAAAAATGATTCTCCAAGATGCTCTGGACCTCATATGTGCTCATGCAGATATCTCAATGTACACACAAGCAAATTGCTTATGATTTCTCTTCATCCAATGTAATTGCAAACTCTGATTAATTTCATAAAGATCAGAACAAAGGAATCCTTGCAGGGAGTTCTCGTTGTAATTGTTTTTCATTTGTACTTCCATTTAGCCACCTGTGTGTCCATGGCTCCAATTATTTACAGCCCAGATCACCTGTTTCAGGATGTTAAAATATGCACATGCACTGGAGTACTCCACACCAGGGTATACGAACAAACTTGTGAGCTTTCCTTGACTGCAGGGATATACAGTCATGCGAATATGCACATTTGTCGTCCGAATCAGGTTTTAAACACACATTTTTAACACATGTTTTTCAGATGTTAATCCGAATCAGCATACGTATTACTGAAACATCCTTTCGTCATCCCACTTTCTTCCACATTTTAAGGGCATGTGTAAAGGGCCCTAAATAAATAGGTGAGGCTCTCAATTGCTGGAAGCTTTGGTGTTCTAACACTTTTATTTTTAAAGAAAGAATTCTACACATGCAGCAACTATAATGCACCTCTTTTGGCACTTTTTGCCACTGAGCATTATACTTTGGGGGATGATGAAGTTTCTTGAGCTCCATCATCCCCTTGTGCATCAGGCTTCTTCCAACTTACATAAAAATTCAATTTAAGAATGAACCTATAGAACCTAACTTGTCTGTAATCCAAGGACTGCCTGCACACATCGTGCCCAGGACCTAGAGCCAGATCTCCAAACTCCTGGATATATAGTCATTGTGCCATAGGTTGTTTGTTAGGTTGTTTTGCACAGAGCTATACAGTATTTGATATTTATAATAATTGTTATATGTCTCATGTTTTGTGTTTATTTACAATACAAGGAGTCCAGTCAAAAGCTATTCCTCAGATCTAAAAAATGCCACACTTACTCTCTTCAAGTGCTGGAGTTCAGAGATGATCAAAGACTCACTGTTAGACTTAAGCTACTTGTTCTTTTATACAGATTTGTATCAAGCTTGCTTCTCTTTTTACAACAATATCCCATCATCTTCACATGTACTAATATGAATAATTCCTTATGTGTTTTTAATTGTTATTAAAACACATTATTTTTTCATTGGATTTTTAAAAATCTATTTGTGCTATTACTTTTTCTTTATTAACATTTCATGTATTGGCTTTCCTAACCTCTTACTGCTTATCACTTGCAAGTTACATTTCAGATTGTAAGTCTAAAGTCCACATACTCAGCTGCAGAAAAAGTTCAAGTAACAAACACTGGCGATTCATAAATTCCAAATATTTCTTTTTCATAATCAGTAACTACATTAAAGTCACTACTCCGTACTGCAGCACCTTCTTGACAAGATCAACCAGATTCCCCTTTTCATTTATTAATGGAACCACACTGAGGGCCTGCCCAGACTGTACCTTCATCCCAGGAGTTCCTGCTTCAAACTGGAGGGTGGCCAAACAATGTCCCCTGAAAATGTGGGAACAATTGCTACAAAGCCCAAAAATTGCAAGATTTTCGGGTGTGGGAATATCCCAGTTCTGGCCAGAAAATGTATGTCCCTACACTCAGAAAATACGGGATTTTTTTATATTGGGTTTGTTCCTGGGTTATACATGTCGCTTCCTGGTTGGTTGTATTCTAAAAACGTGGCAAACGTTGACTAGATGATGAAAACTTTCTCCTTGCAAGAGAAACTCCACATATTTAATGACGTTTGTGGCTCACAAACAAAGGTTTTGCCTTGTAATCAACTTTCCCCATGTTTTTATGATAAAATCAATGAGGAACAGACATGTATAACCCAAGAACATCACCCTGTTGCTCCATGCCACAAGTACACCATAAAACCTGTCTGCACAGATGGCCAGGCAGTCTCTAAAAATGGTGATAATGACTAAGTTCTATTCCTGGCTTGAAAGTGTGTGTTTCAGTTCGATTGTGTAGTACTGCCTTCAATAGTAGTGGTCCTACTCCAGAAACTTTGTTTGTGTGCCAGAAACTCAATTAAACATGCAGATAGCAACTTTGTCTTGTCAGGACAAGGTTGTCACCCTGTAGTCAACGTTGTAACATCTATCATGAACAGACATGTATAACCAGGAACAGCACCCCATAGTTCCCAGGCACAAGTGCATGGCCCCACTTGTCTACACAGATGGCCACCCAGGCTATATAACCCAGGAACTGAACGTATACAATGAGTCGCATATTCAAATCTTAATTTTTTTAAATAAACTGCTGAAATTTCCAACGGATGTCCTGCAACGGAAATCTTAGAGGTTGCAAAATCCCAGGACAAAGCAGCAAGTGTGGACGATGGAGGCAGAAATCCTAGGACTAGCAGGTCTGTATGTGGACCTCTTCTCAGGTTCGGTGGGATTTTTTTATCCCTTACTAAAACCTGCAATTTGGTGCTGTCTGGAACCGCCCTAAGTTGCATCCTCACATTGGCATTCTCCATACTGGAATTTTAAATTGTAATAAATTTGATTGTGGTAATTTTACCATTTTTCTCCCTGCTTCAAAAATAACCTTGAAAATGTGCTTTTCATCATTTGGGATTTATTATGAAAGAAACCAATAATTAGGCTGTTGCAGAAATAAAGGCATGTTCTGTGCTTGTATTATATTTAAGTAGAAAAAACATTTTTTTTTCTGTGTAGGACACTTGCTTTCTATGCAGAAAATGCAATATTCTTTTTAAAGGAATCACATGCATCTTAAACAGATTAAATCATAAATGGCCAAGGTTTTCATCTATCCAGGAAACTCCTCAATAGCATTACCCCACATATGGGAAACCCAGTTTTGTCTATTACTTGACGATTTTAAAATATTCTTTCCATCTTTATCCCATGCCGCTGCTACATGGGTATGGATACTGCAGCTACATTAGCAAAAAGGGAAAGTAACTGTTTCCCACTCAATCAACATAACGTGTAACATAAAACGTTTATAAACAGTTTGTAAATCCAATTATCAATTCAGTTACAGTGCACCCATGGAACCAATGTTACTTATGTGTCCACTTACCAAATTCCCATACATTCGATGGATCTAACCAAGCTGGAACTAACAACTGAATTTATTTCAGATGTCGCTAGAGACTTCAGGGCCCATCTAGACAGCCCCTTTAATGCGGGAGTTACCACAATAAAAAGGGAGCTGTCCAGATGACATCCTGGATAAACCCGAATTAATTTGCCACAAACCAGGATAGTGGTTTGATAGTGGGTTTATTCCGTGCCTTTTTGGAAGGCACGGGATAAACCCACTACTTCCAGTGTCTGGACTGCAATCCAGACAGTAGTCCCACAGTTTTCTGTGAGGATACCAACCCCCCTCCCCAAAAAGTCCCCAAAAGCAGTGTAAAAAACAAAAGAACTTACCCAGCCTCTATTAGAGGGCTATTGGAGCGCTCCTGGCACGTACAAATGATGCACCAGGAGAAAGGGGGAGGGGAGGGAAATCGCTCCCCTCTGCTTCTCCTGGTGTGTCATTTGTATGCACCAGGAGAGCTCCAACAGCCCTCTAATAGAGGCTGGGTAAGTTCTTTTGTTTTTTACACTGCTTTTGGGGAGGGTGTTAGTGTCCAAGTGTTCTCTCAGAAGGTTCAGGGAGAATATCTGTACACCTACCACAGAAAGCATGTGTGTGGATAGAGGCTCAGGAACATCCGTGTTTTTTAAAACATGGATGCTCCTGGGATAAAGGGCTGTGTGGAAGGGCCCTCACTCAGAGATCTGCATCTACTTGGTGACTGCATTTATGATTATGATTATGTTTATCAATACCCTGCTTTCTCTCTCTAAAAAGAGAGTTAGGGACCTTCCGTATAGCCATAAAACCCAGAATATCAAGGCAGAAAATCCCACAATATCTGCTTTGAAGTGGGTTATCTGAGTACACACTTCCATATACTCCAGTTCAAAGCAGATAATGTGGGATTTTGTTTAGCTGTGTGGAAGGGGCATTACTGTAGCTTACAGTAAAATCAATACAATATAAATATAGTACAATACAAAACCTGAAATACACAAACATTAAAATAGAATTAAATGTTAATGGTATTAAAAATGAAACAGAAGCTGGGTGACTATCCATCAAGAGTGCTTTCACTGTGTGTTCCTACATGGCTGGGATTGGATGGCCATTGTGGCCCAGCTATGATTCTATGATTCTACAGCTCTTTAGGAAGGCAAAGAAGGCTGCCAAAATATTGTTTTAAACACATGTAAGAATTAGGAAAATGTTTAAGTGAAACCCCTCCAACGCATTCATTTTGGCACACTATGTTAGGAAGCACAACTAATAGGATTACAACAGACTGAGTGAATGACTGTGTAACTGTATGCTCACCCTTGTTGCAAAATCAAATCTATACAAAATTAACCAAGGAAATTGGAAAAAGAATGGCAAAAAGCCCCTGTATTTCCATAAGGATTTCATATCCTCAGAATTTCTATCGCCACCAACATCATGCTCTACAGTTTTCCTAGAATTTGGTTACTTACCAGTAGCATCTACATAACCCGATACATGCATAGCTTGACTTTGCCTACGGTTCCTTCTAGAAGTCTTGCCTTGCCCTTGAACACTCACTTTGATGCTGTATCTGCCATTGTCACTGTAAGCTATGAAATACCTTGAATAGATCCCATCATTCTTTATAATATCAGCACCTTAATACATAAAATACTGAGAATTAATAATTATCTATGTATATTTTATAGTCAAAATACCTATGTATCTATGTATGTATTTTTCAGGGTGGCTGAAACTTCCAGAGAACCCCATGACTCCTGCCAACAGTGGATCTTGGCACACAGACCTCCCATGACCAACAAAAAATACTTACAGGAGTTTGGGAGTTATAATTCACCCCACATGCAGAAAGCCTTGTGGCTCCCACCAACAGTGGATCTGGACCAAACTTGGCACACGTGCCCAGCATATGAACCCCATGAGGCTGGATCTGGGCCAAACCTGGCACCCATACTCATCATAACCATTTTAAAATATTGGTGGGGGGTTTTGGGGGGGGTGGGGTGGGGGGATTGACCCTGGATAATGGAAGCAGCAGTCCACACGCAAATCACTGGTGTGTATCTTACATCCAGAGAGCCACATGTATTTCTAATGGGACCACTCATAAAATCCAAAAACCAGATGACAATTTAAAATATTTATCATTTCAAAGAACCTAACCCAGGCATCGCTGGGTACCTAAACTAGTCTACAATAAATATCTCACTGATGGCCAGTTTTTAAACATCGTTACAGATGTATGATATGTTCATATAATGGTATCCTCCTGTTTTCAGGGAAATAAAGAGTAAATAATTGTTAGGAGTAATTTCAGAAAAGAAAAGAAAAACATTCAAAAATAGTAAAGCAGAAACAAGAGCAGTAGCAGCAATTCAGCAGATCAGAAATGTCTATTGCCAGCAGTTGAGAGATTGAGTTTAAGCAATTCAGGAGCAGAGTCAAGCTTAAAAGTTATAAAAGACGTTATTCAAAGGATCACATATCCAGTTAGGAAAATTAACAGGACCTTGCTGTCTAACTATCTAACTCACAGCAGACATTTTGTCTCTCCATGTTCACAGGAGAAGAACAAAATAAGAACAAATGGATGACTCGGGCTTGCCATGTGCTCAGAAAAAGAGGTGTGTCCCTGAAAAGTATCAGTCTAATAAGAAAGATGGGGAGGAGAGAAAGGAGGAAAGGCAGATGGAGAGGCCAATGGGAGAAGGACTTTTCCTTGTCAACAAACTCATCTGCCTATCTAAGTGAGGACTACAAGCTTGTGCCAGGACGTTTTAATAATAATAATAATAATACAAGCACTTGAAAATAAACTTACCTGCACCATCATCCAATAGCTCTAACTCTACAAGGTAACCAGTTGTGGATTCAACTGTGGCCATAACAATGGCTCCTAAAACTGGCAAAAATCCTTGGGTGACTTCTGCATAAATGATCGTTGGATTAGGAAAAGTGTTGTTAGTGTTACTCATGTAGGACTTCACAGTCACTGGAGGAACAGTGGCAGATGCAGCTCGGGTGGTGACCGTTATTGAAATGGCTTGAGGTGCTGTGTCATTATTTTTAATTGAATATGCCCATTCTCCTGTCTGTAAATCAAAGTGTTGAAATATGAAATCTTGCATGTAGAACTTCTGGAAATAGTTATTTTCCATTTATACAATCTGTCATGGCATTTTATCTGCAGCTAGCAAAGCTGCAATTCCAGCAGCTTTACAAGACATAATGTATATTTAATTTAATAACCCTTATATATAGTCATTTTTAATGACTGAATATTAAGTTAAATATACATATGTATGAATGTTCATTCAATGTATCTAAAATAAAATGGAAATAAAACCCATTTTTTACCTTTGCAGTTCCAGGAATCTTCAGCCTAGCTGTTCGGATGTTGGAATTTTCAATTATAAAGTCATTATTTTCATACTTTCTTCCTCCGGGATCTTTCAGGGAAATTTCGGGTGGACTTGTGCTTGAACTCCATGTAATCAGAAAGAAAGTGTCACTTCCCACAGTTTTATCAATAGTAAAAATACCATCTAGCAATCTCATGGAAGTGATGTCTTCTGCCTTACTTTCAAGCTGTTGGGGGTGGGGGTAGGGGGAAAGAGAAAAGGAGTGTTTTAATATAGTGGAAAAGTGAGCACACAGACATCCCCCTCATATGTGTGTATCTTTGTGTGTGGGTGTGTGTGATCAGGACATTGGCTCAGTGGACTCTATTTGCACAAATAGGTTGAAATCCAGCCCGCGGCATGCAACAGTTGGCTTTCCCTCCCCTCTTTTTTACATCTTTGCCCAGTGACAAAGGCATGTTTTGAGTGGTTTTCCCAGTACTGTGGAGCAAGTTTTTGTGGTTTGTGGACCTGAAGCAAAGAGAAGGGATTGTCCAGTTGTGCTGGATTCTGATCTACAGGCAGAAGGCTAGTTGAAACAGATATCCCACAACATTCCACCAGATATAAATGTTGGTATGGCAGCCATGAGGAGATTTGTCACAGATTCCATTTTGTCAGCACTGAAATCACATTGAATCATAGAGTTGGAAGAGACCCCAAGGGCCATCCAGTCCAACTCCCTGCCATGAAGGAAAAGCATAATTAAAGCACCTTCAACAGAGAGTCATCCAGCCTCTATTTAAAAGCCACCAAACAAGGAGCCTCTGAAGTTCTTCCTAATGTCCAGGTGGAATCATTTTCCCCTGTATTTTGAACCATTGCTCCAGGTTCTACTCTCCAGGGCAATAGAAAACAAGTCTGCTCCCGCCTCCTTATTGCATGTTTTCAATATAAAAGTTGTGATTCATTTCAGGCTTTATTCCAGACTTTATTGGCGTTCCCCAAGATGCTAAGTCTTAGGGCAGTGGTTCTCAATCTGTGGGTCCCTAGGTGTTTTGGCATACAATTCCCAGAAATCCCAGCCAGTTTACCAGCTGTTAGGATTTCTGGGAATTGAAAGCCAAAACATCTGGGGACCCACAGGTTGAGAACCACTGCCTTAGGGCCTATCCAGATAGTCCTTTAAACCGAGACCTGTCTCGGTTTTATTGCAGGCGTCCTAATGATGCCTCCAGTAAAGCCAAATTCATTTGGAACAAGGACTTATGGCACCTGGCAAGTTTTTAAAAGCTTTAAGGGGTTATTTTGGAAGGCTTTGGGTGGCTGCATGCTAAACAAAGAGCTTGCCAGATTGTTTCAAAGGCATATGCTAATTATACATTGATCTACTGCAAGAACTACACATGATAACAGTAATATGCAAAAATTAAAACAGGTGAAATCTCCAAAATGATGCATTACTGGGGTCATTTAATGATCTAAAGCACATTTCAGTATGCGCTAAAAATGTATAGCATGTCTGTTAATAGAACTGAAAAAAGCAATGGTAGCAAAAACTGGACTATGAAATTGTTGTTGTTGTTGTTGTTACGTTAGCCACATACCCTTATGGCTTGTAGTGGGGAGCTCTGGTTTAATAGTTGCTCACTATCTAGCAATTGCAAACTTGCTGCTATTTGTCATTACAGCTACCAACAAAGCCTACTTCCTTACAAATCTTTGAAATACAGACCTGAATAGATTGTTGAGTGATATCTCCACTTCCAGATGAAATCTTACTGAAAGCATCTATGAGGCCATTGGAGCTCAAACTATCTGTGGCATAAAATGTCATACCTCCTGAAATGGGATTGGAAGAATAAACAAGGTTGCAAATTAGAATAAAAGATAATATGTTTGTAGTAGTGAAATCAAAATAACTTATACAAGAATAACTGCCCTATTCTCCAGCAGCCCAGTGTTCACATCAATGGTTCTTACGTCCTGTATCTATTCCCAGTCCTCATTTCCCTCCATGTCTAGTTTAGATTGTGAATAAAGACCAGACCAATCTGTTCTTAGAAAAGCATCGGGTACGTCCTGAGCTCCCTCCCCTCTTCATTCTCTCTCTCTATCCCAACACACAGACACAAAATATCACTTCATTTCCAACTGTATCTCGTGTTGTGAGAAACTGAAAAGACCAGGCGGCATTATGAAGAATCACATAGAACAAACTCTTCCCATATTTTGGTCCATCCATGTCACCATGACTTGAGAGAAGGAGGGAAAGGTGGTCCATTGATCCCTCTTGCTTCCCTGAGATCTCAGCAGATATGCCTACAATGCTGATGAGATCAAAACAAAGCATTCACTTAAAATATCTTAAAAGGCAGACAGGCTCATTTTGAAAGAAATGGGTTTCAGGCAGTCTGGTACTTAACATTGTGATAATGAGGGTCCTTCCACACAGCCCTATATTCCAGAATACCAAGGCAGGAAATCCCACAATATCTGAGTGTGGACTTAGATAACCCAGTTCAAAGCAGATATTGTGGGATTTTCTGCCTTGATATTCTGGGTTATATGGTTGTGTGGAAGGGCCCGGAATGAATCACTTGTATCAATCTGTATCGAAAGAGTTCCACTACGTTTTTGTTCTCAGCGTCTGATGCTCATCTGTACTCTCCTTCAGCAACTGGGCATCCCATTTGGTTATTATGACTGCTAAGAATTGTTCCATGTGAGGATCAAGTGAGAAAGACATTGTGAAGTACATTGACACAATGGCCGGGTAGCAACCTACCCAGCTGGCATTAAAGAGCACAGAAGAAAAAACCTTTGATACTTGGCTTGCTCATTCACCTGTCATGTCTGCCAGCATTTCTAGATCATTTGAAGCCGCTGAACCAAAAGCAATGGTATGAATTATAGTCCCACTGTTTTGAATCTGAGAAAGACAAGGGCTTATGTCTGTACCTTCACCATTTGTCAAAAGCACAATTTCACAACCTTCTGAATTTGGATATTTTCCCGTAAATATCTAGATGAAAAAGAAGACTTAGACTTTTAGCAGTGATGGAAAAAATGTAGGAAGCTAGTTGTTAGAAAAACATTTCAACAATTTATTGCATGATGAGTTTTACGCATGAAACAAGGACGAACGAATGTGCTACTTGTAACAGATGTAATGTTTGATGAGATAGTTGAATATGATAGAATGCCAGTTTTGTTAAATTAACAACATGGAGCATTTCTCCACAGTATGGATCAGGACAGCCTTCTAAATAGCTCTTCACAAAACTGATTCCCCAGCTCTTTCTCCCTAGCTGTTCTTCTGCTACAACTCCCATAGCAGATTCCTGAAGTCTCCTGAAAGACAAGAGTCTATATGAGTGGACATCAAAATTCTCTTCACCAAGCCTGCACAAAGTGGCAGTAATAAGGGGCCGAAATTAAATAGGCTAATTCCTCAGCGTAGTGGTGAGTTGCAATCCTTTTCTGAGAAAAAGAAGTGGCTCAGCTCTTGCCTCCACTGCTCTTCCTTTCTCTTTACCTCTGGGTTGCCTCATTTGTGAGGGGAGAAACTTAGCTAATCTATGAAAACATCACAACAACTTCATAGTGAAGCTACGTCTCTCCCTCATAAGTGAGGGAAATGAACAACACAGAGTTGATGGTTTTTCCTACCGGGGGAGTAAGAAATGACAAAGGAAAAGCAGCAAAGTCAAGTTTCTCACAAGCCCTCACAAGCGCATGGTGCTGAGTTGGCAGTTTTGTCACCAGATGAAAAGGAGATAACAGAGGTGAAGTGAAAAGAAGACCAATAGAAGGAAGAACTGAGTCCCTTCTTCTTTACTACCTCATTCTCCCTCTAAACTAGTGTTTCTCAACCTTTCTATTGCTGCAACCCCATAATACAGTTCCTCATGTTGTGATCAATCCCAACTATAACATTATTTTCGTTGCTACTTCATAACTGAAATTTTGCTACTGTTATGAATCATAATGCAGGGTGTATTTTCATTCATTGGACCAAATTTGGCACAAATACCCAATACACCCAAATTTGAATACTGGTGGGGTTGGGGGGATTGATTTTGCCATTTGGGAGTTGTAGTTGCTAGGATTTATAGTTAACCTACAATCAAAGAGCATTCTGAGCTTCACCAACAATGGAGTTGAACCAAACTTGGCACACAGAACTCCCATGACCAACAAAAAATACTGGAAGGATTTGGTGGGCACTGACCTTAAGTTCACCTACATCGAGAGAGCACTGTAGACTTAAACAATGATAGATCTGGACCAAACTTGGCACAAATACTCAATATGTCCAAATGTGAACACTGGTGGAGTTTGGGTAAAATAGACCTTAACATTTGGGAGTTGTAGATGCTAGGAATTATAGTTCACCTACAATCAAAGAGAATTCTGAACTCCACCAGTAATAGAATTGGGCCAAACTTCCCACATAGAACTCCCCTGCCTTGAAGGGACTCGCTGGCGCAAGCCTCCCTCTCACCTCACATGCTCTCCTTTGCCTACATATGCACACCATGCTGCCATGCACCAAGCACGCCTTCTCTCTCCTCCCCACTTGGAGTCTCAAAAACAGCCTCCCCCTTGGCAAAGAGTGGGGGAGGGCTTTAGGTGGGAGTATTCACTGTCTGTTCCCAAAAAGGAAGAGAAGGACAGGTGAAGAGATCTTCAGCCTTCTCTGCCAAAGAGGTTCCTAAAGCCATCAGAAGTATGTGTTTTGCAAATTGCTACTCTGCTGTTGTGCTGCATGTGACCTCCCTCCTAAGGCTGAGGCTCAGAGCCTCTGCAGGCTGCATCCAATCCAGCCCCCAAGCCACATGTTGTGCACAACTGCCTTTCAACAACATACTAAAAAAGAGAGAATCACTACTGCTGGAAACACACAGGGATATTCTATGTCTCTTTCAGTCAGCCTTCATAGATTAGGATGCAGTTGCCAGGCTTTAAAATTCCCTTGAGTGCTCTCCCTTGGGTTCACCTATTTGGTAGAAGTGAAATGTATGTGGAGCTTGCAAAAATTCCTTTGCAGTAAGGTGCGATGTACCCAATGCTTTTGAAAAAAAAGTCCACCTTCACCTGAAATCCTGAAGTCACTCCCTCACATATGTTACTATCTCCAGTGGCTGTGTTAGGAAGAGAGCTTGTAAGACTTTCGCGCACATTGTCATTGACAACCTGTTGCAACCTGGCATTGATATTTGCTTTGGTATTGAATGTTATAATTCCAACCCAGGATCCTTTTTCAATGATCTGGAGAAGAAATAGTTTTGCAGCTTGGTTCATCCGATCAAGGCGATTGTTCTGCATTGGAGGGTAGGGGTGTGTGCATAAGATAAAATTAATTAAATTTAGAAATTCCATAAACAGTATGTATATTCTACATAATTTTACCCATGTTGCAATTTGAGGCAAAAACCAATGTGGAACGCTTTTCCAATATAGTATCTTCATTGCTTTGCTCATTACATTCTCTCTAGTCTATTGTCCTTATCAGTCACATTTAAGAATGTAGCTAGTGGCTCCTGTATCAGTGGAATGGAGTCATTAGCCTTTATTGGTTGGTACACTTCACGTTACACACACAGAAAGATATGTGGCCACTTTCCAACAATGTACACCTTCAAAAGAGTGGCTGCTGGTGGCTTCTATGACAGTGGAGTGGGAAATCTGCCTTATGTTTTAGGGCCCTTACACACTGCCCTTTATCCCAGATTATCTGCTCTAAACTGGAATATATGACTCTCCACTGCCAGATAACCTGGGATAAGATCCTGGGATATAGGGGCAGTGTGGAAGGGCCCTTAGTTTGGACTTTTACAAGACATCCATTAAAGTATCTATTAATGTTGCAAAGCCCTCTTTCTCTCTATTCTTCAAAGATCAGTGCTTTGAACTGTTAATATTAGGCAGTCACCAAGTTACGGACAAGATAGGTTCTGTTAAGTCTGATCATAAGTTGAATTTGTATGTAAGATGGAACAGGTCAATTTTTAAGTCTATTTCCATATATATATATATATATATACACACACACACACATACACCTTTATCCGATTTGTCATTGATCCGCTCCTTTGGGCTTCACGCAAATCTATGATCCTGTCTAGCTGAATAGCTGAAATTCAGATAATATTTTGACTTTGGTATTTTAGTAATTAAATTTTGTGGCAGTGTTGTTCGGGCTGCTAGCCCTTATGTCCTTATAGCTGCTTGTCCTTCCGTCAGTTCCGAGGTTCAATCCCAACTACTGATGGACAAGACACAAATAAGCTGTGTCTTGCCTGTGTCTTAGAACTTCCCTATGCACTTTGGATAGCACAGGGAAGTGTTAGCAATCATGTTGTGCTTGTTTTGCTACCTGTGCCCTGTTCAAAAGAATTCACCTCACTTTCTGTCCCTGTGATAACTTGTGAAAACAAGGACTGATAATAAAACTCCAATAAAGAAACCTTTTTCCCATGATAACTCTTTCAGGAGTAAATTTCCTTTCTGAGGGGTAGATTTCTCTCAGTTCCTGTTGTCTCACCCCGTTCTTAACTATGAGTTGGTGTAAGTCGGACGTTTGTAACTCAGGGAAGCACCTTTGATCTGGTTCTTAAACATCAAAAGGTACTTTCAATGAAATATTTTTCTCCTGTGTTGCTTCTGAATTCTATTGGGAGAGATCTGGGGCACCTAATACTCATGGGCAGATGTTCCCACCGCATCCTAGGGACTCTTCTTTCCTCCTGCCCCACAAATCTTCTGACAATAAAGCAGTTTGCCTTTTACTCATAAATGAGGTTTGCAAATATTCAACCAGAGAAATCAGCCATAGTAGAGCACCTGATGAACCAACCTGGACACAGCATATTATTTGAGAACACAGAAATGCTGGACCACTCTCACAACCACCATGTCAGACTACACAGAGAAGCCATTGAAATCCACAAGCATGTGGACAATTTCAACAGAAAGGAAGAGACCATGAAAATGAACAAAATCTTGCTACCAGTATTAAAAAAACTCTAAAATTGCAACAGCACAACCAGAGAGAGGAGGCAGGCAAGGACATCTAATTACCTCTCAACAAAAGTTTGCTCCAAGCACAGTCAGCCCATTGTATGCTAATCAAGGTGGTCAGTTGAAACATTCACACCTAGCTCCAGCAGACAAAAGTCCTTTGTCTTACCCTGGTCATTCCACAGATATATAAACCCCTTTTCCTAGTTCCAACAGACCTCACAACCTCTGAGGATGCTTTCCATAGATGCAGGCGAAACGTCAGGAGAGAATGCCTCTAGACCATGGCCATACAGCCCGAAAAAACCTACAACAATCCAAATATTCTAGCTGTTTATTACCAAAGAGCTGGATCATTTATTTTACCCATTTGGTATCAGAGGCACCTTTAGAGGAAAGAAATAAGAAAGTCACCTCTGAGTATTCTTTAGAGAAGAAACCCTATGAACTTCATGGTGTCACCATAATGCAACATGTGACTTGAAGGCACATGCACACATGCAACATCACTGGGTTGATATCCTTAGAACCAGTGGTTGATGTTGGCTGACATATCTAAACGTTACTTTAAAGGAGGTAGCCATAGTGACAATACTATTTGGGAAATGACATTTAGCACATGTTTGGGAAATTTAGCACCTTGAATAGCTTTAAATTTTAGGCTAAATCTGGTGGACTCACTACTCGACTAAGATGGAAACCAGCGCCTGCTATTGCCTAGGACAACTCTTTTATACATATCCATCACTGTATCCAGAATTGCAAATCTAATCAGATACAGAAACAGTAGCCTCAAATAACGGGAGACAAACTTACCCGTCCCATAGCCGCAGAAGCATCAAGTACTAGACAAAGTGCTCTCTCCTGCATTTTCATCAAATGAATTACAGGGTCAGGAGGAGGAGCACCTAATGGACGTGAACTGGCAAAATCAGCGGAGCTCGTAATCACTTCCCATGTGCTTTTGTAGCTGCACATTTTGTTCTGCATGTTTGGCGCCATAAGGTTATGATTGCTTTTGTCACAAAACTGAGATACCTAGAGGAAAAAAGAGTAGGGCATGATTGCAGGATCATTAGTTAAAAACAACTGTTCCCATTTTATAAAATAATAGTACAAATATGGAAAATCTGTGCCACACAAACAAGCTATAGAGACTCTGTGGATTTTTAGTTTGAAATATGCTATGTCCTCAGTCATATAAAATATAAAATGTTCCAGTTTACCTAAAGTTCTGAAATCCCACAAAAAAACTACCTCAAAAAAAGAGAAAGAAAATGGCACAAGAAGGATGGGAGAAATCTAGGAGAAGGAACAAGAGAAAAAGGAGATGGTAAACATGACTGAATATCTGTGATTATTAATAAAAACATCTAGAGAGCTCTACTTCCAAATTTACATTAGTTGCAGAATTTCATGCTGTTGTCGCCTGAAACAATGAAACAAGATTCCATTTGGCAACGTTGGACAATATTTTGTATTTTTGAGGACAGACATTAAACTAACGAATTCCTATAGTATCCCCACAGACTGTAGTCATACTTACTGAAGACAGACTTTGCATGAACATTATTGATGCCGGCGAAATTTGCTTTTTATGAGGAATAAACAGGCATCCAGGTTCATAAAGCTCAGTCTGGTGTTCAATTCTGCATCTTCTGGTCCTGTCTCCCCTAGTTACGAATCTATATAGGCCAGTGATACTAGCTGAGCATCTGAGGAATATCAGAAAAATACAGTTATTATATACAGTCATATATAAGTTGACTCGCAAAAGTTGAGTGCATGTTTGGAGATCAAAATTAAGGGTTTTGTAATGATACGTGGATAGGTCAAGAGTGGAGAGGGGAAAACACCAATGTTGCCTCAGGGGTCCAGCTGTCCCTGGCAGCTCCTTCCATGTCCCTGCACATGTGATGCATAAATATATGATGTATGGTTTGAATGGAATTGTATGAAAGGTGTACGAATGAGGCCTAATTGGGCTGAAAACATCTAAAATATTGAGGCTTGGAAAACAAATACACTCAGAAACTGTAATTAAAAGTTGCTGAACTGCTGACATTGATGAATTGTGACAAATTATTAACTGTTGAACTTTTGGGGGGAAACATGTTTACATTATCAGATACAATGGCTCTTTAAATTAAGGAAATGTTTACAGGGTTCCTTACATTAAGAAAGAAGTTAACACAAGGCTCCTTATGTTTACCAACACCAATTAAGAAAAGTCAATATTTGCCAGGAAACTGGGGTGCCAGGATGTTTCAGGCTGGAAAAACAGCTATCAATCATTTACAACTTTGGAACAATATTAGCAAGAAATACTGCTCTATAAGAGACTTTATTACAATCCAAAAATTGTGACAGATAGCGGTGCTGTTCACCCACCATGTTCTATTGAAAGAGATGGTGTATCTTGGGAGTGTCAGATCTACTATGGGAAAGCAGGCTTCTGGACACTTGCTCCTTTTCTTAAGGAAAGAGAAAGGAGTGCAATTTTGGAGTCATGATACATTTGTTGCAGGGAGTTAGTTTCTGCTGTAGAGGAAGACAGGGATGTGGTCCTTGGCATTGTTCTTAGGGAAACAGGATGCACTTTAGAAGTTTTGAAACTGTGTGTTGGCAGGCTGCAGGGAAAGCAGGGTCTGGCCAAAGAGACGTTGATGAGTTCACCTTGAAGGTACACAACAACCATTTTTAAAATTATTGGCCAAAGCAGTTTGATGACTTTTTAAAAAACAATAATGACTCTTCTGAGAGAATTAACATAAATTGTTCGGCTTCCTTCCCTTCTTCCTCACCTTGTCCCGCCATTTCCCCCCTCTTTTTCAGTTCTCTTTTTAGTCCTCTTTTCTTTCTCTCCCACCTTGTTACATTCATACTGTTATCTGCCTATCTCTCCTTCAACACAGGGAGCAGGAAGAAAGATGAGATAAAGCAAGGAGGGAGTTGGGGCAGCAGAACAAGCTGGAGAAGAGAAAAAGTAGCAATAGGAGACCCTAATGCTACACATCAAAATTAAGCAACATTGGGAAAGGAAATAGGAACAACAGGAGGAATAAGGTTTGGGTAAAGTAAGACTCATTGATATCTATTAATTGTCCTTGAATGTCCTTAGATCCAAAATAGAATAAAAAGTAAGGTGGGGTGGGATACTAAGGGAGGGAAGATATAAGAGAAGGAGGGAGGAGACTCAAAAGAATAAAATTAAAATAATGTGTGTGCATATATCTATATAAATAAAAATGTAATGTTAGTTTGTGGGATTACCATAACTCAAAAACGACCAGACAAATTGACACCAAATTTGGACACAATACACATATCAGGCCAACAAGTGAACATCACTCATAAAAACATTGAAAAAACACAGCAGAAGACTTTAAAAGCCAAAAACTGAAAATACATTAAAACGCATGTGCAAAACCACACACATATATGTGCAAACACACATATACACAAATATATACACACATATATACGTTTGACAGGTGATGGCTAGTGTATGTATGTGTGTGTATACATATACACATATACATACATGGGAAAGGAAAAAAAGAAAGAAAAAAGGAAAAAAAAGTATGTTGACTTCCAATCGTTTTCATCCTGTTGTTGAATTTTCTCTTCTTTTCTATACAAGGCTAGCATGGCTAATTATTGTATGGTACCTTGTTGCTTCAATCTTTCTTCGTCCAATAGAATAGAAGGGTGCATCATAATTGTATTCATCAAAAACACCCCATCTGAGATGAGCCCATTCATGAACTAAGATTTTGCCTGTGAAAAACCAATAAAAACAAGCCAAAGCAGTATTATTTTTCTTGCATGTTCTCCTGCAACCCCCTTCAAAGATCTAAATAAGATGCTAACCTATACTTCAATTACTCAAGAGACAGATATTTTCAAGATAATAGCCAAAATCCTTTAAACTACTAGAATAATGAAAATTTACACAAGTGAGGTTACTCTGGATTCCAGTGTTGTGAAATACACATCATGTGCCTGTACTCACTCACTGGACAATATAATCATGTTGGCCATGAAGTAAAATGAAACAAAAAGAATAAACATAAAAATCCACAAAAGAGCGATACCTTTATTGCCCAGCTATAATGGACTTGGAAGCTTTCCAAGCTGGGCTGGCTTCTTTCTCAGGTCCAAGATAATAATAAAAATAATGTAGGGTGCATGTGTCAAGTTCCACAGTCCAAATTTGGCTTACCTTGTCATTTTATGTGGCCCTCCAGATGCTGGATTACAACTCCTGTATCATTACACATGAAGACTAGAACTGATGGGGATTGTGATACAGTAATATCTGTAAGGTTGCAGTTTGCTCTGTTTAGTCAGGATAGTGGGGTTTCAATTTAAATACAGTGATGTCTTGACTTATGATCAACCCAACTTGCGGGTTTTTTGGAGATACGAGCTGTCGCTAGTCTCGTTTTTTGCTTTGAGATATAAACGGAGATCCGGGTTATGAGCTAGATATCCCTTTCTGCAGCCTCCTTCTCCACCATCTCCCCTCCCACAAGTCCCTTTCAAACCCTCCCTTCTTTTTTTTCTCCACCTCCTCATAATACAACCACTCTTTGGATGGTCGATAATGCAAGCCTCAACGGCACTGGTCGAGGGCATCATCCTTTTCATGATGGAAGCTCAGTGTGCAGTCACACCCAAGCTGATTTACATGTCTGTTTCGCATTAACGTGTCCTAACTTTCTGTCAGCTTGAGGGATGCTGGATTGCCTTTCTGTTTGAGCAAGGAACCCCACAGAATCAATGTCCACGCTATTGTTTTCACGAAATGGTAACAATTTATTAACTGGTCCTGGGACTATGTCCACCCAGGCACTAACTTGACTTCGTCTCATATTTAAAATTTGAAAGGTAAATTATTGTACCTGCAAGTTGTGGAAGGTTTCTGAGGAGAATATATGACAGTTTTCCTTGCTCGCTGTCTCTGGTATTGTGGCCTTTAGGGCACCCAATGCCCAAGGCGTTAATTAGTTAATGGTCAACTAATTATTGGTCTAGAAATTGACTTCAAATGGCTTGTCCAAGCCTGGATCTCACTGGGACCAACTGCAGACACTTCTTACTTCCAAGATTCCCTGGTGGTCTATGATCTAAAATGGCTCCCTTTCCTTAGGCAAAGGGGTGGACAAAATGGCTGATACAAACTCCACCCACATAAAACTAACATAAAAGTGACTACTCTAAAACTGTGCGTGAGAAAGCCTGACAAAGGAACTGGAACTTATACATTTCCAGCACACTCAGATTGGATGAGTCGGGCGCCCGTTGTAAGGGAACGAGACAAACACTCTCTGTGTGCTGAGGGGTGTCTCTTTTTTCCCTCTCCACTCTGGTAGCGTCAATGGCTCCTCCTGCTACAGAGCAGTGGTGATGGCGACAGGCTTAAGTCAAAGTGGGGCCATWGWGGAGGAAAAGGAGGAAGAGAGGGGGATATTTGGGTGACTTCCTCAAGCAAAAGTGGGGGCTGGGGCGGGGGGCTGGAGCGTGTGCACGAGGCACAGGTGGCACAAGTGTTCCCTTCATCAACTGCCACTGAGGAGGAGGAAGAGGGAGGGAGGTAACAAAAAAAATGGTGTGGTTTGGGGGGAGGAATGGAATGGATTAAAAACATTTCAATTCATTCTGATGGGGAAATCTGATTTGACATACAAGCAAACTGAGTAATGAGCTTGGTCCCAGAACAAATTAAACCAATTTCTCATGGTATTATTGTACAAGGCTGGTGGATATGTCTGACTTTCATATGCCCTTTAACCTTTCTCCAGCCTTAGAGCCACAAGAACTCTTGGGTTGCAATTCCCATCATCACCAGTTCATATGGTGGATAAACAAAAAAGGATCTCAATGCAGGGAAGGATCTCAATGTAGGCAGAAGCCTTTCCCTTCTTGTGACAATGCAGGGACTGAGACAAGTTTATATGTTTTTAAACATATTTTGCCTGATGAAAAAACCGTTGGAATGTTGAAAGTGTGCATCATTGAACAATGGTTAATTAGCTCCTTCTCCCAAACTAGGCAAAAGTGTGAGAAAGAGTGATTATATGTGCTTGCAACAAGTTTGGATTCACTAGAGACCACAGATATGTAAATAATTGTACAACTATTTTTATACAAGTATAGCTGTCCAATAGGATTCTAACCAATATATGTAGTCAAGGAAAGCAAAAGGAATTGTTTGATGACTTTAGATTAAGATGTGTCATGGAAACAGCATGTGCACTATATGGACACATTCTGTTCTTATCACAAAAGTGACCTCATCATATTAGCAAGGCAAAGCATCCTGTTTCACCTGACATCACATGGGGAAAGCGTCACCATTGTGGAGAAGCCCTGTACTAGCTCCGAGGGAGCTCCATTGGAGCCAGCAGTACAGGCGAAGCCTCTTGTGTTGAAAGTGAAGCATACAGCGACGTTTCCACTTCAGTTGGAGGAGGGGCTTCCACAGGTAGCTCCTCTTCATCATCTGATAGGTGGCGTGCCCATCCAACTTCCAGCTGGAGTAGAAGAGTCGTAAGACAGAATTCTGTCTATCAATATCATGCAGAAACACCATGCTCCTAGCATCTCATGTGTGTGATGATAAGTTTGACCCAATTCTTGTTTTTTATATAGTTTGAAGACATATGACAAGGCAAATCCACTGGGCTTGAAGATTTATTTTATTTTATTTGCAGCTTGAAAATGTATTGAAGAATCAAATTATGGAATATTGCTAGTCCATGTTACATATAGGGCCCTTCCAGACAGAGCTTTATCCCAGGAGCATCGGCGTTTAAAACACACAGATGTTCCTGGAGCCCTGTCCACACTCACCCCAGAAAGCACACACTTTCTGGGCTGGGTGTACAGATGTTATTCTGGGACTGGCCCGGGAGAACATCTGGAGACTCTAAACCCCTCCCCAAAAGCCTTTAAAAATAAAAGTACTTACCAGCCTCCATTGGAGAGTTGCGGCAGTTCTCCTGGCATATATAAATGACGCGCGAAGAGAAAGGGGGGGAAGGAGCAAATCCTTCCACTGCCACCCCCCCCCCACCCCCGTTCTCCTGGCGCATCATCTCTACATGGCAGGAGAGCTCCTGCAGCTCTCTGTTGGAGGTTGGTAAGTACTGTTATTTTTAAAAGGGGGGAGCACTTTTGGGGAGGACGTTGGGATTCTTCAATACTAACTTAGTCAGGAAAACTGTGGGAATGTTGTCTGGACTGCAGTCCAGACACCGGAAGTAGTGGATTTATCCTGCACCTTCCAAAAAGGCACAGAATAAACCCACTATCTAATAAATTCGCCACAAACCAGGGTTTTCCTGGTTTATGGCGAATTAATTTGGAATTTCCAGGACGTCAACTGGACAGCCCCTTTTTAATTGCAGGAACTCCCACGTTAAAGGGGCTGTCTGGATGTGCCCTCAGTATCCTTTAGATCATGGGTCCTCAAACTAAGGCCCGAGGGCCGGATACGACCCTCCAAGTTCATTTACCTGGCCCTCGCTCAGGGTCAACCTAAGTCTGAAATGACTTGAAAGCACGTAACAACAATAACAATCCTATCTCATCAGCCAAAATCAGGTCTGCACTTCCCATTGAAATATTAATAAGTTTATATTTGTTAAAATTGTTCTTGATTTTAATTGTTGTATTGTTTTAAGGGTTTTTCTTTTTGCACTACAAATAAGATATGTGCAGTGTGCATCAGCTGGACGGCATCTAATTGTGTCGGTCTGTACGCCACCCTGCATCGTCTTCAGGCTGAAATGGACGGATAAAAATGACGTAAATTAAAAAATGATGTAAATAAATGTTTTTTTCAAATTATAATCCGGCCCTCCAACAGTTTGAGGAACTGTGACCTGGCCCTGTTTAAAAACTTTGAGGACCCCTGCTTTAGATAAAGGACTGAATGTTGGAAACGGCAACCTTCCAAGCCTGCACTAATTGTTTGAAAAATGTGCATGATTGTTAACTTATATTGTATGTACATTTTGGTTTGCCTATTTGACTGTACCTCTTTGGTGTGGGAGGGGCTTCAGACTCCATTTTGTATTTAGTATGCTTTTAGATTGATGCAGTTTGTCTCTTTTCAGACTTCAGTGAGTATATAGTTATGCAGTTTGGACTATATCTATAGGCTTAAAGACATTGGACTATGGACAAGTATGCTGAATATATACAAGAAGTTTGTTAGTACACCTGAGATATTATTTTTCACAAAAGACTATTTTGTTTTTGTCTCTTGAGTGCATATTTTGAAGAAGAGGTTTCAAGGGAGCGTATATCTTTTGGATGATTACAACTGCAAATTCTACTTCAAAGAAATACCCATACTCTACTTGGCAGTTTAAAGACATGGTTCTTCAGTTTCACAGATGAGTTACCTGTGTGTGCCACTACATGAATGATTATATCACATCATTTGTTCAAAGGGTTGACTTCTAACAAGGTCATGCTAGTGGTTTTCAAAGGATGGTCTCCATGTTCATGGAAATTCACATTTGCCAAAAGGATGTAACATCATTTTTTACTTTTTCAATAAGGTTATGGTTCACTTACTCCCAATAGGTTCTGGAATTTCCAATAACTGTAAAATGAAATTGTGTTTTCATGGCTTTCCTCATTCTGTGATTTTTTAAAAAAGAAACTTTGATTATAAGCATTTGAGCTTGAATTAAGAGATACTACCTCGTGACCCATAGACGCTGAGAAAATAGTTATCTGTCAGGAAGTCAGGGGTGAAATGAATGTAGCGTCCCTTTTGGCCACATCCTCCATACTGCAAAGTGTAAGGCTCATCTCCATATTTCTGGAAAGGTTCTGCCACTATGATATCAGCCTAAAATGAATAGAAACTGTTTTAGAGAGCACCATCAAAAGTAGATGTACAAGTAGCAGATGTCAAAGAGGAGGAGGAAGAAGACTATGATAACTATGAGCATTTGTTTAGAATTAAGTCTTGATGTGATCAGCTTATATCCAAATAAGAATCATAATGTTTGAACATAAGACGAGTCTTTCAAAATCAGGTTAAGGGTGTAAACAAAGCCAGCAACTTGTTTCATTTTAAAAGAATTAACTTTATTAAAAAGGTTTTAAAATTTACAGTAAATGATATGGAAGGAAACGGATTTTTGGAACATATGGGGTAAATTTGAGTTGATGAGTTAGTCCAGGTGGAGGTGGCACAAGAAACGGGTAAGGGATAAGAGGGGAGGGGAGAGGAAATAAAACAAATTATACTTAAGGAGATAGAAGATTGTAACCGAAGTATAAAAACAATATGCCTTAAGCAGAGAAAGTTGTAAACTAGGTTTTGCTTTTTTTTTTTTTTTAATGTCAGGAGCGATTTGGGAAACTGCAAATTGCTTCTGGTATGAGAGAATTGGCTGTCTGCAACAATGTTGCCCAGGAAACACCCGGATGTTTTATCATCCTGTGGGAGGCTTCTCTCATGTCCCCGCATGAGGAGCTGGAGCTGAGAGATGGGAGCTCAACCCACTCCAAACTTTCGGTCAGCAGTCCTGCCCGTACAAGGGTTTAACCCATTGCACTACCAGGGGCTCCTAAACTAGATGGGAAGCAACTTAGTATTATGCTTCTTTTTTTTTTTAGTTTAGCTGCTACATAAATGTTAACATTCTTAATGATTTTATGCATAAACAGTATTAAGACAATTTTTATTTTCTTTTTTAAAAAAAATACAGTGTACTTTCCCAGCTTAGATACTGTTCTCAAAATGATTAATTGTATATGGAAAAAAATTAAAATTAAAGAAGTTACATTAAAAGTTTTAAAAGCGAAGTAAAAAAAGAAATATAGAGTAGAAATATAGAGTAGAAAGCATGCTTCCCACTTACATGCTCATAGGATTCTCTGGTTGTCCTTTTATATTCAGGTTTGGATGCCCATGTTGAAGGTATTACAATTTTTATAGTCCTGAAATAAAACCTCCGTTGTGAAGCACCATAGAGATAAGAAGAAGCCTCTTCAAACATTTCCTAACAACAGATAGGGAGGGAAGGTTGTAGAGTGAATCACATCTTTGCATCTCATCCTTCTAATAGATCCCCTTTAACTTTGACAATACAAAAAAATTACACATTGCTGTCCCTGGTATCATGAAAATCGATGTGAAGGAACCATTTCTGATAGAAGCACAGGAAAGGGGAATAAAGCCAGTCATTTCAGGACTCATAGCTATTTCTACCTTCCCAACTTAAAGTATGGTGCATATGTACATACACGTTCTTAAAAATGTCTACAGTGGAAATCTGTTGTCGAAGGCTTTCATGACCGGAATCACTGGGTTGCTGTGAGTTTTATGGGCTGTATGGTCATGTTCCAGAATTATTCTCTCCTGATATTTCGTCCACATCTATGGCAGGCATCCTCAAACATTGAGGGGTCTGTTGGAAACTAGGCAAGTGAGGTTTACTGTATATATCTGTGGGATGTATATTGGGTGTCATTTTGGATTCACAGCTGACAATGGAAACTCAGGTCGCTGCTGCCAGCAAACAGGCCTTTTTCCATCTACGACAAGCGAGGCAATTGGCACCCTACCTATCTGATGAGGCTCTGGCAACAGTCATCCATGCCACAGTCACGTCTAGGCTGGACTACTGCAACACCCTGTAGTTGGCCTTTCGATGTCTACGACCCGAAAGCTCTGTATTGTTCAGAATGCGGCAACCGGGCTACTCACAAGAACACCCATGAAATGCCATATAACACCAGTGTTGTGGCATTTGCATTGGCTTCCAACGGATTACCGTGTTCTATATAAGATGCTAGTTCTGACCTTTAAAATTCTTTACAGCCAGGGTCCATCGTATCTTAGGGACCGTCTCTCATTCTCCCATCATCGGAGGTCGCAACAACCATCCCAACGTGACTTACTTTATATACCGGGTCCTAGAGAAGTGCACTTGGAAAGGACCAGACGCAGAACTTTCTGCCCCTGCCTTATGGAATTCCTTGCCGCCCTATATGAGAGCCATGCGTGAGTTAGGGCCTTTTACCCTAGCACTTAAGACCTGGCTTTTTACTAGAGCTTTTGATCTATGTTAATTTTATCAATATCTGTATGTATGTATTTTTATCCTTTACAATTTTAGCTTGCAAACCGCCTAGAGCAGTGGTTCTCAACCTTGGGTCCCCAGATGTTTTTGGCCTACAACTCCCAGAAATCCCAGCCAGTTTACCAGCTGTTAGGATTTCTGGGAATTGTAGGCCAAAAACATCTGGGGACCTCAGGTTGAGAACCACTGGCCTAGAGCTTCTTGGATGGAGGGCGATTAATAAGTAATTAAATGATGATGATGATGATGATGAATGTCCAGGATGGAAGAAAGAGCTCTTGTCTGCTTGAGGCAAGAGTGAATGTTGCAAATGGTCACCTTGATTAGCATTTAACTGCCTTGCAGCTTCAAAGCCTGGCTGGTTGGTGCCTGGGGTGCTGGGGGGTGTTAGCTGACCCTGATTGATTCTTGTCTGGAATACCACTGCTTTTTGAATGTCGCTCTTTATTTACTGTCCTGGTTTTAGAGGGGTTTTTTTTTTTACAGTGGGACATTTATAAAGCTGATTTTCAACCAAGGTGGAAGGAGGTCAAAGAATACGTTAAAGCTGAGCTACCACCCATCTTGGCTAACCATTTAATGTAGTTTTAAACCAGTGTTGAAGAAAGCAATGTCACTGTGCCAATCATTACATAGGAATGGCTTTGTAGCAATGTTGATGTTTTGATGAGATGTTTTCTGATAATGTTGAATTGTGGATTCTTTTACACTATGTTTTGTATTTTGCACCTGTTTTTCTATGTTGTACACCGCAATGAGTCGCCCTTGGGCTGAGAATTGCGGTATATAAGCGCAGTAAATAATAATAATAATAATAATAATAATAATAATAATAATAATAATAATAAATCCTGAAATTAGTTTCAGTCCTGGATGGCGATGCCTCCCACAGGTGTGCATTAAGGGCTTTCTTTTGTGGGTGTTTGTTCAAATGGTCAGTATAGATGGGGCCTCTGTTACCACATCTACACCCGTCCTCAAAATCTATGCTCAATGGACCAGTCAACAATTTATGGAAAATGGGGGAAGGAAAGAGAGGGAAGGAGGAATGTGTGGAAATAGAAATGGAATAAATTGCCCTGGGACATGACTGGCTGACAAAAGAGCGCACAGAACTTTGTGTTGCAGGCCCTTTAGGTGACATGATGCCAGATCTTCCAGGTCACAAGTTTGCAAAAGTGCAAAAAGTCTCATATAATCCACTTGAAATCAGATAATCTTGAATCAGATAGTGGATTATATGGCAGTGTAGTTCCAGTCTGATAAAAGAGTGCACAGAATATCATTTTACTACAACTTGGGCCCCTTTTATACTGCCACATACAATTCAAATTATCTGCTTTGATAATGTGGATAATATGGCAGCATGGAAGGGACCTATGAGAGGATTTACAACCTAAAACACCCATCTATGGCCACCAAATCTTGTGAATCTCCAAAATAATATATAATAATAATAATAATAATAATAATAATAATAATAATAATAATCGCCCTTTTCTCCTTGTGGTTCCAGTTAGCTAAAGTCACCAATGGCTACGCTACTACAAATCACTACATCAACAAAATATTGTGGTCTCACCTTTATGCTACTAATGATTCTGCCGCTTTCCGGGATGCTAGGGTGAATGCCAATCACGACATCTTCATATCCACCATTGCGGAGCTTTATAAGGCTCCCTTTCACTCCATGGAGCAGAAGCAATGCCGTGAATAGGTGCCACCCTTTCTGCGCCATCTTTGCTTTGTGCCAGGCTGTATCTCGGGCAGAAATGGTGGCACAGAGGGGTAACCGATATCACTGTGTGTGTGTGTGTGTAAACAAAGACKAAAAGAAACCCTCTGTTACGTTTAACCGGTGTTTTATGACAGGKTTTGTTCTGCCGACAACGTCCAGGCGCTTGCTCCTGTCAGAAATAAACCTGTCACCATTCCTTAAGAYTARTTCTTAGGGAGAGGAAGAGAAGGCRTCCGCCTCCCTTGGGTGCTTTGGAGCGGCCCTGAGGCAGGCTTGTCAAGGCCGGCCTRGTCTCCTTGCTCCAMGAYGCAGATCCTCCATCTSTCCMSTYGTTTGCCYCCAATCGCTATGTTGCTGAGGGGATTGGGGCATGGGTAGGCCTTGCAGCCTCAGCAGCCCCTGCTTGCCCTATTGGGAGGACTGTGGGGAGCCTCGGGCCTTGCAGGCCTCTCTAGGCCCCTCCTAAGCCTGCTGCCTTCACAATGGGCCACATGGGAAGGGCGAGAGGTCCCTGTCCTGCCTGCCCTCTTGTTTCTACAAAAAGTCCCCAAAGACTTCTAGGTATATATACCCCGGGTATATAATTAGCACAGTTTGATACCATCTGAACTGACATAGATCGATGGTATGCAATTACGGTGGTTTGGTGAGGCATCAGCATCCTTTAGCAGAGATTAAAGAAAAGGTAAAACTACAACTTCCACAATTCATGGCATTGATCCAGGGCAGTGCAAGTGGTATCAAACTGAATTAATTCTTCACTTCAAGCATTTGTCCAGACCAAAGCTTTTCCAACTGTGTGCCATGACACCTTAGTGCCCTTTCACACAGACATATGACTTCGAATATTAAGACAGAAAATCTCACAATATCTGCTTTGAACTGGGATATCTGAGTCCACACTGCCATATATTCCAGTTCAGATAATGTGGGATTTCATTCAGCTGTGTGGAAATGGCTTAAGCGCCTTTCCACACAGCCATTTAATCCAGACTATCAAGGCAGAAAGTCCCACAATACCTTTGAACTGGGATTTGTATGCAGCATTTCAGAAAGACAATGACTGGAATGACGATTCGACGGACGAGACTGTTTTATTGTTTTAATGATTGTTTTATTGCTCATGGATGCATTTTTTAATTTGATTTATGTCTAATTGTAGTTGTAATTGTTTGTACTGGCATTGAATTTTTGCCATTACTTATGCGTAAACTGCTTTGAGTCCCCCCCCGGGGTGAGAAAAGCGGTATACAAATACTGTAAATAAATAAATAAATAAATAAATATCTGAGTCCACCTTGCCATATAATCCAGTTCAAAGCACATAATGTGGAATTTTATTCAGCTGTGCAGAAGGGGCCTAAGTGTATTGGCTGCAATGTGTCACAAACATATTGGTTATTATATTAGAAATAACTATATATATATATATATATATAGAATATTTTCATGAGATTTTTTGTGTCATTACAATTTACGTGTGTGTCCATATCTCTTACAAGGGGTTTGCTTAACCTCTAGCTGAATTCCTGTGATGTGAAATGATGTACGTCTAAAAATGTATCGCTAACATTAAATGTTTGGAAAGCCCTTGTCTAGATATCAGGGTAAGATTACCTCACAGATGTATTATATGTAGCTCGGTCATATCGATGAAATCTGTAGGCCACGTGTATTGTAGGGATGGGGGAATGCATGACACTTTTAATACTGTATTTCTTCCATTCTACAGAAATTATACAGTTTTGCTGGTATTGCACCACCTCACATCTGCTGGGAAGCAGCAGTCAATAATGAAAGGATGAAGGCAGTGACATCTCCAGCCCATCCCATGTTCAGATACCAGCCAGGACACCAATGCCTTAAATCAATAAATAGTTTCCCAAGATCTACAGAGCTGTTCACAAGAACACCTCAGCAAGTGAGAGTCTAAAAGTGGCAGGCTAAAACCCGGAACCTCAAGCCATGGCTGATACCGGATGAGAGACTCCCCCCTGGGCACACAAAAGAGTGGATGACCTAGAAGGTGCTAAGCAGATTGTGCTCTGGCATCACGTGATGCAGAGCCAACCTTAAAAAATGGGGCCACAAAGTGGAGTGCAAAACATGTGAGTTTAGAAAAGAGCAAACATACCACTTACTACAATGCAGTCTGAGCCCTACCACATGCACAGTGTAGGACCTTCTTAAAGCAACACCAGAGGCACTCCAAGTGGGCAGCTACTGGTCAAAGAACATTTAGCATAATGCCAAGTTTTTTAAACTTTGTGTTTTTTAAATACAGTACAATTGTACCCTCAGTTTGCTTGTGATACAATAAATAAATAATTCCACACTTTTCCCCACACAGACATTTCTAAAAACTGGTGCAACGTAGGCCCCTTCTACACTGCCATAAAATCCAGATTATCGAATCAGATAATTCACATGATCTGCTTTGAACTGGATTATATGAATCTAAATTGCCATATTATCTAATTCAAAGCAGATAATATGGATTGTATATGGCAGTATAGATGGGGCTTTAGAATCACAAGTGCTATATAAATATACCTTTTCCTATTGGTGGTACTGCAATTAGTATGTGCCTTACAATTGATGGTATGGTGTCTTAGAGTGTAAGAAATACGGAATTACTAGAGTGGAGAAATTGTAACTATCTCACATTGATATACTACCACAAATAGCTTTTATAGTAAAATCAGGGAACAGATAATTTAAGATTAGTCCCAACTCTGATTGCTTTGAATATGAAATGACTTGCTCCCCTTGGCATTATTTCATTCAATGATGAAACATAATTCACAAAATTTACAAAATTAATTAGCAGTTTATTATTGTAACTTTAATGAAATTTTGTTCCTGCAACAATTCTTAAAACATATGCCATCTTAAAACATATGCCATCACTCTCCTCTGAGATTTGACTTCTAGGCAGTGCCTTCGCATTGTGCATTCAATCATAAATACAGCCATTCATGAGATTATACATTTAAAAAAAGCAGATCTGCTTCATGCTGTTGGTGTTTTGTACACAAATTATGGAGAATCACCACTGGAATGGAAACATGTAGATATTCATGGGACATTAACTTGATCCATGCTAGCTATAGTGTGAGTGCTTGCAGGACGCTTGGTTTTCCGCTTATGTAAAATATAGACTGTTGTGCCAACAATGGCAAAAAGCATGGCAAGACTGCATACTATGCCCACAATGGTAGCAATGAATTTGGATGGACCACGGGGAGTAACAATAGTAGGAGTGGGAGGATCTTCAATAAACAGAGTGGCCCTTGCAATATTGGATACTTCTCCAACATTGTTGCTGCCATCGATGGCACAAATGGCAAAGTAGACGAAGGTGCCATTTTCTTTTGAGAGCTTTTCTGGCTTATAGCGAAAGGACTGTTTGGTTCCAGCTAATTCAGGTATCAGATCAGAAGTGTTCAAAGAGGTGGCATTAGGAAAGTTAGCCTCTGTTAAGTCCAATGGATTTTCACTCATTTTTATTTCATATCTGTCAGCTGAAAAACATGGTAGAGATGACACATTCCCATTAGGTTACAGGCACTCAATCATGACTCTAAATTAACTGTGAAGCAATAGTAGTAACATATTACTCTGAAAATATAATTTTTTAATTGTAGTTCCAGAAGATAATAATAATCAATTGATTTTTATCTGCCCCTCCTCAAAGCGGGTTACGACACAGTTAAAATGCCCAGAAAAAATAAAAAATGTCATAAAATACAGAAAGATGCCAGCTACGTTTTGCGTAATCAGGGGTTTTGTTTAGGTTATATTTTGTTTGTTTTTTCGTGTCAGGAGAGACTTGAGAAGCTGCAAGTCACTTCTGGTATGAGAGAATTGGCAGTCTGCAAGGACATTGACCGAGGAGACGCCCAGATGTTTTACCATCCTATGGGAGGCTTCTTTCATGTCCCTGCATGAGAATCTGGAGCTGACAGATAGGAGCTCATCCTGCTCCCCAGATTTGAATCACCAACCTTTGGGTCAGCAGTCCTGCTGGCACAAGAGTTTAACCCATTGCACCATCTGTGGCTCCTATAATCACGGTAATACAGTGATAAGCATCCCTTTTGGTAGATTTCAAAATTTCTCAGAAACTACTGCTGGTTTAAATAAACATTTTATACTATATTTAAAGGAGGAGTCGCATATTGACATTGATAAAGTGAAAGAAAAAGAGAGGGAGAATTATTTTAGTCTACATAGGGCCCTATTTAAAGTCATCCAGATTAGCTGTCATATCATACAACCTTAAAGTGTGACCTGAGAGGCAAGGCATAATGCACATACCTAGTTTATGCCAAAGAGTTCTTGGTTCCTTTTTTGTCTCTCAGTGACCATACATGCTCCTAACTATTACAACAGGAGCTGCAGTGGTACAATGGATTAAACCAGCTGAACTGCTGACCTGAAGGTCAGCGGTTCGAATCAGTGAGCTCCCGTGAGCTCCTGTCGGTCCCATGAGCTACCACTTTCATCTCACTTTCTGCCCCTGTAATAATTGAATTTTGAAAAATGCGGCTTTTTGTGGAAACAAGGATTGGCGATAAAGCTTCAGTAGAGACACCTTTTCCCCATGATAACTCTTTCAGGACTGAATTTTCCCTTCTGATGGGTAGTTTTTGCTCACTTCCTTTTGTCTCACTCCCCTTTGTAACTATGAATCGAATGTTTGTAACTCGGGGACTGCCTGTAGTCCATTTTAGTTTTAACAGAATCCCTTTTATGACTAAAACATTTTATAAGAGAAACACACCTACCATGTTGATCTTTGTACCCTGTGTTTTGATGTATGTGTTTTATAATTGAATGTATTTTAGGTTTTGACTTTGTTGTACTCTTGAGCTGTTAGAAGAGGCGGGTAAGAAATGAAATGTGTTGGTGTTGTTGTTACCAGAAAATAATTTTCTTTATTTTAGTTCAAATAATGTTAAATGTGTGCATACATGCACAAAGCAGCAATGCTGATGGGCTGTCCACCCCATCCCACAATAAACCCAAGTTTATTTGCAAATAATACTGGACCAACTTGAGGGTTGAAACCCTTTTTTCCACAGCAAAAGTGCAATACTCCTTTAATATACTAAGGAAAGGGAATACCTGGTGTAAATAGAAAATATTTAAAACAGTATTTAAACTGTAGAAAAGGCCACCTATTTAACTGATGGGCCCATAAGAGCATTCAATTTCAATCAGAATTGTACTTACCTTGTCCCGAATCAAAATTATCCCCAGGGGCTGTCCAAGACAAAACAAATTCATTATCTTTATTGAATATTACTTCAAGGTCGGTTATTTTATTTGGTGGGAAAACATCTGAAGTCCCTCCAGCAGGAACATCTGTTATAACAAAACTACCTCCTGATACTACTCTGTTAAAATCTCCTGTGCCGAGACTGGTATCCGTAACATTCCTTACAGGTCTTGGTGGGTTCAGATGTATTGTACCTGTGTGAAAAAATTGAAAACCCTTCAACAGAGGTAACACTTGGCTTGTAAGATGTGGGGGGGCATAGAGACAATGACACATCTTGTCCTGGGCTATAGCCAGCTCTCCACACTCCTGGGTATACAGTTGTTGTACTATAGGTTGTGCATTGGAATTTTTTGTTGTTTTGCACTGAGTTGTATAGTATTTGTTGTTCGAAATCACTGCTATACATCACATGTTTTGTGCTTATTTGCCAAAAGCTATTGCACAGTGCTGCACTTGTTCAACTCAAGTGCTGGAGTTCAGAGATGACCATTCAAAGAGCCACCGTCACACTTAAGCTACTTGTTCTTTTGTATAGATTTGTGTCATGTCTGCTCCTCTTTTTACAACAATATACCATAACATTTACTAATATGAATTGTTCCTTCTGTATTTTAAGCAGTTATTGAAACACATTTTTCTTTTTTGAATTTTGTTATCTATTAGTGCCATTTCTTCATCTTTATCAATGACAACATTTCATATCTCCACTGCAGAAAAAAGTTAAAGTAACTGACACCGATGATGCATAAATTCAAAATGCTTCTTTTTATATAATCAGTAAATACATTAAAATCACAACTCTGTAATACAGTACGTTCTTGATTAAGGTCCTCCAGATCATCTTTTCAATCTTTAATGGAACAATATTGAGCTGCTTCCTCACAATGCTGTCCTCACGCTGGGGTTTGTAAATCTTAATACATTGTATTCTCTTAATTTCACAATTTTCCCCCATTGCAAAAATAGCCTTGAAAATGTGCTTCTTATAATTTATGATTTATTCTGAAGGAAGCCAATAACTATTTTTTTTTACAGATAATGGCCTCTTCTGTTCATTTATTATTTTCTGAATAGAAAAATCATGTTTTCTGTGCAGGAAATGCAATATTCTTCGTAAATAAATCACATGCATTTTATACAGAATAAATCACAAATGGCCACGGTTCTCATCTGTCCAGGAATGTATTCAATAACTTTATCCCACACTTGGAAAAGCCATTTTTGTCTATTACTTGAAAAATTTTGAATACTCTTTCCATCTCTTTCTTATGCAGCTGTTGCACAGGTATAAACACTGCAGCTACATGAGCAAAATGAATAGATAACTCTTCCCCATACAATCAACACGACTTGTGACATAAAGTCTTGTAAACAGTTCACATTACTGAGGCCTAAATCCAGTTACTAATAAAGTGCACCCACTGAAATTATGGTACTTAAGTGTTGAATTACCACATTCCTATTGATTCAATTAATCTAACCAAGATGGGACTGACAATTGGATTTCGGCCAGATGGGGACAGGGACCTCTATTCAGGCATACTTGGTGACTGAATGTTTTTGTTTTTTATTTTTAAGTCCTTTTAAATAATAAACCCAGTCATTTCTAGATCACATACTGTATATACCGTATTTCATTTCATAATAGTTGCCACCGCATAATAATTGCACTCCCATGGTATTTTTATTATCATGGTATTTTTGTGGGGGACATGAGAGAAGCTTCCTCACAGGATTGCAAGACATTCGGGCGTCCCCTGGGCAACGTCTTCGTAGACGGCTGATTCTCACTCCAGAAGTGACCAGAAGCACAGACACGACTTGCAGTATGCAAGCAAGCAAGCAAAACAACCAACGGATCTTTTCAGGACCAACCATGACAATAATCTCAACATTGAAGGCATGTCAGCTGCCAAAGAACAACTGCTCTATGAACTGTGCCAAGATAAGAAATGTGATGTGCTGTGTGTCCAAGAAACACACAGGGATGAACAATAGAAACGACCAAAAGTTCCAGGAATGGTCTTAGTAGCGGAAAGACCACATGCGCAGTATGGAAGCACTGTTTTTGTTAAACCAGGCCTCCAAGTCAGCAGTGCCCACAACACTGAAGAAAACAACATAGAGGTTATAACAGTAGAGCTTAATAACATCACCATCACCTCTGTGTCCAAGCTCCCAAATGAAGAATTCTGCTTCTCTTCCCCCGAGAACTTTGATAGGCACCGAAGGGCGGTAGTAATTGGTGACTTTAACAACCATAGTCATGTATGGGGATATGCTCAAGAGGATAAAAATGGAGAGGCTGTCCTCTCCTGGTCTGAACTACACAAACTATCACTCATCCATGATAGCAAGCTCCCACCATCCTACAACAGCGGGAGATGGCACCGAGGTTATAACCCAGACCTCTTATTTGTGAGTGACAGCATCGTACAGCAATGCACTAAATCAGTGGGACCACCAATTCCAAACACACAGCACCGACCTATAGTATGCCAACTGTTTCCAACTATAAGGCCCCAGGAAGTTCGATTTAAACGAAGATTCAACTTCAGAAAGGCAGATTGGACTCAGACATGTTAGATGACATGATCATATCGGTCGCGCCAATCCCTGAGGAATATGAGCACTTTATTGAAAAAGTGAAAACCTGCTCACGGGCCTCTATACTGAGAGGCTGCAGAACCAACTACCTTCAGGGCATTACTCCTGAAACAGCTGCCTTGTTGGAAAACTATTACAGGCTCCACAACAAAGACCCATTTAGTGAGCAAACTCTTCAGGCAGCGCAGAGTATTGTGCCCTCTGAAGCCAAGAAAGAACAGTGGATAAAGCTTATAATAGAAGCCGACATGGGCAGGAGCAGCCAGAAGGCGTGGAGGCTGCTACGACGGTTGAGCAATGACCCCTCAGAAACTAATACCCATGCCAACATAAAGGCAGATCAGATAGCACACCAGCTCTTGAAGAATGGGAAACCCAACCTTGCCAAAGTAGGAAATAAACCAATAGCCAGACAACCAGAGATTGAGAACAACAACCTTCATGAACCCTTTACATCTACTGAATTGGACATGGCTCTCAATAAATGTAAAAATGGCAAAGCAGCTGGTCTGGATGGTCTACGCATGGAACAAATCAAGAACTTTGGACCAAAAGCAAGGCACTGGCTGCTGGAGCTGATGAACAACTGCACTGCATCCTGTCAGATCCCCAAAATCTCGAGGAAAGCAAGGGTCATCGCCATCTTGAAGACAGGCAAAGACCGTAATGATCCAAAAAGCTATTTTTCCATAGAATTATGGAACAAATAGACCCATGTCTGATTCCACAGCAAGCTGGCTTCAGGAAAGGCAAAAGCTGCACATCGCAAGTGCTGAACCTGACTCAGCACATAGATGTCTTTGAAAGGCAGCAGATCACAGGAGCTGTCTTCATAGACCTGTCAGCAGCTTATGATACTGTAAACCACCGCCTCCTCCTGAGAAAAATGTATAATATCACAAAGGACTACCACCTCACCCGCCTCATAGGAAACCTGCTACAAAACAGGAGCTTCTTTGTTGAGTTCCAGGGCCAGAGAAGCAGATGGCAGAAACAGAAGAACGGCCTGCCTCAAGGGAGCGTGCTTGCTCCATCCATGTTCAACCTTTACACAAATGACCAGCCACTGCCAGAAGGGACAGAGAGTTTCATCTATGCTGATGATTGTGCCATTACTGCTCAAGCAGGGAGCTTTGAGATGGTTGAACAGAAGCTCTCTGAAGCTCTAGGTGCTCTTACTGCCTATTACAGGGAAAACCAGCTGATCCCTACTCCATCTAAAACACAGACATGTGCTTTTCACCTTAAGAACAGACAAGCATCCCGAGCTCTGAGGATTACCTGGGAAGGAATCCCACTGGAGCATTGCAGCGCACCCAAATACCAGGGAGTCACTCTGGACCGTTCTCTGACCTACAAGAAGCACTGCCTGAATATCAAGAAAAAAGTGGGTGCTAGAAACAATATCATACGAAAGTTGACTGGCACAACCTGGGGATCACAACCAGACACAGTGAAGACATCTGCTCTTGCGTTATTTTACTCTGCTGCTGAGTATGCATACCCAGTGTGGAACGCATCTCACCATGCTAAAACAGTAGATGTGGCTCTTAATGAGACATGCCGCATTATCATGGGGTGTCTGCGCCCCATACCACTGGAGAAATTACACTGTTTAGCTGGTATTGCACCACCTGACATCCCCCGGGAAGTAGCAGCCAACAGTGAAAGGACCAAGGCAGTGACATCTCCAGTCACACAGTCAGTAGGTTAGGTTTTGCCCCCCCCCCCCACGAGTTAATAAATTTTGGGGCAAACGTATGCTCAATTGTATATCAAAGAGCTCTTGACATTGCTGCACAAAATGATCTAATGATCATAGCGCAAGATAGAGCCACTCCATATCTAGCCAAATTTAAATGTAACGTGGGCATGTAAAATGTCCCTACTACACAGGCCTGTAGCGAGGGGAGGGGGTTTAGGGGTTCCCCCCCCCGAAATGTTTCAGATTTTTTTTAAAAAAACCTGGTTTACTCATGATTTTTAACTGGTTAACAAATCCCCATGCTAAGTCTATGAGATGCAAAAAATTAAGAGTCCCTCCAGAACTGCAAGCACTATCTCAAGCAAATATTGACACTTTCATTACTTGCAGCAATAGCCGATGTAGTTGGGAGGGGGAGGGGAGTGTTGAATGCTCTTATTAAGGAGGCCAGAATTGGTGGAGGTGGTTGACAGGGGTGGAGCTGCAGGCTATTTTAAATTTACTCTTTTTACACAAAAAGCGCTGGCCATCCGCGAGAAGATGGAAGCAGAGAGAGGTGACCTTGCTGCCATCAACAAAATTCAAACTTAAAAACTTAATATGGACATGCCACTAGTTTTACCTGCCCATGCCCCTGCCCAAACCCTACTTTAAAGAATTAATCAATTTTTAATCTTTTAGTCTTGTGCAATCATTTAGGAGTGGGTCGACAGGCCAGTAGGCCGGGATGCCTTGTATTCATATATGGTTTTACTGCATGTGTGGGCAAGTGTGTTTTGTATGTTTTGCATGTTTTGATATGGTCAAAATTGACAAATCAATAAAGAATTGTTGTTGTTGTTGACATCTCCAGCTCATCCCCTGTTTGAATATCAGCCAGCACGTCAACAACTTAAATCAAGAAATAGTTTTCTAAGATCTACAGAGAGACTCGCTGGAACACCCCAGCAAGCGAGAGTCTAAAAGTGGCAGGCTCAAACGCAGAACCTCAATCTATGGCTGATACCAAATGAGAGACTCCCCCCTGGGCACACAGAAAACTGGGCGACTTGGAAGGCGCTGAACATGTCAGGATAATTGCTAGTATTATATGTATGTTTTTCATTGTGTTAATAATGTGTATTCATATGTTTCCAAGATGGATTTAGTTATGTTCAGTTTTGTTCATTTGTGCAGTAGATTGTTATTATTATAGAGTTGGAATAGGCCAGAGAGTAGAGTCCTTGAGACTGAGATAACAGGAATTCCTTTGCCCTGAGAAGAATAAGGAGTGTACCAGTTAGAAGATACATAAGGCAGGAGGGCGGATTTTCTTTGACTGTGTGTTTTATGCTGTACTCTGTCAGTCGCCATTTTCAGCCGTCAAGATGTAGTCGCTTATAGAAATGCTTTCAGTAAACTTTGTTGTTTTTGAAACTTAAGAAGTCTGCAGTGTGATAATTGATCTGGAAACCTCAAGTACGCTGTGCAAGACAGGAGGGTCTCACTCTGACAGAACAGACTGCGGTCTGGTACCACGAGATGCAGAGCCAGCCTTAAGAAATGGGGCTACAAAGTGGAATCCACGACATGTGAGTGTGGAGACCACCTGCTGCAATGCAACCTGAGCCCTGTTTTGCAACCTGAGCACTGCATGTTTTGATATGGTCAAAATTGACAAATCAATAAAGAATTGTTGTTGTTGTTGTTGACATCTCCAGCTCATCCCCTGTTTGGATATCAGCCAGCACGCCAACGACTTAAATCAAGAAATAGTTTTCTAAGATCTACAGAGAGACTCGCTGGAACACCCCAGCAAGCGAGAGTCCAAAAGTGGCAGGCTCAAACGCAGAACCTCAATCCATGCCTGATACCAAATGAGAGACTCCCCCTGGGCACACAGAAAACTGGGCGACTTGGAAGGCACTGAACAGACTGCGGTCTGGTACCACGAGATGCAGAGCCAACCTCAAGAAATGGGGCTACAAAATGGAATCCACGACATGCGAGTGTGGAGAAGACCAAACCACAGACCACTTCCTGCAATGCAAGCAGCATTTTTAAATTTTATTCATTACATTTGGCCCGGCCTCAGTTTTAAATGCGTCGTGGTGTTATTGTCTATGTTTATTGCTATTGTTTAAATGTTTATTGTTTTGCTTTATGAGTATTTATTGTTGTATTGCTATGCTATTGTTTTATTGATGTGTTGGGCCTTGGCCTCTTGTAAGCCGCATCGAGTCCTTCGGGAGATGTTAGCGGGGTATAAATAAAGGTTAATAATAATAAAATAATAATAACCTGAGCCCTGCTACATGCACAATGGAGGACCTCCTTGCGGAAACACCAGAGGCACTCCAAGCTACTGGTCAAAGGACATTTAATCGATTACCAAGCTTGCAAATTTGTGTTTTGTCTGTCTGTTTGTTTGTTTGTTTTGTTAAAAATGTAATACAAATGTCTGGTTGCTCCTGACACGATAAATAAAAAAAATTAAAGAATGTATTTTTGTGTGTTCCTGCATGCCAGGGACTAGATGGCTCTTGTGGTCTCTTCCAACTATGATTCTATATTGCTAAAGTGCTTCAGAAAGGCAAAGGAAGGCTGCCAGAATACTATTTTAAGATCCATGTACGAATTAAGAAACTGTTTAATTGAGACTCTTCCATCACATTGAGTTTGGGACACAATGGTAGGAAGCACACAACTGATAGGATTACAACAGGCTGTGGGTATGATCAGATTTATACAAAGTCAGCCAAGGAAATTGGTAAAGGAATGGTAAAAAAAAAAAAGCCCTGTATTTCCATAAGGATTTCACACTCTTGGAATTTTTATCACCACTAACATCATAATCTGCAGTTTTCAAAGAAAGGAATACTATTTGAGTACTTACCATCATCTGCTATAAAACCCGGTACATACATAGCTTGCCTTTGCCTATGAGTCCTTCTAAAAAGCCTGCCTCCCCCTTGGACGCTCACTTTGATGCTGTATCTGCCATTGTTTTTGAAAGCTGTGAAATACCGTGAATAGATCCCATCAAACTTTATTATATCAGCACCTTAAGACATAAAATATTGAGTATTAATTTCTATCTACCTAATAAAATATCTATTTATTTATTCATGCATGTATGCATTTTTTAGGTGGCTTCCACATCTAGATAGTTGTGTGACCCCCATTGACAATGCCTCTGGACCAGACTTGGTACAAATACCCCCCCCCCCCCCGGTAATCAACAGAAAATATTGGAAGACTTTGGAGATATTGTATGTATATATTTCATAAAATTTCATTCATAAAATCCAAATCAAACAATGATTWTTTTAATATTTATCACTTCAAAATAACTAACCCAGGCATCACTGGGTACGAAAACTAGCCTAAAATAAACATCTTACTGTTCGTCATTTTTTAAAAATCCTATCAAATGTATATGTTCACATCATGGTATCTTCTCCTGTTTACAAGAAAATAAAGAACACATATTAACACAAGCACTTGAAAATAAACTTACCTGCACCATCATCAAATAGCTCTAACTTTTCAGGTTCACCAGATGTAGATTCAACTGTGGCCATGACAATGGCTCCAAAAACTGGAAAAAGTCCTTGAGTGACTTCTGCATAAATGATCATTGGATTAGGAAAAGCGTTGCTACTTGTGCTCATGTAGGACTTCACAGTCACTGGAGGCACAGTGGCAGATGCAGCTCGGGTGGTGACCGTTATGGAAATTACTTGAGCTGCTGAGTGAATATTCTGAATTGAATATACCCAGCGTCCTGTCTGCAAATCAAAGTGTTACAGTATGAAATGCTGCATGTAAAACTTCTTGAAATACTCGGTTCTTGTGGGTTTTTTCGGGCTATATGGCCATGTTCTAGAGGCATTTCTCCTGACGTTTCGCCTGCATCTATGGCAAGCTTCCTCAGAGGTGAGGAAGCTTGAAATAGTTATCCCCCGTTTATACAATGCCATGCTGTTTTATCTGTAGATAGCAAAGCTGTAATTCCAGCAGCTTTGTAAGATATATATCAGTGTGTGTGTGTGTGTGTATTAATACTTAGTCACTAAAAATCATGCTTGATCCTTGTATGAAGCATAACTTCTGGAAATGGTTATCTTCCATTTATACAATCTGTCATGGTGTTTTATCAGCAGCTTGCAAAGCTGTAATTCCAGCAGCTTTACAAGACATAATGTATATTTAATTTGATATCCCTTATATATAGTCATTTTTAATTACTGAAAATTAATTAAATATACATATGTATGAATGTTCATTTAATACAGTATAATTGAATTAAAACAGAAATAAAACCCTATTTTTACCTTTGCAGTTCCAGGAATCTTCAGCCTAGCTGTTCGGATGTTGGAATTTTCAATTACAAAGTCTGTTTTTGTGTACTTTTTTCCTTTGGGATCTGTCAGGGAAATTTGTGGTGGACTTGTGCTTGCACTCCATGTAATCAGAAAGAAAGTGTCATTTCCCACAGTTTTATCAATAGTAACAATACCATTCATCAATTTCCTGCTATTAATGTTTTGTGCCTTACTTTCAAGCTGTTGAGAGGGAGGGGGGAGTGTTAGAATATAGCGAAAAAGTGAGTGTACAGATCTCCCCCCCCCCCCACACACACACACAGCTGCCACACACATATATGATTAGGAGGTTGCCTCAGTGGACACTCTATCTACATTCTGATAGAAATGTGGAAATCCAACATGAGGCATGCAACAGCCAATTTTTTGGTCCTTCTCTCTGTTTTCTGAAGTTTTGCCTAGTGGTTTTCCCAGCATTATGCGGCAAATTTTTGTGGTTTGTGGACCTGAAGAAAGGAGGGGGGATTGTGCCTAGTCCAGTTGTGTTGGATTCTGCTCTCCAATCAGAAAGGCTTTACTCCAAACTTTACTGGTGTTTCCCAGGATGCTATGCCTTGGTCATAAACAGATTTGGCACCTTGGACAACTCCTTAAAAGCTATAATGGATTCATTGCTCTAACTGAGGCTGGATCTACACTGCCCTATAACCCAGAATCTGATCCCAGATTATCTGCTTTGAACTGGATTATATGAATCTATACCACCAGATACTCTGGAATAAACAGATATCTGGGATCCAATCCTGGAACATAGGGCAGTGTAGATCTAGCCTGACATGGGAGTCATCAGCTGTGACTGCCTTACATCTAAAGTGTTCTGGTCTACAACTCCCAGAAATCCCAGTCAGTTTGCCAACTGTTAGGATTTCTGGGAGTTGAAGGCCAAAACATCTGGGGACCCACAGGTTGAGAACTTCTAACCTAAGAGCTGTTGCAAATGCGTTCTAATATCATTGTTTCTAAACTGACTTGAGTAATATTTTTCTGGATAGCTATAGTTTCTGTGTTTATACATTATTCTCATCTATAAGGTCTTGGAATTTCAAAGCAAAAGGTAGAGAGATGTTTAAGCAAATATACAAAATGCCAACCAATGACCTTAGCAGAATGTTTCAAAGGCACATGCTAATTACTACACAAGATAACAATAATGTGCAAAACGTAAAACAGGCAAGACATCAGAAGTGATGCATTATTTAGGTCATTTGATGACCTAAAGCACATTACTTTCGGGGATAGCATAGGGTCACGAATGTATGCACTAAAATGTGTAGCATGACTGGTAACAGAACTGAAACAAGCAATGGTAGCAAAAACTGGACTAAGGAAATGTTGTTCTTGTTGTTGTTACCCACCTATCTTCATGGCTCAAGGTGGGGACAGCTATCCTTTAATATTTACCAACTACCTAACAATTGTAACCATGATGCTATTTATCACTACAGCTACCAACACGTCCCACTTCCTTCCAAATCCTTGAAATCCAGACCTGAATAGACTGTTGACTGACATCTCCACTTCCAGATGAAATCCCACTGAAAGCATCTATGAGGCCATTGGAATCCAAACTATCTGTGGCATAAAATGTCAAACCTGTTGTGGTTCAGCAACAGCATGATGGGACTGAGAGTGCAAGTGAGCATGATGGGAATGGGAATACAGATGCAGGTGTGGGATTTCAGTTTTCTCAGTTTTCTCAGCCACAGTCTGTAGCTAGAGAGAAACGCTGTTTCTCACAGGAACGGAATGTGGCTGATAAGACAGTTGGTGAAGGTCAGAGTGAGCCGCAGGTGTTAAGGAGAAGTTTACGGATTGCGGCCAAATCTTGAGGCCATCGGTTTGGTGGGAAAACTGCTTGTTAGCTGTCTGTTTAATGTTCAATGTTTTGATGTTTTACCTATAAGTAAACTGCCTGGGAGCTGACTCGTTGTCAGTTTCAACTTTGCAAAAATGGCTCGCTTTGGCTCTGGCTCCAGGGCTGGGGCCTTGGGGAATGCCTGCTTCATGTAACCTCATGCTATTTCCTGGATTTTATCCTGCTTCTTTGCTTCAAGTTTCCTGCTTTGACTCAAGAGAATGTATTGGACCTTTACCTTGTAWTACTGAACTTTTTACTGCTTTRACTCTGATTTGTTTGAAACCTCAATAAACTTCCTTCTTCTCAAGTTTGGCTGGTTTGTCAGAGAGAGCAAGGTGAATCTTATCCTGAGACACAACAAAACCTCCTGAAATGTGATTGGTAGAATAAATGAGAATAGGTTGCAAACTACATAATATAAAAGATAACATGCTTTGTAATAGTGAAACCAAATGAAATTTTACAAGCATAACTGTCCCTTTTGTCCAGCAGCTTAATGTCCACAGCAATGATTCTCACCTCCTGTATCTATCCCCATTCCTCATTGACCTCAATGTCTAGTTTAGATTGTGAATAAGGGACAGACCTAACTGTTCTTAGTATAGCATCATGTACATCCTGTGCTCCCTACTCCCTCCTTTCATTCTCTCTCTATCCTGACACATAGACACAAAATATCACTTCACTTCCCAACCGTATTTCAAGCTGTGATAAATGGAAAAAAAGGTGTTATAATGAGAAATCTCACAGACAACATTCTTCTAATATTTTGGTTCATTCATGTCACAATGACATTGTATATGAGCTGGAGGGTCTCTGCATCTCATCATGCAACGCCGCAGACTCCCATGTCAGTGGAAAACATGGAAATATAAGGAACAAGGATGTAAAATATGAAGAAAAGGCACATGGGTATTTAAAACAGTGCACTTCTGCATTAAAAATCTGGACTCAAAACAAATATAGGAAATATAAGGTGGTAAGGCTGCTCTTTCCAGTGCACTTAAATATATTGTTTCTCAGGAGTCCAGATTCAAACAATAAGGAGCACTACAGTCCCAATTTGGAGGGGGGCACTGATGTCCTTTATTCATCCATTTTACTTAATTTGCACCCTGCCTTTCTCTAAATTTGAGATCCAAAGTGGCTTTCATGATGAGTTAGAACAGTAGATTATACCAAAGATGATTGGGAGGAAAAACATTAATTTTAGACAGTTTTAAAGGACTGTTGAAATGATAAAAGATACAGCATACCCCAGTAAAAGGACCTTCTACACCAAAGTGAAGCCCGAGTAATCAGAAAGGTCTTCCCTTGCCATTAGACAGAGAGCAGAGAATGGGGCAACCCAACTTCTTGCAGCAAGTAATTCCACAGTTATGGAATAGCCACTGAAATTCTTTCCTCCTGAGATCTCACCAAACATTCATATAATGTTGATAGGATCAAGAAAAAGCCTTCACTTCAAATATCTTAAAATGCAGACAGGCTAATTTGGGAAGAAATTGGTTTTCAGGCAGTCTGGTCCTTAATTTGTGATACTGAATGAATCACTTGTCTCAATCTGTACCAAAAGAGTTCCCCTACATTTTTGTTCTCAGCATCCGATGCTCATCTGTACTCTCCTTCAGCATCTGGGCATCCCATTTGGTTATCATGACTGCTAGGAATTGTTCCATGTGAGGACAAAGTGGCAAAGACATTGTGAAGTACATTGACACAATGGCTGGGTAGCAACCTACCCAGCTGGCATTATAGAGCACAGAAGAAAAAGCCTTTGATACTTATCTTGCTCATTCACCTGTCATGTCTGCCAGCTTTTCTAGATCATTTGAAGCCTCTGAACCCAAAGCAATGGTATGAATGATAGACCCGCTGTTTTGAATTTGGGAAAAACAAGAACGTATGGCCGGATCTTCACCATGTGTCAAAAGCACAATTTCACAGCCTTCTGAACTTGGATATTTTTTCAGAAATATCTATTTGGGAAAAAAGAGTTTTAGCAGCAATGGAAAAAATACTGTAGGAAGCTAGCTGAAGTTCAAGTGTTAGAAAAACATTTCAACAATTTAGTGCATGGTGTGGTTTGCTCATTATGGGTCAGGGCAACTTTCTAAATAACTCTTCACAAAATTTATTCCCCAGCTCTTTTTCCCTATCTGTTCTTCTGCTACAACTGCCATAGCAGATTCCTGCAGTCTCTTGAAAGACAGGAGTCTAAATTGGCTCATTCCCTTGACCAGGCCTGCACCATGTGGAAGTAAGTGGGCAAACTTATATAGGCTAAACCTCTTCGGGCTGCAGATAGGTTTTTTGCACCTTCCTCTGGGTTTGCAGGAGGGCATCTTTCCCTCAGGGCATACATCAAAATGGATTAACCTCAATTTCTCCCCTCCTCTCATCATAGGGGTGCATTGCAATCCTTTTCTGAGAAAAAGAAGAAGTTGCTCAGCTATTGCCTCAACGGCTCTTCCTTTCTTTTTGCCTTAGGGTTGCCTCTGTCCACTGAGAGCCCCACAACAACTTCATGTTGAAGCTATGATCTCCCTCATCCAGAAGGGAAAGAAATGGCAGGGAGTTGATGGTTTTTCCTACTGGAGGAGGAAGAGAAAACAGAGGCAATCCATAAGCAAAGAAAATGGAAGAACAGCAAAGCCAAGTTTATCACAGGCCCCCAAAAGCGGAAATAATAGAGACAAAGAGAAAGGAAGAGCAACAGAGTCAAGAACTGAGGTCTTTCTTATTTACCGCCTCCTCCCACTAAGGCCCAGGGGCCAGATGCAGCCCCCTGGGCACTTACCTCAAGCCCTCCCCATTTTCCCTGTCCTCTCAGCATAAGGACATGGTGGCCCGCCACATCCTTAAGAAGAAAGGACAGGAGATGAAAGCACGCAGCAGCTGAGAGCCCTATGGAGTGCCCTCAGCATAAAGAAGAGTCCCATCCTTATGCTGAGAGGACAGCCCGAGAAAGACATGCAACAGCTAAGAGTCCTCCGGAGCACTCTCTGTGACTCACCCTCCCAGCTTAATACCGAGAAGGCAGCCCAAACATCAGGGGAGGAGGATCAAGGAGGAGGATCGGGGCTGTTGCCATATGTCTTGTTTTCCTCCTGGCATAAGGATGGGGTGAGCAGCCCCATCCTTGTGCCAGGAGGACAACCTGAAGATGACCTGGAAATACTTGGAGCAAGGAATGATTGGTTCCGATTTCTACTTTGCTGTTGTGCTGCATGTGACCTCCCTCTCTAAGGCTGAGGCTCAGAGCCTCTGCGGGTTGCATCCAACCCAGCCCCTGGACCACATATTGGGCACAACTGCCCTTCACCAACATACTAAAAGAGAGAGAATTATTACTGCTGGAAACACACAGGGATATACCATTGCTCTTTCAGTCAACCTTCATAGATTAGGATGCAGTTGCCAGGTTTTAAAATCCCTTTGCGTGCTCTCTCTTGTGTTCATCTATTTGACAGGGGGGAAACACATGTGGAGGTTGCAAAAATTCCTCCTTTTTGCAATAGACTGGGATGTATACAATGCTTTTGTAAAAAAAATTCCTCCTTCACCTGAAATCCTGCAAGCACGCCTTCACATATTTTACTTTCTCCAGCAACTATGGTAGGAAGATAGCTTGCAAGAGTTTGGCGCACTCTGTCATTGACAATCTTTTGCAACACACTCTTGGTGGCTGCTTCACTACCGAATGTTACAATTCCAACCCAGGATCCGCTTTCAATAATCTGAAGAATAAACACTTTTGCAGCTTGGTTCAGCCGACCAAGGCGATTTTCCTGCATTTGGGAGGGGGGGGGGAGAGGTGTAAGAAGGAATTAATCAAATTTGGACAACTCCATAAATATTCATTTCAGTGAGGCTTGGAATGTGTTTTTGTAGAACACTTTTCCAATATCGTATTTGTGTGTTCACTGCTTTGTTTGGCACATTCCCTCTTGTCAGTTGTTCTTATCAGCCAAATTTCAAAATGTAGCATATGTTTGGTTCTTTTTATTCGTCTCAAATGGCACCTCTGGTAAAAGTCAATTAATTTGGAATAAACCAAGGTTTCCCTGGTTTATTCCATATTGATTAAATACCTCATTAGATCTGAGACTTCCGGAAAGGCCCAGGTCTAATGAGGTATTGGGCCTATGAGGACTGACTTTCAGGATTGTGTTCTGCCACATCCAGGGGTTCAGTCCACACAGCCATCCTGCACCTTTGGGCTTCTGGGGCCCAGAAGTGTAGGATAGCACCCATCCCCTCTCCTCCAGCCCCCCATTTAGGCCCCCAAATTTACCGGAGAAGCCTACTGGCAGCAGAGACCTCTCCCTACACTCCTTCTGGTGTGAGAAAATGGTGCGTCAGGAGATTAGGGCAGCGGGGGAGTGGCTAGTTATGGCTTCTATGACAGTGGAGTGGGAAATTCACTCTGTGTTTAGCCCCTTTCTACACTGACATATAAAATTCAGATTATCTGCTTTGAACTGGATCATATGGTAGTGGATTCATATAATCCAGTTCAAAGCAGATACTCTGGATGATCTGCCTTGACATTCATGGCTGTGTAGAAGGGCCCTTAGTTTGTACTTTTAAAAGACATCCATTAAAGGAGCTGTCAAGGTAGCAAAGCTGACTTTTCTTCATTCTTTAAAGATCACTGCTTTGAATGGTTGATCTCAGATCTACTTCAAATGGAAGCACTTTGGATCTGGTTCTTAAACATCAAAAAGCACTTCCAAGGAAATATTTTTATCCTGTGTTGCCCCTGCACTATGGAATTCTAGTGGCAAATCCAACAATGGTGGGAGAGATCTAGGGCAGCTAAAATGGATGGAAGGAGGCCCGTGGGCAGATGTTCCCACCTCATCCTAGGGGCTCTTCTTTCCTCATGCTCCACAAATCTTCTGATAATAAAGCCCCTTGGGCCTCTTTTATACTGCCATATAATCCAGATAATCAAAGAAGATAATCCACATTATCTGCTTTGAACTGGATTATAATAATCTACACTGACATGTAATCAGTTTCAAAACAGATAATCTGGATTTTGAGTTGGATCTGAATGCTGGTTGTTGAGTTGGTTTGATGTGGTTTTTAACATTTTTTTTACACTTCGTTGTTTTTAATTGTGTTATAATTTGACCGTTATATGTCTCTAACTGTGTTTTATTTGGTGAATTTTGTTGTATGTCCTGGGCTTGGTCCTGCTTTTAAGCCACTGCGAGTCCCTTCGAGGAGATGGTGGCAGGGTATAAAAATAAAGTTATTATTATCATTATTATTATTACTATTCAAAACACAACAAGATGAGTCCACAGCAGACAAGATCACTCTGCTGGCCGTTGTATTGGATCACACGTTGGACACTTCCCAAGTGTCTAGGACTGTGTGATGTATCGGCGAATAATGCATGCAGATCCCACTAAGGTGACCTTCTGCAGCTGGCAGATGGCAATTTTGTCAGCGCCGATTGTGTTTAAGTGCAGGTCAAGGTCTTTAGACACTGCACCCAGTGTGCCAATCACCACTGGAACCACCTGTTTGAGAACCGGGACATCCGTAGGGATACCAACGTGCTTGTTTATAAAGCTTTTGTCCTCCCAACCCTGCTATAAGCCTGCAAAACGTGGACTGTCTACAGACGTCACATGCAACTCCTAGCATGATTCCATCAGCGCTGCCTCCAGAAAAACCTGCAAATCTCTTGGGTAGACAAGTGGACAAATGTCAGCGTGCTGGAAGAAACAAAGACCACCAGTACTGAAGCAATGGTCTTCCACTATCAACTCTGCTGGACCAGCCACGTTGTCTGGATGCCCGACCACTGTCTCCCAAAGCAGTTGCTCTACTCCGAACTCAAGAATGGAAAACGGAATGTTGGAGGACAGGAAAAGAGATTTAAAGATGGGCTCAAAGCCAACCTTAAAATCTCTGGCATAGACACTGAGAACTGGGAAGCCCTGACCCTTGAGCGCTCAAGCTGGAGGTCAGCTGTGAGCAGCAGTGCTGCAGAATTTGAAGAGGCGCAAATGGAGGGCAAAAAAGAGAGAAACATGCCAAGAGGAAGGCACGTCAAGCCAACCCCAACCGGGACCACCTTCCACCTGGAAACCAATGCCCTCACTGCGGGAGAAAATGCAGAACAAGAATAGCTCCACAGACACCTACGAACCCACCAACAGCACACTGATCCTGGAAGACTATCCTACTCGGACAACGAGGGATGCTTATGAAGAAGAAGAAGACTGGGACCACCTTGACTGGCTTCTGCCAGTCTTTGCAGTTCAGTCTTTAAATCCCCATATCGTGTCGGCTTTTCCAGTTGTTTCTCTTCAATCCTGCTGTCACCTGGGATTGCAACATAGACAATCCATACTTCGTTTTTTAACACGATCGTGAGGTCAGGAGTATTGTGCTCCAAAACTCTGTCTGTCTGAATTCGGAAATCCCAGAGGAGTTTGACGTGTTCATTTTCTGTAACTTTTTCTGGCTTGTGATCCCACCAGTTCTTTGTTACAGGCAGATGGCAGTTGTGACACAAATTCCAATGAATCATCTCAGCAACAGTGTTATGCCTCTGCTTGTAGTCTGTCTGTGCAATCTTCTTGCAGCAGCTGAGGAAGTTATTACTATTATTATTGCTATTATTATTATTTGATATGGCAATGTCGAAGGGTCCTAAGATCCATATCAGACAGGCAGTTTGCCTATTACTTATAAATGAGGATGGAAAAAAATTGGAAAATAGCATTTAGCATAAGTTTGGTAAATTTTGCACCTTGAATAGCTTTAAAATTCAGACGATATCTCAGAATGGACTCACTACTCAACTAAGATGGAAATCACCGCCTGCTATTGCCTAGAGCAGGAGTCCCCTAACTAAGGCCTGTAGGCCAGATGCATCCCTCCAACGTATTTTACCTGGATCCTGCCTTAAACTTCAGACTTGGGGTCGTCCAGGCCTGAAACGACTTGAAGGTATACAGCAACTAATTAACTTGACTATCTCACCAGTCAAAAGCAGGCCCAGGGTCCTTCCGTACAGCCCTATATCCCAGAATATCAAGGCAGAAAATCCCACATTATCTGGGATTCAGATAACCCAGTTCAAAGCAGATATTGTGGGCTGTGTGGAAAGGCCCCCACACTTACCATTGAAATACTGGTAAGTTTATGTTGGTTAACACTTTAACTTCATTTTAAGTATTGTATTGTTCTTTCATGGTTTTTGCACTACAAATAAGATATATGTAGTGTGCAAAGGAATTTGTTTCTTGCTTTTTTCAAACTATAGAACACCTCTCCAGCAGTATGAGGGACCATGAACCAGCCCTCTGCTTAAAAGGTTTGAGGACCACTGGCTTAGGACAACTCTTTCGTACATATCCATTGCTGTATCCAGAGTAACATATCTAATCAGAAAAAGATTTAATGGGAGACAAACTTACCTTTTCCATCCTTCCAGAAGTATCAAGCACGAGACACACAGTTCTCTCCTGCATTTTCATCAAATGAATGGTGGGGTCAGGAGGAGGAGCATCTAATGGACGTGAACTGGCAAAATCAGCAGAGCCCATAATCACTTCCCATGTGCTTTTGTAGCTGCACATTTTGTTCTGCATGTTTGGTGCCATAAGGTTATGATTACTTTTGTCACAAAACTGTGAAATCTAAATAGGCAAAAAGAGTAGCACATCATTGCGAGATCATTAGTAATTTCTAGTTAAAAACAACTGTTCCCATTTTATAAAGTAACAGTACAAAAATGGAAAATCTGTGCCACACAAACAAGTTATAGAGACTCTGGATTTTTAGTTTGAAACATGCTACGTCCTCTGTCATATTAAATATAAAATGTTCCAGTTTACCTAAAGTTCTGAAATCCCACAAAAAAACTACTTCAAAAAGAAAGAGAATGGCACAAGAAGGATGGGGGAAATCTAGGAGAAGGAACAAGAGAAAAAGGAGAATCATAGAATCATAGAGTTGGAAGAGACCTCATGGGCCATCCAGTCTAACCCCATTCTGCCAAGAAGCAGGAATATTGCATTCAAAGCACCCCTGAGAGATGGCCATCCAGCCTCTGTTTAAAAACCTCCAAAGAAGAAGCCTCCACCACACTCTGGGGCAGAGAGTTCCACTGCTGAACGGTTCTCACAGTCAGGAAGTTCTTCCTCATGTTCAGATGGAATCTCCTTTCCTGTAGTTTGAAGCCATTGTTCGCGTCCTAGTCTCCAGGGAAGCAGAAAACAAGCTTACTCCCTCCTCACTATGACTTCCTCTCACATATTTATACATGGCTATCATAGCTCCTCTCAGCCTTCTCTTCTTCAGGATAAACATGCCCAGCTCCTTAAGCCACTCCTCATAGGGCTTATTCTCCAGACCATCTAACCATTTTAGTCACCCTCCTCTGGACACATTCCAGCTTGTCAATATCTCTCTTCAATTGTGGTTCCCAGAATTGGACACAATATTCCAGGTGTGGTCTAACCAAGGTGGAATAGAGGGGTAGCATCACTTCCCTGGATCTAGGGAAGTAATGCTCCTATTGATGCAGGCCAAAATCCCATTGGCTTTTTTTGCCACTACATCACATTGTTGGCTCATGTTTAACTTGTCCACAAGGACCCCAAGATCTTTTTTACACATACTGCTCTCGAGACAGGCCTCGTCCCCCATTCTGTATCTTTGCATTTCGTTTTTTCTGCCTAAGTGGAGTATCTTGCATTTGTCCCCATTGAACTTCATTTTGTTAGTTTTGGCCCATCTCTTAATCTGTTCAGATCATTTTGAATCCTGCTCCTGTCCTCTGGAGTATTGGCTATCCCTCCCAATTTGGTGTCATCTGCAAACTTGATGATCATGCCTTCTAGCCCTTCATCTAAGTCAGTGGTTCTCAATCTGGGGTCCCCAGATGTTTTTGGCCTACAACTTCTAGAAATCCCAGCCAGTTTACCAGCTGTTAGGATTCCTGGGAGTTGAAGGCCAAAACACCTGGGGACCCACAGGTTGAGAACCACTGATCTAAGTAATTAATAAAGATGTTGAACAGGACCGGGCCCAGGACAGAACCCTGCGGCACTCCGCTTATCACTTCTTTTCAAGATGAAGAGGAAGCATTGGTGAGCACCCTCTGGGTTCGTCCATTTAGCCAATTACAGATCCACCTCACCGTAGTTTTGCCTAGCCCACATTGGACTAGTTTCCTTGCCAGAAGGTCATGGGGGACCTTGTCGAAGGCCTTACTGAAATCCAGGTACGCCACATCCACGGCATTCCCCGCATCTACCCAGCTTGTAACTCTATCGAAAAAAGAGATCAGATTAGTCTGGCATTTTGATAAATCTATGTTGACTATTAGCGATGACCACATTTGTGTTTGCAGACCACTTCCTTAACAATCTTTTCCAGAATCTTGCCTGGTATCGACGTGAGGCTGACTGGACAGTAATTGTTTGAGTCACCCTTTTTTCCCTTCTTGAAGATTGGGACCACATTGGCCCTCCTCCAGTCTGCTGGAACCTCTCCCGTTCTCCAAGAACTCTGAAAGATTATTGCGAATGGTTCCGAGATTACTTCCGCTAGTTCCTTCAATACTCTTGGGTGTAGTTGATCTGGCCCTGGGAACTTGAACTCATTTAGAGCAGCCAGATATTCCTGGACGACTTGTTTCCCAATTTGGGGTTGGATGTGCTCTAATCCCTCATCCATTACATCTTGCTGAGGTTGAAGATTACTTTCTTTTTGTGAGAAGTCTGAGGCAAAGAAGGCATGAAGTAGTTCTGCCTTTTCCCTACCCCGTCAGCATTGCCCCATCTTCTCCTCAAAGAGGCCCTATCGCCTCCTTGTTCTTCCTTTTTCTACTGACATAAGAAAAGAAGCCCTTTTTATTGTTTTTAATGTCCCTGGCAAGCCTGAGCTCATTTTGTGCTTTAGCATTACGGACCTTTTCCCTACAGGAGAAGGTAAACAGGACTGAATATCTGTGACTAGTAATAAAAACATCTAGCGAGCTCTACTTCCAAATTTGCATTAGCTGCAGAATTTCATGCTGTAGTCACCTGAAACCATGAAACAAGATTCCATTTGGCAACAAGTTGAACAATATTTTGTATTTTTGAAGAGAGACATTAAACTAACAAATTCTTATAGTATCCCCATAGACATACTTACTGAAGACAGACTTTGCATGAACATTATCGATGCCGACGCAGTTTGCTTTATATGAGGGATAAACAGGCATCCAGGCTCATAAAGCTCAGTTTGGCGTTCAGTTCTGCAATTTCTGATTTCACCTTCAAGAGTTTGGAATATGTATTGGCCAGTGATACCAGCTGAGCATCTGAAGAATATTCAAATAATACAGTTAGCATATATGGTCATTTATAAATTGCCCTTATGCCTAAATTGAGGGAAGGTTTGGGAATCAAAATTATGGATTTTGATATGACATGTGGATATGCCAAGAGTTATTTCTGGAGAGGGGAAAGTATCAATGCCACCTTGGGGGTCCTACTGTTAACATTTCCCCATCTAGGAGTGGCATCATGATGGAGAAAGTAGAGGAGGTCTGTACTTCTTTTAGTTCCTCCCAGAATGGACTGAGGCACCTTCTACACTGCCATATAATTCAGATTTTCAAATCTAATAATCCACATTATCTGCTTTGAACTGGATTATATGTGCCTACAATGCCATATAATCCAGTTCAAAACAGATAATCTGGGTTTTATTTGGGAGTGTAGAAGGGGCCTCAGTTCCTGCCTTTTGCCATCCTATTCAACAACAATCATTTTAAACTTTCTGGCCACAGCAGTTTGGTGACCTTCTTAAAAAACAATAATGGCTCTTCTGAGAAAATAAATATAAATTGTTCAGCTTCCTTCCCTTCTTCCTCACGTTTCCCCTCTTTTTCACCTTCACCCACCTACATCTTCCACTGTCCCTTCCTTCTCCCAATTTGTTGCTGTGCCATGCCATCCTCAGGTGAATTTTCAGTCCTCTTTTCCTTTCTCTCCCACCTTTTTTTATTTCACACTGTCACCTTCCTACCTCTCCTTCAAGGAACAGGAAGAGAAGCGGGATAAAACAAGGAGGGAGTTGGGGCCGAAGGGCAAGATGGGGGAGAGAAAGAGTGGCAATAGGAGACCCTTAGCTTCCCATTATAAAATGGAATATTCCTGTAAATAAAATTAGTATATCAAAAGGGGAGTGGAAAGCAGTAGATTCCCTGGGACATAAATACTAGTAACTGTGTTGCTTTTTTTAAAAAAAAACTGCTTTGTTGCAGCCCACCTTTTTAATTCTGTTCACACGGCAGCCCCAACCTCCAGAAGTTAGGCACAGCAGTACAAGCTTGTGAACAACCAACCAACCACAAGTATGAAAATCACGAATGTGGAAGGCTGTTTGTATAAATATATATGGTGTATTGTGAAGCCATTGTCTTTGTTCATACCTCTACTAAAGGATTAGACCAGCGTTTCTCAACCTGGGGGTCAGGACCCCTGGGGGAGTCGTGAGGGGAGTTTTGGGGGGGGTCACCAAAGACCATCAGAAAACACATATTTCTGATGGTCTTAGGAACCCCTTTGGCAGAAAAGGCTGAAGATCTCTCCACCTGTCCTTCTCATCCTTTTTTGGAAATAGATGGCGAATCTTCCCACCAAAAGCCCCCCTTCTGCTGTGATTGGCTGGCCTCTCAGCCAAGGGGAGGGCTGTTTCTGAGACTTCAAGTGGGGAGGGGAGATGCAGGGAGAACTACAATTACCTGGATGCAGAGAGAACTACAATTACCATCATGTTGGGTCAGTCCCCACTCCCAAACCACACCAGTATTTGAAGTTAGTCATATTGGATATTTATGCCAAGTTTGGTAAAGATCCGTTAACTATAACTCCCAACGTCCCAACCTCAGTCCCCTCAAAACCTCACCAGTATTCAAAGTTTGGCATGTTAGGTGTGTGTGGCAAGTTTACTTGTTCCATCACCAATTTTGTACAGAGTGTTCTCTGTGTGTTGGTGAATCACAATCCCAGAATTCCAAAACAGCCCCCCCCCCCCCAACCCCATGTATTCAATGTTGGCCAGTTAGGTAGTGTGTCAAATTTGGTGCAGATCCATCAATCCAGTGATCTTTGATAAATCCCAGCAACTACAACTCCCAAATGTCAAGGTCTATTTCCCCCAAAGTCCCCCAGTGTTCACATTTAGGCATATTGAATATTTGTCCCAAGTTTGGTCCAGACCCATCATTGTTTGAGCCCACTGTGCTCTCTATATGTAGGTAAATTACAAATTCAAAAGTCAAAGTCAATGCTCACCAAACCCAGTATTTTCTGTTGACCATGGGAGTTCTGTGTGCCAAGTTTGGTTCAATTCCATTGCTGGTGGAGTTCAGAATTGAACCAAACTTGACACACAGAACTCCCAAGGCCAACAGTTGTAGGTGTAGTTGCTGGGAGTTGTAGTTGCTGGGATTTATAGTTTACCTTTGATTGTAGGTGAACTATAAATCCCAGCAACTACAACTCCCAAATGACAAAATCAACCCCACCCCACCCCCAAATTCGGGCGTATCGGGTATTTGTCCTGCAAATCAGATATTTACATTACAATTCATAACAGTAGCAAAATTACAGTTATGAAGTAGAAACGGAAATAGTTTTATGGTTGGGGGTCACCACAGTATGAGGAACTATATTAAGGAGTGACAGTATTAGGAAGGTTGAGGACCACTGAGTTAGACTTTGTTAATGTAATTCAGTTCAGCCATTTCTCTTCCTTTGTAATTTCATGTTCAAGGATCACACCCTGGTCCTCAGTTGTGGCCTTTGAACAAGGTTGGGGCCCTTGAACAAGGAAAGTGGCTTCATATTTACAAATCCTCCTTCAGAAATAAAAATTATTGTTAAAAGTATTCACACATTTCTTTTCTCCCCCTTCCTTCCTCGTATTTAATACTAGAAGGGAATAACATGGCTACTTCTTTGAAAACTATACTTTTAGTATGGTACCTTGTTGCTTCAGACTTGTTTGCTCCAGTAGAATAGAAAGGTGCATCATTACTGTATTCATTAAAGACACCCCATCTGAGATGAGCCCATTCATGGACTAAGACTCTGCCTGTGAGAAGCCAATAAAAACAAACCTAATTGGAGCAGCATTATTTTTTGCTGCATGTTCTCCTGCAACCCCCCTTCAAAGATCTAAATAAGATTGGAAATTATTTAGAACAGAAACTGAATAGCTATGAAACAGACAGACAGTTAGATGACTCTTTTGTCTTTAACAGAATGCAAATGTACACAAGTGAAGTTACTCTGGATTCTAGTATTGTGAAACAGACATCATGTGCCTGTACTCACTCATTGGGCAATATATGTCATAGTAATATATAGCATTTCATAGCATCACATTTCTAAACACACAAACACTAACTTTGAAAACTACAACACACTATTTTTAAAACACACATCAACAATCCCCCTGAGCTTTCAAAGTTACTTAGCAAAAAACAGTCACAAAACATCTTACCACTAAGAAAAAACATTTCACACTGTTCTCTCTATCTCAAGTCTCTTAGAGTTCCTTTGGCTAACACACAGTTACAATACATCGTTCAAACTTCTTAAACCTTATACATTTCTACTCGAATACATTGATTACATAACACATCAAAAACTGCATCTATATTGTTACAATCAATTGTTTTCGCATCACTTAGCAAAACAACAAAAAAACAACAACTCAGAACATTTCAGTTTCAAAACCTTTGAACTTTGTTATACACATCTCTTTGGCACCAACCCCCTTTTTGTCATATTCAACCTGTTTGAAATCCTCGATTTCTGTGAATCCTGGACTAAAGTGTGCCTTCCTTTGCATCTCTATTTCTCCTTTGTGTCTTCTCCCTGCATTTCTATCTACCTCATAGACAATGCAAACACTCATAAGTCTGAAAGTCTTCATCTCTTCTTTTCTTCTCTTCTTTCTTCTTCTGCAGAATTAATTACGTTCTCACTCATCTGCACACAAAACGTTTTCGAAACTCACTCTCACCTCTACAATGCAAACTAAACATTGGAACTTTTCACACTCTCTCTCTCTGAGCGTTCAGTCAATCTTGCAACTCCATTTTTCACAACACAACTCCTCTCTCTCACTCAACACCACTCTCTTCCACACACAAAACCCATTTATCTTGATTTAGCTAAATGAGGTGGTTCTTTATAGATCTTTGACTGTGGTGGAACTTTAATAAATGCTGGTTTCCGAGTTGTTTGGCTCTTGACTTGTGTGGTGGTCTTTCGCACTTGATGCTTTCTTTGCAATTGGATGCGAATTGTGGAGTTGCTCCACAGCACCTAAAACAGATGCCCTGCTTTTGAACTATCTGTTGTCTTCCTTTGTGTGGCTTTTTGCCAAATTCCCAGCAATTGGCCAAACTGTGAGGCTTTTGATGAATGGGGCAAAGCACCTCTTTCACCTCCGACTTGGGTTCATCGGTCTTGTGTTGAGTTTCAACAGCCTTTACACTGACCGGTCTTTTGGCTTCTCTAGATGTTTCTTGTCCACTTTAGGCACTTTAGAAGTCTCTGTAGACCTAAAAGTACCTTCCAGAACCTCTTTGTTCAAGTGATGTCTATCCCAGCCTGCATCACCATCAAAATACGCTACCTTTGCAAGTTTCACAGTCTTTGGAGTGTCTTGAAATGTTAGAAAATCTTTATGATAACCCAAGAACAAAAGGCCTCTGCACCAAATAGGCTCATTTCTTACTCTCTGGTTGTAAGGAATCAACACATTTGCTTTCTGCCCAAAAATCTTCAAATTCTTGTAATTTGGCATCATATTGTACATTTTTCTAAATAGAATTTCATTGCTGCTCTCATCCCACATCCTGTTGGTCACATAGTTACTCGTGTGTAATGCATCAGCCCACAAATTCTTAGGACATTGGCTGTCTAGAAGCATGCAATCTTTCATCTGGTTCAAAATTTCCATTCTCTTTAGAGCAATGCTTTCTTCTACAGGTTTGTACGTGTCAGTGTGGGTGTATTTGATATCTCTCACATCTAGAATGCCCTTCACCTCACTGGTCAAAATATCTACTCCTTTGTCAAAAATCATGGTTTCCACTTGTGTATCATACACAGTCTGCACTATGTTCAACCAACTAGCAATTTTTGTTGGTACTTCACTTTCGTCTTGGCAATTGTTTTTCTCAAACATTTCATAAATTTTGTTTCTTTTCACCCCCTTGGCCACAATTTTGCCATCTTTTATTATAAAACAATATATCCCTCTAAATATCACTTTGTAGCCAAATTATGTCAAAGATGCTACACTCAATAATTGGTTTTGATTTCTGGAACATACAGCACATTTTCCCCAATTCACACCTAAACATGGAATATATGCAGTCCCAAAACGATTGAAAGTTCTCAAAGTCCCATCAGCCAGTGTCAATGGTGAACCCTGAGTGTCCTTCACATCCTTCAACTTACTCAGATCATAGACAACATGGTGGGTAGTTCCAGAATCTAGGACCCACTTGTCCTTATCAGGAACTTTCCCATTAGCAGCCATGAAAACCTTCGGCTGGATGGATGTTCTTTTATATAAATCATCTTTATTATGCAGATTTTCAATAATTATGACATACAGTACAAAGGGGGGGGGGCTGGATGGATATTGCTGTTCCTCTTCCTCTTGCTTTCCCACGAAAACCTCTGGCTCCCCCTCTGGGCCGTTGTTTGGTAGTTGGACAAGTTCTAATCAAATGTCCTGGTTTTCCGCAGCCATAACAAAACCGTGTTTTGGCTTGGAATGCACCTGCAACCTCCTGGTTCCCAGGCTCGCCTCCAGGATCGCCATCCGGCTGTAACGCCCCCTGTGGCTGGCACTCACTCCTCTGCTGCTCTTCAAACTTTCTCCTGTCGATTTCCTCAAGGATTTTACTGCACATCATTTTAAGAATGGTAGTCTGCAGCCCTTCTCTGGTTAGGAGATTCTCCATAAAAGCACTCCACTGTGAGAAGCTTATATCACTCATCTCTTCCAGCTTCTACAGCATGCTCAGGGGATTTACACCAGCCATCTCTCTCTGCTCTCCTCAGCCCACACAGAGCACACACACAGAAGGATACGCAGATCTGCAACCGACCCTCAGGAACTTCTGCTCATGGTGACCCTCGAAACCTGAGTTTGCAGCCTGTTGTGGTTCAACAGCAACAGCATGATGGGACTGAGAGTGCAGATGAGCATGATGGAAATGAGAATACAGATGCAGGTGTGGGTTTTCAGTTTTCTCAGTTTTCTCAGTCACAATCTGTAGCTAGAGACAAGCCGCTTTTCTCACAGGAACGGAATGTGGCTGATAAGACAGCTGGTGAAGGTCAGGCTGCCCCACAGGTGTTGAGACGGAGTTTACGAATTGCGGCCAAGAATTGAGCTCATCCGTTGGTGGGAAAACTGCTTGTTAGTTGCCTGTTTGATGTTCAATGTTTTGATGTTTTACCTATAAGTAAACTGCCTTGGAGCTGGTTCTGCGTCAGTTCCAACGTTGCTAAAATGGCCTGCTTGTCTTCGGCTCTGGGGCTTGGGGAAAGCCTGCTTCACGCTATTTCCTGGACTTTTACTCTGCTTCTATGCTTCAAGTCTCCTGCTTTGACTCAAAGGGATTATATTGGATTTGTACCCTGTATTACTGATCTTCTCATTGCTGATGAACTGCTTTGTTTGAAAACCTCACAATAAACTTTCTACTTCACAATTTTGGCTGGTTTGTCAGAGATAGCAAGGTGAATCTTAGCCTGAGATACAACACAGCCAGGCCAATTACTTACTCAAAAGCAAGGCACACAGCAGTCACACACTTCTTGCAGCATCCCAGAACTGGTCTAGTTACTTCTGGCACCTTATCTCCCCACTCGCCATCAATCACAGCAGCTTCAACACAAGTTAAGCACACAGCTTTGGCATAGATTCAACACAGTTTCCGCGCAGTGGAAGCATGCTGGGCCCATAACCAATTGTCATAGTAATGATCTCAGTACAGCAAGGCACTGAAACACTTCTTCTTGTCTAAAAGCTAATTTATTAAACACAAAAAATATTTACACTAAAAGCTAAGCAGAACAAAGGCTTGCTTCCATCTCTCGCGGCAGCTACATGGTTCTTCTTCAATACGTTGTTATCTACAATTTAGGCACCTCCTTACATTCCACAGTGACGTAATGACGTATGATGTACTAGACAATCTCGACGCTAGACACTCGACGCTAGACGCTGCACAGCGTACATAGCTCTTCACACTAAGAATTACGACTCTCTAGGAATGCCGTTCCTCCTTCATGATACAGTTAACCCTTTCCACACAGGAATTACAAACTCGGCACATTACATTTCATAGCATCACATTTCTAAGCACACAAACACTAACTTTGAAAACTACAACACACTATTTTTAAAACACACATCAACAACATATTCAGGGGTAGCCATGTAGGCCATGAAGTAAAATAAAACTAAAAATAAATCCGCAAAAGTGTAGTACTTTATTGCTCTAAATCCCAGAATATCAAGGCAGAAAATCTTACATTATCTGAGTGTTGACTCAGATAACCCAGCTCAAAGGAGATATTGTGGGATTTTCTGCATTGATATTCTGGGATATAGAGCTGTGTAGAAGGATTCCTAGTCAAAAGTGTGAGAGAGCACCTCATGTGTGTAACAATAGGTTCAACTCAATCGTTGTCTTTTACCTGGTTTGAAGACATATGACAAGGTATGCTGGCAAACAAGACTAATTCACTATGTTTGAGGAAGATTTTTTTGCAGCTTGAACATGTACTGAAGACTCAAATATGGAAAATTGCTAATCCTTACTACATTTAGTATCCTTTAGAGAAATGAATGAATGCAAAATGAAATTATGTTTTCATGGCTTTCCAAATTCTGTGATTTTTTTAAAACCTTGACTATGAGTTTGAAGTAAGAGATATTACCTCGTGACCCATAGACGCCGAGAAAATAGCCCTGTATCAAGAAGTCAGAGGTGAAATGAATGTAGCGTCCCTTTATGCCACACCCTCCATACTGCAAAGTGTAAGGATCATCTACAAATTTCAGGAAAGGTTCTGCCACGATAATATCTGCCTAAAATGAAATAGGACCTGTTTTAGAGAGCACCATCAAAGTAGATGTACAAGTAGCAGAAGCCAAAGAAGAGAAGGAAGAAGACAATTATAATTATGCCCCCTTCTACACTGCCATATAATCCAGATTATCAATCTAGATAATCCACTTTATCTGCTTCAAAGTGAGTTATAAGAATCTAAACTTCCATATAATTCAGATCAAAGCAGATAATCTGGATTTTATATGGCAGTGTATCAGCGCCTATGAAGATTTGTTTAGAATTCTCAATGTAATCATCTTATATCCAAATAAGGACATAGTGCTTGAACATAAGACAAGCCTTTAAAAAATCAGGGTAAAAGTGTAAATAAGACAGTCTCTTATTTATTTATTTATTTACTTCCTATATTTATATACCGCCCCTCTCAGCCCAGAGGCGACGCATATGGCCCCTATGTAAAACTAGAACTTATCTTTGGTTGTTATGGCTTCAAAGATACCTATTATTGATACTTTATTAATTGATCTGACGAATCCTTCTTTAAAGCTGTTATCACAACCATAAGAACATTATATTGTGCACAACCCCAATTCTCTCAATAACTACTGTAAAGAAAGTTACAGCATACAAAACATTATAATTATATCCATAATACTTTATTTTTACACCGCCTTTCGTTCAATATAGGAACTAAGAAAAGGGGGCAAACATTTCATTTAGATTTGAAAGGATGCTTCCCACTTACATTCTCGTAGGATTCTCTGGATACCCTTTTGTATTCAGGTTTTGATGCCCATGTTGAAGGTATTACAATTTTTACAGTCCTGAAATAAAACCTCTGTTGTGAAGCACGGTAGAGATAAGAAGAAGCCTCTTTAAACATATCCTAAAAAGAACAAATGGGAGAAAACATCATCATCATCATCATCATCATCATTATTATTATTATTATTATTATTATATTGATTTATAACCTGCTTTATTTATTCAAAGAGGACTCAAAGCGGCTTGACATAAAAGCATTAGTATACAATTTAAAATATACAAATATGCAACCATGAAAACAGAATTAAACACAAACAAATCCATCAAAACATATTGAAAGTTAAATATCACAGTATCCCCTGACTAAACACCTCAATCTCTAAAAGCCTATCTGAATAGAAAGGTTTTAGCCTGCTGCCAGAAGGACAACAGGGATGGTGCCATTCTGGCTTCCCAGCACAAGGAGCTGCAGAGTCGTGGGGCAGGGACCCAAAAGGTCCTCTCTCTTGTTCCCACCAACCGAGCTTGAGCTGGAGGTGGGACTGAGATAAAGGCCTTTGCTGAACATTTCAGTGCCCGGGCAAGTTCCTACAAGGGGATGCGGTCAGCGAAATAGCATGGACCTGAACCATCTAGGGTTTTAAAGGTCATAACCAGCGCTTTGAATGTACCCAGAAACAGACTGGCAGCCAGTGGCATTGCTGTAACAGGGGAGTTCCCAGCACTTCTAAAAGGCAGCCCCAAGTAGAGAGTGTTATAGTAATCCAGATGGGATGTATTCCCTCTCTCCGCTAACCTTTCAATCAGCAAGTTCACCACCAGGAGCATATATTCCACTTGAAATCAGATACTGGATTATATAGCAGTGTAGTTTCATATAATCCAATTCAAATGTGATAATGTGGATTATCTGCTTTGATAATCTGGATTATATTGATGTCGAATCCACCTGAGGCCCCTGCTTTCCGGCTGATCTGACCAGCTGCAGGGAGTTCCACAGTTCCTTGATGCCCTGATGGGCCAACTCTGATGAAATGTGCCCCAGCAGCAGCCTCAACCAAAGACTCTCTGCAACCTTGAGCTTCTCCTATTGCTTTTCTCCTCAGCCCAAACATTGTAACAAAACCCGTAATAAAGACTAATTGGATTGTAATCTTCACCTCTCCATAGTGATATGTTGTGTCTATTTCTTGACTCAAAAGTATCTAATGCATGAATTTATTTATTTATTTATTTATTTATTTGCTTTATTTCTATACCGCATTTTTCAGCCCTTAACAGGCGACTCAATGCGGTTTACATGGTACAATTATCAAACAGTGTCAGTGCAATTAAAACATAATAATGCAACAAACAGGATCAACAGCATCAATCCACAACAGTTAACAATCAACAAGACAGATCAACAAAACAGACATAACATAACGCCTCAGTTGAAATCAGATCCGTTCTCATAATCCTTGTGCCATTCCTATGTTCCATTTACCGTCTTCCTATGATTGGTTGCACTGCTTAACCAAACGCTTGTTCATAAAGCCAGGTCTTAACCATTCTCTGAAACGTCAGCAGCGAAGGTGCCTGTCTGATGTCTGCCAGTAGGGCATTCCATAGCCGAGGGGCCACCACTGAGAAGGCCCTGTCTCTCGTCCCCGCCAAGCGCGCCTGTGACGCAGGCGGGATCGAGAGCAGGGCCTCCCCAGACGATCTTAATGTTCTGGTCGGTTCATAGGTGGAGATGCGTTCGGAGAGGTAAGCAGGGCCAGAACCGTTTAGGGCTTTATAGGCTAAAGCCAGCACCTTGAATTGTGCCCGGTAGCGGATTGGCAGCCAGTGGAGCTGGTTCAGCAGAGGAGTGGTATGCTCCCTGAGTGCCGCTCCCGTTAGCAACCTGGCCGCCGAGCGCTGGACCATCTGAAGCTTCCGGGCAGTCTTCAAGGGCAACCCCACGTAGAGCGCGTTGCAGTAATCAATCCGGGATGTAACCAGAGCGTGGACTACCGTGGCCAAGTCAGACTTCCCAAGGTACGGGCGCAACTGGCGCACAAGTTTGAGTTGTGCAAATGCTCCCCTGGACACCGCCGAAACTTGGGGTTCCAAGCTTAGCGAAGAGTCCAGGATCACACCCAAGCTGCGAACCTGCGTCTTCAGGGGGAGTGTAACCCCGTCTAACACAGGCTGTAACCCTATACCCTGTTCGGCCTTTCGACTGACCAGGAGTGCCTCTGTCTTATCTGGATTCAGTTTCAATTTGTTAGCCCTCATCCAGTCCGACACAGCGGCCAAGCACCGGTTCAGGACCTGGACAGCCTCCTTAGTAGTAGGTGGAAAGGAGTGACAGAGTTGGACGTCATCTGCGTACAGATAACACCGCACCCCGAAACTCCGGATGATCTCTCCCAACGGCTTCATGTAGATGTTAAATAACATGGGGGACAATATTGAGCCCTGCAGGACCCCACAAGACAATGGTTGTGAGGTAGAGCAGTTGTCCCCCAGCAACACCTTCTGAGTACGATCCTCTAGGAAGGACCTGAGCCACTGCAGAACAGTGCCACCAAGGCCCATTCCCGCGAGGCGTCTCAGAAGGATACCGTGGTCGACGGTATCGAAGGCCGCTGAGAGGTCCAGCAGAACTAACAGGGACACACTCCCCCTGTCTAGCTCCCTGCGCAGATCATCCACTAAGGCGACCAAGGCTGTCTCGGTACCATGTCCCGGCCTAAAGCCAGACTGTGCCGGATCTAGATAATCAGTGTCTACCAAGAATACCTGGAGTTGTGAGGCCACCACACGTTCCAGGACTTTGCCCAAAAAGGGAAGATTGGAAACAGGCCGATAGTTGACGAATTGAGTGGGATCCAGTGATGTTTTTTTCAACAGCGGTTTTATCACAGCTTGTTTTAAGCTGGCTGGAATTTTGCCTTCCCGAAGGGAGGCATTAACCACCACCTTCACCCACTCGGCCAATCCCCCTCTGGCCTCCTTTAGAAGCCAGGATGGGCAGGGGTCTAGGATGCATGTGGTGCCTCATTCCTCCCAGTATCTTGTCCACATCCTCGGGTTTCACCAATTGAAATGAATCCAACAAAATCCCCAGGATCCAGGGAACTTGATGTGGTCACCCCATGAGACCTTCGGGAAGTGGATCTGCTACTCTCGCTCCAGTCCTTCAAAGGGATTATAGTTCTCCAAGGACCAAAGGACAAGCTTCAGCCCCAGTGATGCCGAGCTCCATATGAACTTATCCTTTTTCGGGCCGCGGGCAGCCGCCAACTCACCTGGGATGCTTCTAGGCATCCCGGGGAGGCCGAAACTGCATATCTTTAAACCGCGGATACGGAAACCCCTCGGGCCCCTGTATCCATGAGTTAACAAAAGACTCCATTTTAGTGCCATATTTTTCTTAGCCTAATTCTAACACTAACTGCTATCTCACTTTTTGCATTTTGGGCTCCTGCGCTCTGGGAATAACCCTTTTATTTTAAAGAATATATTTAAAGAGAAACAGCTGATTGTTAAACTGGCCTTCCTGCTGCTGCGCTGCTCCCGCCATCACTTCCTCATCCTTTTGGAGCCCCAGGATCCAGGGAACTTGATGTGGTCACCCGATGAGACCTTCGGGAAGTGGATCTGCTACTCTTGCTCCAGTCCTTCAAAGGGATTATAGTTCTCCAAGGACCAAAGGACAAGCTTCAGCCCCAGTGATGCCGAGCTCCATATCCTGGCTCAGTGGAATTGCCAAGCCACTTCTTATGATCTTTTGAACTCTTTTGCCCCACATCAAGGACTCTCTTTCCCCTTATGGACATATTTTCATCTATGGACTTTCACATAAATATTATGAACTATGGACTTATATAGAGCCATGATCAAGGCTCTTATCAATTTCACTATGGAACTCAGGTGGGAGGGATAAGTGGGTATATTTTTCTGCACCATGACTTCTATATTTCTCCCTGTGTATCTGACCTTTGCCTGACCCTTCTGACCTATTCCCTTTATTAAAAAAATGTATAAAATATAAGAAGCCACTCTCTGTGACCCTGCAAAGAATGAAATCCTCTGTCGAAAAGAACCTTATCAAACAACTTATTTGCATGAACAATACAATGCGAAGCCACCCTGGGGCTCGGAGTCAGCCCCCCCAGCGGATGGTGCCCACTTGGCACTGATGATATCTCAACAGGACAAAAGGGCTTTCGGAAAGCCACACTTTGTCCTGATCTGTTTGCCCATTCAAACCCTCCTCCACTGAAACTTCAGCTAAGACTGCCTCATTGTTCCCATATCTCGGCACCAGGAAAATCCGGATTCTGGCAGGCTTGCCAGACTTCAACGTTGATTGCCACGAATCAGAGACAATAGGCAGGCTGGCTGGCTAGAAGGCCCCCTGAGGACTCGTCGGCCATTTGGAGACTACATATCTCCAGAATCCACTCAAGAATTCATTGTTTCCCTCCCGTCCCGCCTCCCTCTCTTCTGATTGGGCGGGAAGCCAAGGCGGCAGAAGCTCAGCGATTGGCCAAGGCGCTCAAGAGGCGGCCTAGCCTCTTCCCAGCTGTAGAGCGCCAGCCAATCATCGCCGAGCCAGCAGAGGGGAGGGGAGCGGGAAATTCAAACCTGACAGCTCTGTTTCTGTATTAAAAAGGCTTTATTTTGTGTACATGTTTATGCTTTGCTTGACGAATTATTGCAGCTTTGTATCCTTTCCAGCTGGATCGCAATAAAATCAACTCGGTAGCTCTTCCTTCAGCTTTGGTGAGATTCTTTTGGGAACTTAGGGAAATCTTTTAATTGCGGCTTCTCCTTTCTTTTGCTCACCAAAGTAGCGAGCCCTCTTTGGTGGGTCCACAGGGTCTCTCCTTCAGGGTGAAACCCTTTTAAATTTCTCCTCGACTTCAATATTGCAATGTAGAAGGCGGCCTAGTGTTGCAAATCCTACTTATACTTTTAGGTGATGGTGAGGCCCCATCTATACTGCTATATAATCCAGTTGCCAGAACCAGATTGCCTGATTTGAACTGGATTATATGACTAATATAATCCAGTTCAAAGCAGGCCCCTTCTACGCTGTCATATAATCCAGATTATTAAAGCAGATAATCCAAATTATCACATTTGGATTATATGAGTCTACACTGTCATGTAATCAAAACAGATAATCTGGTTATCTGAGATGATAAATTATCTGGGGACATGGCTGGCTGACAAGTGTGCACAGAATATTATTTTACTGCAACTTTGTGTTGCAGCCCCTTTAGGGGCCCTTCCACACAGCCCTATAACCCAGAATATCAAGGCAAAAAATCCCACAATATCTGCTTTGAACTGGGTTATCGGAGTCCACACTGTCATATAACCCAGTTTAAAGCAGACAATGTGGGATTTTATTCAGATGTGTGGAGGAGGCCTGAGTGACATGATGGCAGATATTCCAGGTCAAAAATTTGCAAAAATGCAAAAAATCTCATATAATCCAGTTGAAATCAGATAATCCGGAATCAGATACTGGATTATATGGCAGTGTAGTTCTAACCTGACAAAAGAGTGCAAGGAATACCATCTTATTGCAACTTGGGCCCCTTCTACACTGCCACATACAATCCAGATTATCTGCTTTGTTAATTGTATTATATGGCAGCATGGAAGGGGCCTATGAAAAGATTTACAGTAACAACCTAAAACACCCATCTATGGCCACTGAATCTTGTGAATCTCCAAAATAATAATAATAATAATAATAATAATAATAATAATAATAATAATAATATATTTATTACCTTTTTCTCCTTGTGGTTTCAGTTAGCTAAACTCAACAATGGTTACACCGCTACAAATTCAATACATCAACAAAATGTAGTGGTCTTACCTTTATGCTGTTAATGATGTTGGTGTTTTCCGCTAAACTAGGGTGAATGCCAATCACGACATCTTCATATCCACCATTGCTGAGCTTTACAAGGCTCCCCTTCGCCCCACGGAGCAGCAGCAGCAACGCCAGGAAAAGGTGCCACTCTTTCTGCGCCATCTTCGCTTGTGCCAGGCTCTATCTCGTCTTGGGCAGAAATGGTGGCACAGAGGGGTAAACAATGCAGCTGTGTAAACACATACACACACATACCAAAAAAACCCCTCTGTTACGTTTAACCGGTGTTTTATGACAGGCTTTGTTCTGCCGACAACGTCCAGGCGCTTGCTCCTGTCAGAAATAAACCTGTCACCATTCCTTAAGAGTATTTCTTAGGGAGAGGAAGAGAAGGCTTCCCCAAGGCTTGTCAAGGCCGGCCTCGTCTCCTTGCTCCATGAAGCAGATCCTCCATCTGTCCGGTGGTTTGCCGCCAATCGCTATGTTGCTGAGGGGATTGGGGCATGGGTAGGCCTTGCAGCCTCAGCAGCCCCTGCTTGCCCTATTGGGAGGACTGTGGGGAGCCTCGGGCCTTGCAGGCCTCTCTAGGCCCCTCCTAAGCCTGCTGCTTTCCAAATGGGTCACATGGGAAGGGCGAGAGAGAGGCCCTTGCCTTGCCTGGCCTCCTTGTTCCCAGCTTGTGTGTTTCTACAAAAAGTCCCAAAATACTTCTAGGAATATATACCCCGGGTATATTATTAACACAGTTTGATACCATCTGAACTGACATAACTCGATGGTATGCAATTATGGGAGTTTGGTGAGGCATCAGCACCCTTTAGCAAAGGTTAAAGAAAAGGTAAAACTACAACTCCCACGATTCCATGGCATTGATCCAGGGCAGTGCAAGTGGTGTCAAACTGCATTAATTCTGCACTTCAAGCATTTGTCCAGACCAAAGCTTTTCCAACTGTGTGCCATGACACCATAGTGCCCTTTCACACAGCCATATGACTTCGAATATTTAGACAGAAAATCCCACAATATCTGCTTTGAACTGGGATATCTGAGTCCACACTGCCATATATTCCAGTTCGGATAATGTGGGATTTAATTCAGCTGTGTGGAAGCCACTTCAGGGCCCTTCCACACAGCCATATCTCCCAGACTATCAAGGCAGAAAGTCCCACAATACCTTTGAACTGGGATATCTGAGTCCACCTTGCCATATAATCCAATGTAAAGCACATAAAGTGGAATTTTATTCAACTGTGTGGATGGGGACTAAGTGTATTGGCCGCAGTATGTCACAAACATATTGATTATTGTATTGTCGAAGGCTTTCATGGCTGGAATCACTGGGTTGTTGTAGGTTTTTTCCGGGCTATATGGCCATGTTCTAAAGGCATTTTCTCCTGATGTTTCGCCTGCATCTATGGCAAGCATCCTCAGAGGTAGTGAGGTGAGGTGCTTGCCATAGATGCAGACGAAACGTCAGGAGAAAATGCCTTTAAACATGGCCATATAGCCCGGAAAAAACCTACAACAACCCACTCGAGTGGAGTACAGAAGAAGAAAGAATTAAAGATGGGATGGTAAGATGGGCAAGGAACATCGGGAAATCGATACCTCTAAAAGAATGGGAGAACATTTGGATCAAGAAGTTGAAGTACACAAAGGCATATAATTTGAAAGAAAATTGGCTGAAAATGCTCTATAGATGGCATATGACACCGAAGAAATTAGGAACATATTATAAAAACCTTAATACAAAATTCTGGAAGTGCGGACAAGTAGAAGGATCATATTACCACATGTGGTGGCACTGCAGCAAAGCCAGACTATATTGGAAAAAAAATACAGGAAAAGTTACAGAAAATACTTAAGATAAACATACCATTGAACCCAGAGATCTTCCTGCTAGGACTCATAGAGGAGAAAATTGATCAAAACAAAGAGAAACTTCTCTTTTTAGCTACGACAGTGGCAAGAATATGCTTTGCCAAAAAATGGAGAAAGAAGGAAACGCCAGACATAGAAGAGTGGGAAACGAAACTTATAGACATAAGAAATATGGACAGACTAAGTTATTTAATACAGAAAGGCAAAAGACTCTCAGAAACAGAAACGGACTAGACATTAATAAATGAACATTTTGGATGGAATGGATAGGATGAAATAGAGGACAACTGCCAAGAATAATATAGTGACAACAGGAAAAGGAATTTTATATAAAAGAAAGAAAAGGAATTCTCTTCAACAACACCAGGAAGTCAGACCGAAAGCAGGGGAATTCCTCGATCTTCATTTCCGCTGTTTTTAAACTTTCACACTTTTTTCCCCCGTTTCCAACACTCCTCACTTCTCCCCCCCCCTTTTTTGCCCGCACCCAGCTCTTTTTGCCCAAACTGTTCTTGTTTTTATTTATACCTTTACCCTTTCTGGGTTACTATCTGATACTTTTTTTTTCTTTTCTCTCTCTTTTTCTGTTTTGCTTTTAACCTGTAACAAGAACATTTTTAATAAAGATTTTTTAAAAAAGAACATGGCCATATAGCCCGAAAAAACCTACAACAACTCATATTGGTTATTATATTAGATATATATGAGATATATTGTGTCATTACAATTTACGTGTGTGTACATATCTCTTATAAGGGGCTGGTTTAAACTCCAGTTTGCTAATAAAACTGAATTACTGTGTTGTGAAATGATGCATGTCTAAAAAATGTGTCACTAACAAAGTGTTTTATCCAATAGTAAAGCAATAATTTGCTTTTTTTTTTTACACCAAAGGTGGCCAGTATATCCCAGCTGCAACAAAGGTCTTCCAAGCAAAGGTAACAGCCCAATTATTATAGGCAATTTCGGTGTGGATCACAGCCTTCACATCCAAAGTAGAACAAGTTCAATCAGGGTTTCTCAGAAAACTGTCTGCTGTCCCCAATTGTGTCCCATCTGCTGTTTTAAGACTGGAATCAGGAACAGCCTCACTCGAACCACCAACTTGGGGAAGGGCTCTAAGATATCGAATGGAGAGAGTGTACAAAGGGCCTGAAGCGGGTTATACATATTTGATTCAAAAAGACCTCTTTAAATCCCACCAAATCAAAGCATTAAATCAGAAACTCAGGCAGACGGGTCTCCCAGAGAACATACTGAGTGGTTTTGAGCATAAAAAGATAATGCAGATCTTAGCGGAACGAATCAGTGACATAGATAAACAGGACTCAATAACTCTGGCCTGCTCCACATACTCTCCATTGAGTTTAGGCCTAACATTTAATTCTTTGGGAGGTGCCCAATACTTAGAAAATTTAAACATCCCAAAATTTTACCTTGTTTTCAGTTGGGCCAGATTAATGCCCTCAAATGAACCATACTAGAGTGTAGATACAAAGGGACTGATTATGAACACAGAGTTTGCCTTTTCAGGGAGAGTAAAATCGAAACTATAATACATATACTTTTTATTTGCACAATTTACAAGGATGATAGACTAAGGTTAATATCCCCTCTACTCACCTAGTGGCCAAGAAGAACCCTAAGTTGGTACTGCACTTATTTACTGTCTGATCTTGACAAAAGGGTAACGGAACAGGTGGCCAAATTTCTGTTTGCAGCGGCAAAAAGCCGCAAGTGCTTCATGAATAACCTGAAAATGCTAAGAGTGTAACAAAGAGTACTCGAGAGACTTATTATTAACTAGCCGTCCCCTGCCACGCATTGCTGTGGCCCAGTCTGTGTATATGTGTTTTGTGTGTGTATTTTTGTGTATATATGTGTGTTTGCATGTGTGTGTGTGTGTGTGTGTGTGGGTAGGTGTATATATGTGTGTATATATTTGTGTATTTGTGTGTTTATATGTGTACACGCATATTGTGTATATGTGTGTGCATGTGTATATATGTATGTGTGCATGTATATGTGCATATGTATATGTGTATGTATATGTATGTGTGTATATTTGTGTGTGTTTGTGCATATATATCCGTGTGTATGAATGTGTGCATGTGCATATGTATATGAGTGTATGTGTATATGTATATATGGTGTAATTTTGGGGGTTTTAAGTCTGTTCGCTGGGGTTTTGTGTGTGTGTGCGTGCACGTGTGCGTGTGTTTATGGGTAATTGACACTTGTTGGATTGTTAGGTGTATTGTGTCCAAACTTGGTGTCAATTCGTCCAGTGGTTTTTGAGTTGTTAATCCCACAAACGAACATTACATTTTTATTTATATAGATTGGCAGTCAGTTCCTGCTTTAGATTATAAAGACAGTCATTCAACCAATAGCAAATGGCGATACTTGTTTTCATTAATCATAAGCCAAATGTGATGTTATTAATTACTTAAATGTTGTATTTCATCATTCTACAGGGTGAGGCAGCATAACTTCCTTTTTTAAAATGCACACCATTCAGTCGGTTGAAGACGTAGCGGAGCACTAGTGGTCTCGTTCGAGAGGCAGGAGTATAAAGTTTTGTCTGCGGTGTCACCTGTACGCAGATGACGTCCAACTCTGTCACTCCTTCCCACCTGCTACTAAGGAGGCCGTCGAAGTCCTGAACCGGTGCCTGGCCGCTGTAATGGTCTGGATGGGGGCGAACAAACTGAAATTAAATCCAGACAAGACAGAGGTACTCCTGGTCAGTCGCAAGGCCGAGCAGGGTATAGGGTTACAGCCTGTGCTGGACGGGGTCGCACTCCCCTTGAAGGCGCAGGTTCGCAGCTTGGGTGTGACCCTGGATTCATCTTTGAGCCTGGATCCCCAGGTTTCAGGGGTGACCAGGGGAGCATTTGCACAGCTTAGGCTGGTGCGCCAGCTGCGCCCGTACCTTGGGAAGTCTGACTTGGCCACGGTGGTACACGCTCTGGTCACATCCCGCCTTGACTACTGCAACGCTCTCTACGTGGGGCTGCCCTTGAAGACGGCCCGGAAGCTTCAGCTAGTCCAACGCGCGGCAGCCATGTTACTAACGGGAGCGGGACGCAGGGAGCATACAACGCCCTTGTTGTCCCAGCCCCACTGGCTGCCGATCTGCTACCGGGCCCAATTTAAGGTGCTGGTGTTATCCTACAAAGCCCTAAACGGTTCCGGCCCAAAATAAACACGCAGTAGTGTGACCCATGCCCAACGACACAATGAATAGGCCAGACAGCATATACCTCAAAGTCGAACCTACTAAGTCGAAGCGAGAGAACACCATGCACACTTTGATGAACCGTTGTAGTATCACATGACACTGTTGAAGCTCGCGCCGCACCACGACACCAGTGATACACTGGGGAGGCGTATAGCGCAACAGCCGCAGCCGATGCGGATAACACTACGAAAGGGCGAACACCGTGAAGCGAATTACATAGGTGCGTCGGCGGGGACGAGAGAAAGGGCCTTCTCGGTGGTGGCCCCCCGGTTGTGGAACACCCTCCCTACTGAAGTTAGACAGGCGCCCTCTTTGATGGCCTTTCGCAGGAGCCTGAAAACTTGGCTCTGCGAGCGGGCCTTCAACTAAGTGTATTGGTGTAACGACTTAGAATGGACTATGACTACGAACTTGGCTATGACCCTAGGACTAGACGAAGCGGATTTTTAGGATAAGTATGTGTTGTAGTAGTAGTCTTGATGTACTGTCGTGATTTTTGTATACTGTCTTTCTATGTTGTTGTTCACCGCCACGAGTCGCCCCTAGGGCTGAGAGTGGCGGTCAATAAGTACAAGAAATAAATAAATAAATAAATAAATAAATAAATAATTCCATTCTTAGACAGACTTTCCCCCACATAGACATTTCTAAAAACTGGTGCCATAAAATGCACATGATCTGCTTTGAACTGGATTATATGAATCTACACTGCCATATAATATAATTTGAAGTAGATAATCTAGATTGTATATGGGAGTATAGATGGGGCCTTAGAATCAATAGAAGTGCTATATAAATACACCTTTTACCATTGGTGGTACTGCAATTAGTGTGCGCCTTACAATTGATGGTATGGTGTCTTAGAGTGTAAGAAATATGGAATTACCAGAGTGGAGAAACTGTAGCTATCTCACATTGATATACTACCACAAATAGTTTTTATAGTAAAGTCAGGGAACAGATAATTTAAGATTAGTCCCAACTCTGATTGCTTTGAATATGAAATGACTTGGCATTATTTCATTTAATGATGAAACACAATTCACAACATTAATTAGCAGTTTATTAATGTAATTTTGATAAAATTTTGTTCCTGCAACAATTCTTTAAAACATAGGCCATCACTCTCCTCTGAGATTTGACTTCTATGCAGTGCCTTCGCATTGCGCATTCAATCATAAATACAGCCATTCATGAGATTATACATTTAAAAAAGCAGATCTGCTTCATGCTGTTGACGTTTTGTACACAATTTATGGAGAATCACCATTGGAATGGAAACATGTAGATGTTCATGGGACATTAACTTGATCCATGCTAGCTATAGTGTGAGTGCTTGCAGGACGCTTGATTTTCCGCTTATGTAAAATATAGAATGTTGTGCCAACAATAACAAAAAGAGTGGCAAGACTGCATACTATGCCCACAATGATAGCAATGAATTTGGATGGACCACGGGGAGTAACAATAGTAGGAGTGGGAGGATCTTCAATAAACAGAGTGGCCCTTGCAATATTGGATACTTCTCCAACATTGTTGCTGCCATCGATGGCACGAATGGCAAAGTAGACGAAGGTGCCATTTTCTTTTGAGAGCTTTTCTGGCTTATAGCGAAAGGACTGTTTGGTTCCAGCTAATTCAGGTATCAGATCAGAAGTGTCCAAAGAGGTGGCATTAGGAAAGTTAGCCTCTGTTAAGTCCAATGGATTTTCACTCTTTTTTATTTCATATCTGTCAGCTGAAAAACATGGTAGAGATGACACATTCTCATTAGGGTACAGGCACTCAATCATGACTCTAAATTAACTGTGAAGTAATAGTAGTTCCATATAACTCCGAAAGTATATTATTTTAATTTTAGCTCCAAAAGACGCATTAAGGCTTATTTTCAGGGGTTGTCTTCTTTCATATACAACAATCCACATTTCTTCATGTACAAAAAAATCTACATTATTCAAATGCAGTCATGCCATTTTCTGAAACATCATTTTAATATTATATCCATTTTATTATTTATTTATATTTAATTATATCTTAATATTATTTTATATTTATTTATATTTAATTATATCTTAATATTATTTTATAATTCAATACATTTGTGGTAGGTTGCAATGGATAGACTTAATTTTGCTGTTGAACTTATTTTTGGGAAAACTACAACTCATAATAATAATAATAATAATAATAATAATAATAATAATAATTTGCTTTTTATCTGCCTCTCCTCATAGATTGAAGCAGGCTACGACACAGTTAAAATGGCCAGAAAAAAAAGTCATAAAATACAGAAAGATACCAGCTACTTTTTGCATAATCTGGGGTTTTTGGGGGGAGGGGATGTCAGGAACTACTTGAGAAACTGCAAGTCACTTCTAGTATGGGAGAATTAGCAGTCTGCAAGGACACTGACCGAGGGACACCCGGATGCACATACCTAGTTTACACCAAAGAGTTCTTGGTTCCTTTTTTGTCTCTCAGTGACCATACATGCTCCTAACAATTACAACAGGAGCTGCAGTGGTACAATGGATTAAACCATTGTGCCAGCTGAACTGCTGACCTGAAGGTCAGCGGTTCGAATCAGTGAGCTCCCATGAGCTCCTGTCGGTCCCGTGAGCTACCATCTGTCAGCTCCAGCTTCCCATGTTGGGACATGAGAGTAGCCTCCCACAGGATGGTAAAGCATCCGGGAGTTCCCTGGGTAAGGTCCTTGCAAACAGTCAGTTTTCTCACACCAGAAGCAACTTGCAGTTTCTAAGTTGCTACTGACATAAAAAAAACCTATTACAATTCAAGTAAGCCCATTTCATAGGTGAAACTGAACAGCCTGAATAGATAAGCTTGCCACTGGCACAAGCCATGTGCTTTTTTCCCCCTTTGTGCCTACTTTCCCCTCTCTTCTTTGTGCCTTTTCTATATATCTTTAATCTTGATTTAACCAATTAGTCCAGAAGTTTCCAGAAGATTCTCAGACTATACGTAAATAGTGTTATAGACTCCAGGTCTCCATTCAGAATAAGCCAAGGAAACTTTAGTTTACTCTCAATTAATTCGCTTTTACAGGAGGCATCATTCGGACGCCTCCGGTAAAACCGAGACAGGTCCCGCTTTGGAGCCTGTCTTATGGGCCCTAACCTGATGTTCCCTGACTCTAAATTCAGGAGACTATAAAGTATAGCCTACAGCATCAAGAAAACACACCCCAAACAACAGCAAGCAATACCTCCAAAAATGATTTAACTGTGAGATGAAACTATTTTGCCCTCTATGAAAACAAATGAGGATATCTTTGGCAGGTCTAAAGGACTATAACTTTTGTTCAAAAGAAGCCATCACATGATGCAGATCTCCTCATCCCTGTCCCATTGTCACAGAACACTGAAAACTGAAACCAAAAATTCTATTTCAGAAATACAGACAGTCCCCAAGTTACAAACAAGATGGGTTCTGAAAGTTTGATCTTATGTTGAAGTTGGAACAGGTACTCTAACTCTGTGTGTGTGTGTGTCCATCCGTCCAAGCTTTGGATAGCATTGGGAAGTGTTAACACCCCAGTTGTATTTGTTTTGCCAAAGACCTGCCAAGGATATCCTCGTTCAGAAGATTTCACCTCACTTTCTGCCCCTGTGATAATTGGATTATGAAAAATTTGGCTTTTTGTGGAAACAAGGGTTGGCGATAAAGCTTCAGTAGAGACACCTTTTCCCATGATAACTCTTTCAGGACTGAATTTTCCCTTCTGGTGGGTAGATTTCACTCACTTCCTCTTCTCTCACTCCCCTTTGTAACTATGAGTTGTTTGTAAATTGAATGTTTGTACTCCGCCTTGAGTCGTTAGAAGAGGCAGGTAAGAAATGAAATGTGTTATTGTTTTTGTTACCAGAGAATAATTTTATTTATCTTAGTACAAATAATGTTAAGTGTGTGCATACATGCGCAAAGCAGAAATGCTGATGGGTTGTCCACCCTATCCCACAATAAACCCAAGTTTACTCGCAAATAATACTGGATCAACTTGAGGGTTGACATCCTTTTTTCCACAGAAACAATGCAATACTCCTTTAGGATACTAAGGAAAGGGAATAACTGGTGTAAATAGAAAATATTCAAAACAGTATTTAAACTGTAGAAAAGGCCACCTATTTAATTGATGGGCCCATAAGAGCATTCAATTTGAATCAGAATTGTACTTACCTTGTCCCGAATCAAAATTATCCCCAGGGGCTGTCCAAGACAAAACAAATTCATTATCTTTATTGAATATTACTTCAAGGTCGGTTATTTTATTTGGTGGGAAAACATCTGAAGTCCCTCCAGCAGGAACATCTGTTATAACAAAACTACCTCCTGATACCACTCTGTTAAAACCTCCTGTGCCGAGACTGGTATCCGTAACATTCCTTACAGGTCTTGGTGGGTTCAGATGTATTGTACCTGTGTGAAAAAAATTGAAAAACCTTCAACAGAGGTAACACTTGGCTTGTAAGATACGGGGGGGGGGGGGGGGGGGGGCATAGAGGCAATGACACATCTTGTCCTGGGCTATAGCCAGCTCTCCACACTCCTGGGTATACAGTTGTTGTACTATAGGTTGTAGATTGGAATTTTTTGTTGTTCTGCACTGAGGTGTATAGTATTTGATATTCATAATCACTGCTATACATCACATGTTTTGTGTTTATTTGCAGTATATGAAGTTCAGTTATATTGGAGAAAATCTAACATCTCAATAATTTAGCAATAATCCCATGAGCCCCGTGTATGTGTTACAGTGTCTATCAAGAAGCAGGAAAAATTGCTTATCTATAACTGTGGCTTTCTGAGTGGTGATATGTACAGTCACAATCCTCACACCTCATGAGATCAACTGTCTTAGTATGTTTTACCATGAGATAATTGGATCTGGGAGAACAGAGAACATAAAAAGGCCATGTATATTGGAAGGAACAAGGCTTGTGCCAAACACTATTGCGCAGTGCTGCACTTGTTCTCCTCAAGTGGTGGAGTTCAGAGATGACCATTCAAAGAGCCACCGCTACACTTAAGCTAATTGTCTTTTGTATAGATTTGTATCATGTCTGCTCTTTTTACAACGATATATCATACATATGCATAAAATTTATTAATATGAATTACTTATTTTGTATTTTAAGTAGTTATTAAAACACATTATTTTTTTCTTTCGAATTTTGTTATCTATTAGTGCAATTTCTTCATCTTTATCAACAACAATATTTCATATCTCCACTGCAGAAAAAGTTAAAGCAACTTGATGATGCATAAATTCGAAATGCTTCTTTTTATATAATCAGTAAATACATTAAAATCACAACTCTGTAATACAGTACGTTCTTGATTAAGGTCCCCCAGAGCATCTTTTCAATCTTTAATGGAACAATATTGAGTTGCTTCCTCACAATGTTGTCCCCACATTGGGAGTTGTAAATCTTAATACATTGAATTCTTTTAATTTCACATCCCCCCTCCCCCCGGGTGCAAAAATAGCCTTGAAAATGTGCTTCTTATCATTTGGGATTTATTCTGAAGGAAGCCAATAACTGATTTTTTATTTTTTTACAGATAGTGGCCTCTTCTGTTCATATATTATTTTCTGAGTAGAAAAATCATGTTTTCTGTGCACGAAACTTGCTTTCTGTGCAGAAAATGCAGTATTCTTCGTAAATAAATCACATGCATTTTATACAGAATAAATCACAAATGGCCACGGTTCTCACCTGTCCAGGAATGTATTCAATAACATTATCCCACCCTTGGGAAAGCCATTTTTGTCTATTGTTACTTAAATATTTTTGAATACTCTTTCCATCTCTTTCCTATGCAGCTGTTGCACTGGTGTAAATACTGCAGCTACATGAGCAAATGTACAGATAACTCTTCCCCATACAATCAACACAACATGTGACATAAAGGCTTGTAAACAGTTCATATTACTGAGGCCTAAATCCAGTTACTAATAAAGTGCACCCACTGAAGTTATGATACTTACGTGTTCAATTGCCACGTTCCTATAGATTCAATTAATCTAACCAAGATGGGACTGACAATTGGACTTTGGCCAGATGGGGACAGGGACCTATTTCAGGCATACTTGGTGGCTGAATGTTTTTTAAGTCCTTTTAAATAATAAACCCAGTCATTTCTAGATCACATACTGTATATACTGTATTTTATTGCATAATAGTCACCACCGCATAATAATTGCTCTCCCATTTTGGGGTGGCAAAATTGGTATTTTTGTGTGTTCCTGCATGCCAGGGACTAGATGGCTCTTGTGGTCTCTTCCAACTATGATTCTATGTTGCTAAAGTGCTTCAGAAAGGCAAAGGAAGGCTGCCAGAATATTATTTTAAGATCCATGTAAGAATTTAGAAAATGTTTAACTGAGACTCTTCCATCACACTGAGTTTGTGACACAATGGTAGGAAGCACACGACTGATAGGATTACAACAGGCTGTGGGTATGATCAGATTTATACAAAATCAGCCAAGGAAATTGGTAAAGGAATGATAAAAAAAGCCCAGTATTTCCATAAGGATTTCACACTCTTGGAATTTTTATCACCACTAACACCATAATCTGCAGTTTTCAAAGAACAGAATACTATTTGAGTACTTACCATCATCTGCTATAAAACCCGGTAGATATATACCTTGCCTTTGCCTATGGGTCCTTCTAAAAAGCTTGCCTCCCCCTTGGACGCTCACTTTGATGCTGTATCTGCCATTGTTTTTGAAAGCTGTGAAATACCGTGAATAGATCCCATCAAATTTTTTTATATCAGCACCTTAAGGCATAAAATATTGAGAATTAATATCTATCTAATAAAATATCTATGCATGTATGTATATATTTTTCAAGGTGGCTTCCACATCTAGATAGTTGTGTGACTCCCACTGACAATGGCCCTGGACCAAACTTGAAATGTAAAATTTCATTCATAAAATCCAGAAACAAACCATGACAAATTTTAATATTTATCATTTAAAAAACCTAACCCAGGCATCACTGGGTACCAAAACTAGTCTAAAATAAACATCTTACTGTTGGTCATTTAAAAAAAAAAGTTGGCCATTTAAAAAAAATCCTATCAAATGTATATGCTCACTTCATGGTATCTTCTCCTGTTTACAAGGATTTTTTTTTTGTCGTGTCAGGAGCGACCTGAGAAACTGCAAGTCGCTTCTGGTGTGAGAGAATTGGCCATCTGCAAGGACGTTGCCCAGGGGACACCCGGATGATTTGATGTTTTCATCATCCTTGTGGGAGGCTTCTCTCATGTCCCCGCATGAGGAGCTGGAGCTGATAGAGGGAGCTCATCCGCCTCTCCCCGGATTCGAACCTGCGACCTGTCGTCTTCAGTCCTGCCGGCACAAGGGTTTAACCCACTGTGCCACTGTGGGCTCCAGTACAAGGAAATAAAGAACATATATTAACACAAGCACTTGAAAATAAACTTACCTGCACCATCATCAAATAGCTCTAACTTTTCAGGTTTATCAAATGTGGATTCAACTGTGGCCATGACAATGGCTCCAAAAACTGGAAAAAGTCCATGGGTGACTTCTGCATAAATGATCATTGGATTAGGAAAAGCATTGCTACTTGTGCTCATGTAGGACTTCACAGTCACTGGAGGCACAGAGGCATCTGCAGCTCGGGTGGTGACCGTTATGGAAATTACTTGAGCTGCCGAGTGAATATTCTGAATTGAATAAACCCAGCGTCCTATCTGCAAATCAAAGTGTTACAGTATGAAATGCGGCATGTAAAACTTCTGGAAATAGTTATCCCCCATTTATACAATGCCATGCTGTTTTATCTGTAGATAACAAAGCTGTAATTCCAGAAGCTTTGTAAGCTATGTATATATTAATGTTTAGTCACTAAAATCGTGCTTGACCCTTGTATTAAGCATAACAATGCTTCATATAAGGAATAAGCACATTTTTAATTACTAAATAATAAATTAAATATGTTTATGTATTATGTTCAACAGAAATAAAACCCTATTTTTACCTCTGCAGTTCCAGGAATCTTCAGCCTAGCTGTTCGGATGTTGGAATTTTCAATTACAAAGTCTGTTTTTGTGTACTTTTTTCCTTTGGGATCTGTCAGGGAAATTTCTGGTGGACTTGTGCTTGCACTCCATGTAATCAGAAAGAAAGTGTCATTTCCCACAGTTTGATCAATAGTAACAATACCATTCATCAATTTCCTGCCATTAATGATTTGTGCCTTACTTTCAAGCTGTGGAGAGGGAGCAAGTAAATAAAAAGTGTTTTAATATAGTGAAAAAGTGAGCGTACATACTCCTGCCCCACATACAGCCTGCCGCACACATATATAAGGGTTGGAACTTTAATAGTGGCAACACTGCTGTAAAGACGCCATGCAAAGAAACCAAAGAATGTTATGTATACCACACATTAGTTACTTACCTACCTTACCTCTCAGCAAAAAGACTCGCCCTTCCTACACATGTGGAGTGACGTGAAGAACTGAGCCTCGTATTAGCTTGCGATCTAAAGTAGATCTTGTCATGATGTTTTCGAAACAAGAACAATGGAGTTAGATAATGACTGAATGTGCCAGAGGTTGTACAGCATGGCAGTGTCATCAAGGTCTTCAAGAGGCTTGCGAGGAATCTGCATTGCCTTACAGAACAGTGGCAAGGGGAGTAAAAGCTTTCAACGAAGGACGCCAAAATGTGGGAGACATGCATCGGCGAGATCGTTCTAGTGTCAGCGAAGCAGATGTGAATGCTATTGCCACACTCGTACACAGTGATTGACGCCATACAATTCGTGAGCTGGTCCGAAACACAAGATTTGCGCATACGACTGTGTTCCACATTCTGAAGGAACGCCTGGTCATGAGAAAAATTGCTTCACGATGGGTTCCACATCATTTGACGGAAATGCAGAAATGGTTACGATACGATGCTTCTTGTACCCACTTGGAGCGCTATGAGCACGAAGCAGAGGCTTTCTTACACTGTATCATTATGCTGGATGAGACTTGGGGCCAGATCGTACCAGCCAGAACTGAAACGCCAATCAAACGAATGGCATCATTATGGGTCACCACAAAGTTTGAAATTTCGTCAGAATCTCAGCAATGTGAAAGTTATGGTGATTCTCGTGTACGACTGTGATAGTGTCATCCTAACGCATACATCAGACCGTCAATGCGCAGTATTACTGCTCATTTTTGGAACACCATCTCAGACCAGCTTTGAGAAAAAAAATGACGACACTTTCTACAGAACGCCCCAATCATTTTGCATGAAAATGCTCGGCCACATGCAACGCAAGCTGTGACAGATTTGCTCGATCAATGGGGCTGGGAAGTGCTGTACCATCCACCATACTCCCCAGACTTAAGCCCTTGGGACTTTGACTTAATTCCTAAGATTCCTAACAGTTCACTTCAGAACTGTTCCAGATATTCTTGCAGTAGTAGACCGCTCCATTCAAACTATCAACAGAACAAGTGCTGCAACAGGTGTCCTACGACTTCCACATCATTTGAAACGGGTTGTACACAATGCTGGTGACTATACTGAAGGAATGTAAAACTTGGTGGCATGTATCACTTTTGTATTAAACGTAAATAAATAGTTGCCACTAGTAAAGTTCCAACTCTTGTATGATTAGGAGGTTGCCTCAGTGGACACTCTTTCCACATTCTGACAGAAATGTGAAAATTCAACAAGAGGCACGAAGAAGTCAATTTTTGGTCCTTCTCTCTGTTTTCTGCAGCTTTGCCCAGTGATAAAGGCATGCTTTGGGTGGTTTTCCCAGCACTGTGGTGCAAGCTTTTGCAATTTGTGGACCTGAGGAAAGAAGAAGAGATTGTGCCCAGTCCAGTTGTGCTGGATTCTGCTCTCCAAGCAGATAGGCTTTACTCCAAACTTTATTGGCATTTCCCAAGATGCTAAGCCTTAGTAATAAACAGATTTGGCACCTTGGATAACTCCTTAAAAGCTGGAATTGATTCATTGCTCTGAGGCTGGATCTACACTGCCTTATAACCCAGAATCTGATCCCAGATTATCTGCTTTGAACTGGATTATATGAGTCTGTACCACCAGATACTCTGGGATAAACAGATATCTGGGATCCAATCCTGGAAAATAGGGCAGTGTAGATCCAGTCTGACATAGGAGTCATCAGCTGCAACTGCCTTACATCTACACAAAAGTAAGCTGTTGAGAAGCCACATTTAGCAACTAGCAGTGGTTCTCAACCTGTGGGTTCCCAAGTGTTTTGGCCTACAACTCCCAGAAATCCCAGCCAGTTTACCAGCTATTAGGATTTCTGGAAATTGGAGACAAAAACATCTGGCAACTCACAGGTTGAGTATCACTAACGTAAGAGGTTGCAAATGCATTCCAATACCATTGCCTCTAAACTTACTGAAGTAATATTTTTCTGTATAGCTATAGTTTTTGTGTTTATACATTATTCTCATCTATAAGGTCTTTTCAAAGCAAAAGGTAGAGGGATATTTAAGCAAATATACAAAATGCCAACCAATGACCTTAGCAGAATGTTTCAAAGGCACATGCTAATTACTACACAAGATAACAGTAATGTGCAAAATTTAAAAGAGGCAAGACATCAGAAGTGATGCATTATTTAGGCCATTTAATGACCTAAAGCACATGACTTTCAGGGATAGCATAAGGTCACAAATGTATGCGCTAAAATGTGTAGCATGACTGGTAACAGAACTGAAACGAGCAATGGCATCAGAAACTGGACTAAGGAAATGTTGTTGTTGTTGTTGCTGCTGCTGTCTTTGTTGCTGTTACCCACCTATCCTCACGGCTCGAGATGGGGACAGCTATCCTTTAATATTTGATAACTACCTAGCAATTGTAACCATGATGCTATTTATCACTACAGCTACCAACACATCCCACTTCCTTCCAAATCCTTGAAATCCAGACCTGAATAGATTGTTGACTGACATCTCCACTTCCAGATGAAATCCCACTGAAAGCATCTATGAGGCCATTGGAATCCAAACTATCTGTGGCATAAAATGTCAAACCTCCTGAAATGTGATTGGTAGAATAAATGAGAATAGGTTGCAGACTACATGCTAAAAGATAACATGCTTTGTAGTAGTGAAACGAAATGAAGTTTTACAAGCACAAATGTCCCTTTTGTCCAGCAGCTTAATGCCCACAGCAATGGTTCTCACCTCCTGTATCTATCCCCAATCCCTATTTACCTCAATGTCTAGTTTAGATTGTGAATAAGGGCCAGACCTAACTGTTCTTAGTGTAGCATCATGTACATCCTGTGCTTCATCCTCCCACCTTTCATTTTCTCTCTATCGTGACACACAGATTCAAAATATCACTTCACTTCCCAACTGTATTTCGAGCTGTGATAAACTGAAAAAAGTGGGGTATTATGAGAAATCACACAGACAACACTCTTCCCATATTTTGGTCCATTCATGTCACAATGACATAATATATGAGATGGAGGAACTCTGCATCTTATCATGAAACGCCAGACTCCCATGTCAGTGGAAAACATGGAAATATCAGGAGCAAGGATGTAAAATATGAAGAAAAGACACTTGGGTTTTTAAATGGTGCACTTCTATATTAAAAATCTGGACTGAAAACAAATATAGGAAATATAAGATGGTAAGGCTCCTCTTCCCAGTGCACTTAAATATGTTGTTTCTCAGGAGTCTAGATTCAAACAATAAGGATCACTACAGTCCCAATTTAGGGAGGGGGGGACTGGTGTCATTTATTCATCCATTTTATTTAATTTGCACCCTGCCTTTCTCTCAATTTGAGATCCAAAGCGGCTTGCATGATGAGTTAGAACAGTAGATTCTACCCAAGATGAGTGGGAGGGGGAACAATTGCATGGAAAAACATTACTTTTAGACAGTTTAAAAAGGCTATTGAAATGATAAAAGATACAGCATACCCCAGTAAAAGGACCTTCTACACCAAACTGAACATACAAAGGCCCGAGTAATCAGAAAGGTCTTCCCTTGCCATTAGACAGAGAGCAGAGAATGGGGCAACCCAACTTCTTGCAGCAAGAAATTCCAGTTATGGAATAGCCACTGAGATCCTTTCCTCCTGAGATCTCACCAAACATGCCTATGATGCTGATAGGATCAAGAAAAGGCTTTCACTTCAAATATCTTAAAATGCAGACAGGCTAATTTGGGAAGAAATGGATTTTCAGGCAGTCTGGTCCTTAATTTGTGATATTGAATGAATCATTTGTCTCAATCTGTACCAAAAGAGTTCCCCTACTTTTTTGTTCTCAGCATCTGATGCTCATCTGTACTCTCCTTCAGCATCTGGGCATCCCATTTGGTTATCATGACTGCTAAGAATTGTTCCATGTGACGACAAAGTGGCAAAGACATTGTGAAATACATTGACACAATGGCTGGGTAGCAACCTACCCAGCTGGCATTATAGAGCACAGAAGAAAAAGCCTTTGATACTTATCTTGCTCATTCACCTGTCATGTCTGCCAGCTTTTCTAGATCATTTGAAGCCTCTGAACCCAAAGCAATGGTATGAATGATGGACCCACTGTTTTGAATCTGAGGAAAACAAGAACGTATGGCCGGATCTTCACCATGTGTCAAAAGCACAATTTCACAGCCTTCTGAACTCAGATATTTTTTCAGAAATATCTATTTGGGGAAAAAGACTTAAGAGTTTTAGCTGCAATGGAAAAAATACTATAGGAAGATAGCTCAAACTCAAGTGTTAAAAAAACATTTCAACAATTTATTACATGGTGTGGTTTGCTCATTATGGGTCAGGGCAACTTTCTAAATCATTATTCACAAAATAAGATACTTGAATATGATGGAATGCCGGTTTTGTTAAATTAGCATAGAGCATTTCACCACATTATGGATCAGGGTACCTTCTAAACTCTTCACAAAATTGATTGCCTGGCTCTTTCTCCCTAGTTGTTCTTCTGCTACAACTGCCATAGCAGATTCCCGCAGTTTCCTAAAAGAGAGAAGTCTAATGACCTAATATAAAAATGGGCACATTCCCTTCACCAGGCCTGCACGATGTAGCAGTAGTAAGCGGCCAAAATAATGGCCCTTCCACAAGCCCTATATCTCAGAATATCAAGACAGAAAAATCCCACAATATCTGCTTTGAACTGGGTTATCGGAGTCCACACTCAGATAATGTGGGATTTTCTGCCGTGATATTCTGAGATATAGGGCTGTGTGGAAGGGCCCTGAAATAGGCTAAACGTCTTTGGAATGCTGGTGGGTTTGCAGGACGGCATTTTTCTCTCAGAGCAAGTATCAAAGTGAATTAGTCTGAATTCCCTCCCCCCCCCCCCTTCAGTGTAGTAGTAAGTTGCAATCCTTTTCTGAGAAAAAGAAGTGGCTCATCTCTTGCTGCCACTGCTCTTCCTTTCTCTTTGCCTCTGGGTTGCCTCTGTCCCACAACAACTTCATGCTGAAGCTGTGATCTCCCTCACACAGGAGGGAAAGAAATGGGAGGAAGCTGGTCGTTGTTCCTACTGGAGAAGGAAGAGACAACAGAGGAAATCCATAGGCAAACTAAAAGGAAGAGCGGTGAAGTTTCTGACAAGTCCCCACAAGCAAAGGGTGCAGAGTTGGCAGTTTTGCCACTGAATGAGACAGAAAGGAAGAGCGACGGAGTCAAGAACCGAGATCTTTCTTCTTTACCGCCTCCTTCTCCCACTAAGTCCTGGGGACCAGATGCAGCCCCCTGGGCATTTACCTTAGGCCCTTCTCATTCTCCCTGTCCCTTCAGCATAAGGATATGGTGGCCCGCCGCATCCTTATGCAGAAAAGACAAGGGAGGAAGGCACATAGCAGCTGAGAGCCCTCTGGATCCACAGCATGTCTCACCCTCCTCTCAGCACAAGGACGGTGCAAGCAGCCCCATCCTTATGCTGACAGAACAGCCTGAGAAAGGCATGCAGCAGCTAAGAGCCCTCCAGAGCACTCTCTGCAACTCACCCTCCCAACATAATGCTGAGAAGACAGTCCGAAGATCGGGGGGGGGGGAGGATCAAGGAGGAAGATCGAGTCAGTTGCCATATGTCTTGTTTTCCTCATGGCCAGAGGCGGCCCTAGGTAATTTTCAACGGTAAGCACACAGTATTTTGGCGCCCCCCCCCCCTTCCAACCAATCATTGATATATATTTTCTATTCATCGTGGGAGTTCTGTGTGCCATATTTGGTTCAATTCCATCATTGGTGGAGTTCAGAATGCTCTTTGATTGTAGGTGAACTATACATCCCAGTAACTACACTTGCCGCACTTGCTCCCTTGCCTGGCCCGCTTGGGTCCGGAGGTGTGCCTGAAGACCCCGGCGTGTGCACCAAAAGTCACCTCTTCTCCTGACTTTCTCCTCAGCCATTGGGACCAAGAGAGAGAGAGAGAGAGAGAGGTGGAGATGCCCACCTTTCCTGAAGGTAGGCGCAAAAACAAAGGAGGGAGCGGAGGTGGGAGATACCTCCAGCCGGAGGGGCTCTCTCTCTCTCTCTCTTGGTCCCAATGGCTGAAGAGAAAGTCAGGAGAAGAGGCGACTTTTGGTGCGCACGCTGGGGTCTTCAGACACGCCTCCGGACCCAAAGCGGGCCAGGCGCGGCGGCTCCGCCCCTTGGGCCACCCGTGGATTGGGGAGAGGAGAGGAGGCGGGTGGAGTGTTGGGGGATTGGGAAAGGGAGCCGGTCATGGGGAAGGGATCGAACGCGGAGAACGATTGAGCGCCGGCTCTGCTCACGCACCCGGTGGCCGGGTGGAGCAGGAACGAGAGGGGCTAGGTGAGGCTCAAGGGCCCGGCCCCTTTGGGAAGAGGATCGCCCGGCAGCGAGGCAAGAAAGCCGAGGCTCCCCCCGGACTGCTAGGGCTGTTGTGAGCTGAGGGGGCGCTCCTCAAGTGGCGGTCGAGGGGCATTTACAGAGGCGCCTCTGCACCCCTGGCAAAAAAAAGTGTTCTGCGACCGCTTACTTCGCGTAATGAACAAGCCGCCCCTGCTCACGGCATAAGGAAAATCCATAAGGAAAATTCCATCTTGTCTTCTGCCTATAACATCACTTGAGAGGCCCCTCCCCCTTCTGGCCAATCAACAGCTACTCTGGCCAGAGTGAAGACAGAGGGAAGCAGAAGACACTTCCATCTTGTTTTTACTAATAATATAATATAGTATATTGTATATACATATAATTATAATATTATAATGTAATACATATAATATATAATATATAATTATATATTTTATATTACATGTACATATTACTAATAATTACAATATAATGGTATAGTTCAATATAGTAATATATACTGATATTGCACTATGCTAATAATATAATGTATTGTATGAAAATATATACTGTAAGCCGCTCTGTGTCCCCTTTGGGGTGAGAAAAGCGGCATATAAATGTCGTAAATAAATAAATAAATAAATAAATAAATAAGGCTGGGGTGAGCAGCCCCATCCTTATGCCAAGGGGACAACCTGAAGATGTCCTGGGCCCCACCCTGCCCTCTCCCTCCCGCCCAGCCAATTTGGTTGGTCTCATAATGCGGCCCCAAGGCAAAAAAGTTTGTCCACACCTGCTCTAAACCAACCAATCTAATGTGAAATTCGAACATAATCTGAAACCCACTAATTCAACCTCCCTGACTAAAGGTCTGATACCCCTTAACATTTCATCCCCGCTCCCTATAATGCCAAACTGAGTCCAACAATCTCCATCTTGGATCTATTGTTGGTGCTCCCTTTGTCACAGGTTAGTTTAGCAACTTTGGTGCATACAGAAAGGAAGTGTGTAAAGGAAAAATACTTGGAAAAAGGAATTGTTGGTTCCAATTTCTACTTTGCTGTTGCACTGCATGTGACCGCCCTCTCTAAGACCGATGCTCAGAGCCTCTGTGGGCTGCATCCAACCCAGCCCCTGGGCCACATGTTGTGCACAACTGCCCTCCACCAATATACTAAAAGGGAGATAATAATTACTGCTGGAAACACACAGGGATATACCATTGCTCTTTCAGTCAACCTTCATAGATTAGAATGCAATTGCCAGGCTTTAAAATCCCTTTGCGTGCTCTCTCTTGTGTTCATCTATTTGACAGGGGGGAAACACATGTGGAGCTTGCAAAAATTCCTCCTTTTGCAGTAGATTGGGATGTATACAATGCTTTTGTAAAAAAAAATCCCCCTTCACCTGAAATCCTGCAAGCACGCCTTCACATATTTTACTTTCTCCAACGGCTGTGGTAGGAAGATAGCTTGCAAGAGTTTGGCGCACTCTGTCATTGACAATCTTTTGCAACACACTCTTGGTGGCTGCATCCTTATTGAATGTTACAATTCCAACCCAGGATCCGCTTTCAATAATTTGAAGAAGAAACAATTTTGCAGCTTGGTTCAGCCGACCAAGACGATTTTCCTGCATTGGGAGAGGGGGGTGCATAAGATGAAATTAATCAAATTTAGACAACTCCATAAAGATTCATTTCAGTGAGGCTTGGAATGTGCTTTTGTGTGTTCATGGCTTTGTTTGGTACATTCTCTCTTGTCTGTTGTCCTTATCAGCCAACTTTCAGAATGTAGCATATGTTTCATTCTTTTTATTCGTCTCACACAGGCTACTCCAAGGTCATGGTCAATGGATGTGCTGGATCACAGTTCCCATAATTGCTGCTTAATGCTGGTTGGGAATGAGGAGCACAATAGTCCGGGATAGAAAATTGAGGGGACATCAATTTAGGAAAGGTAACCCCATATCTTTTCCATTACCTTTAAAGATTTATACTATACCTTTCAATCATGATTCCCTAACCCAGAGGTATCAAACTTTTGGCCTGCCTGTTGTTTGAGCCTCCAACTCCCAGAAGTCAAATGGCTAGGAATTCTGGGAGCTGAAGTCCAAAACACTTGGAGGGACACACATTTGAATAAAGGAAAAGCAACATTCTTAAGCTATTCAGACTATTGACAGATGCACCCTCCGTTTTAATTTTCTGCTGTGTAATTTCTTTCCAAGTTCTTTTTAAAAATAATTTTAAATTGAATATTTCCAGATTTTTTCACTCAAGAGGGAAAAATGGAACAGTCAAGTAAAAAGCAAAAAGGAGAGGTAGGCACAACTGAGTTATTGTTAGTAGGTTAACTCTTTACAAATACTGGTATCTAATATGTTTCTGGGGAATAGGGAGGGGGTTGAGGGAACAGAGGGAAAGACATTGTACAAAATCATAGTTGTTACATCTAATTCTTCAACACATTACTTAAAGTATTAAAATATTACAAATTCCATATATTATAGACAGCAAAAAAGGGATAGTATAATCATCGAATTTAAAAACCCAATAGTTGTGTCTTCTTATATTTTCTGTATTATTCCATGTTCTTCTTGTCTTCGTTAAAAGTTCATCTTGAATGTTCTTATTGAGATTATTTCTTAGCTCTTTTAACTCTTTTATCAAATTATAATTATTTTCTAAATAATCTAAAGGTTTAATTTAATCTGTTAGTTAGTAAATTAGTATTGTGCAGACAAAATTTTACTATATATCACTATTATTCTCTCTCCCCCCCCCCCCCAACAATCCAAATCTGGTTAAGGGGTACCAACTTCTCTGTTATCCATGGATTCTTAATGAGGGATTGATAACTATTACGAAGTGTATAAGTAGGATAATAATAGTATCTTTTTAGCCAACAAGTCCTGAAATCTGTATCTTTTTGAAATTATTTTGTATGTTTATTAGTTATATAGCTGAAATTAGTTTGTTCATTTCTACCATTTCACAAACTCTTATGCTCTATCCAAAGTTTATCAAAATTACAATTTTCTTGACATCCATTTTTACATGCTCCCCTTGTTTTCATCAGACGATTGAGTCTCTTAATCTCCTTATGACAGACGCTACAGCCATATCTCTAAACATTTTTTTCTTGTAGAAAATTTGCCCCAAATGATTGGCCTATCTGTTTCTACACATCAAGTTCTTGCATTCTGAACTCCGCCACAAAATTTTGGATTAGTATCCTTTTCCAACTTTGAGCCACATCAGGAGTGCCTCCCAGTCTGACTTGAGACTGCCCCTGCAGACCATCTAACCGTTTCATCTGTATTTTTTCTTGCAGAACTTACATCTGGGGATCATTCTGCTTTGGCCCAATTGGTTCCTTTCTACTTGATTTTGATCTTGTGTGTCATCAATTCGCTCTTTCATTATCTCCACCTCATTCGGTTCCTTCCTTGCATCCTACTGCATCATCTTTGATTAGTCAGTTTCATGAACTAGAATTCCCAGACTGATGTCTATTGATTGGCTCTTATTCAAGATATCATCTAGTACAGTGGTTCACAACCTGTGGGTCCCCAGGTGTTTTGGCCTACAACTCCCAGAAATTCCAGTCAGTTTACCAGCTGTTGGGATTTCTGGGAATTGAAGGCCAAAACATCTGGAGACCCACAGGTTGAGAACCACTTCTCAAGTATGTCCAACTTATTATTAACCATGTTCACTGATTCATCAGAGTTTCAAACTGTTTATTTAAATATAATCTTTATTAATTTTTTTGTTACACAATAGTTTAAAAAGATTTTGATGGGAGGAGGGGGTGAAGAAAAGAAAGTAGTGGCAGTGCGGGGGGTATAGAGATAAAGGAATGTCATAGACGTATAGTAGAGGTAAGTGTATCTATAGAGAGGGGAGGGATAGTTAAAAGTGAGAGAAGTCAAGAAATGATGTAGATAGTAGTTTCTTTCTAAGTTGACTTCCAGGATTCGTCGAGGTTGGTCTCTTCCTTTTCTTTTTTCCTTTCTTCATTTTTCGTCTTTTTATATTGCTTCCTATTTGTCATTTGTTTGTAGTTTATTTAGGTAGTGTTCCTTCTTTGTGCTTATTTTAGATATTCCTCAAATTTTTCCCAATCTGTCTCTGTCTCTTCTATTCCTTTACTTCTTTGGAGGAGATAACTCAGTCCGTCCATATTCTTCACGTCCATCATTTTCTTTTTCCATTCCTCAATTTTTGGTGTCTCGTTTTTTCTCCATAACTTTGCGTAGCACATTCGCGCAGCAGTTGATGAGAGGAATATCAGTTTTTCAGTGTTTTTTTCAATCTTGTCATTTATGATTCCCAGCAGAAACGTTTCCGGTTTTAAAGGGATTTGGATTTTTAGTATTTTTTGTAATATGGTATGTATCTCCCTCCAATATTTTTTTGCCTTTTTACATTTCCACCATGTGTGGAAAAAAGTCCCCTCTTCTATGCCACATTTCCAACATTTTGGGTTGACATTTTTATAATATTTATTTAATTTGTATGGTGTCATGTACCATCTGTAAAATAATTTTACCCAATTTTCCTGCATATCATAAGCTTTTAAGTACTTATTTTTCTTCCTCCACACCTTTTCCCAATCATCTAGTCTTATCGTTCTACCTATGTTTTTAGCCCACTTCACCATACAGTCTTTCACTTCTTCTTCTTCCGTGCTCCACTTCAATAGTTCTCTATATATTTTGGATATTTTCTTCTTTTCTGTGTCCCAAATTTTATTCCATTTGTTCTCTTTTGTCTCAAATCCCATTTTCTTGTCCTTTCCGAAATATTCTTGCATCTGCCAGTACTGTAGCCATGTTATATTTTTGTATGTTTCTTTAATTTCCTCCATTGATTTTAAGCTTCTTCCTTCCCTGTCTACCTTTAACACATCTTTATATTTCGGCCATTTAATCCAACCTAGTTCTTTCTTTTGGCATGATTCTAGGGAGGAGACCCATTCAGGTGTCTTCTCATGCATCCTTCTCTTGTATTTATTCCATGTTCTTATAATTGCCGCTCTTAGAAAATGATTCCCAAAATTTTTTTCTACCTTTAACTTTTCGTACCAAACGTACGCATGCCACCCTCTTCTCAGGTCATAACTTTCTAGGTTTAATAGTTTTTCTTTTCTCAATTGCATCCATTCCGAAGCCCATGCTAGGGCGCATGCCTCTGCATATATTCTCAAATCCGGTAGTGTTAATCCCCCTCTTTCCTTTTCATCAGTTAAATTTTTAAAGTTTATCCTGGGTTTCTTTTTTAGCCATATGAATTTTTTAATATCTTTATTCCACTCTGTAAATCCTTTTTGGTTCCTGATTATTGGTAGATTTTGGAATAGGAATAGCATTCTCGGCAACACATTCATTTTTATGCATGATACTCTCCCCAATAGTGATATTTTTAGATTTTTCCAATTTTCTAAGTCCTTTTTTATTTCCTTCCATGTTTTTATGTAATTGTTTTCCAATAGTTGTGAATTCTTTGGTGTGATTGTAATCCCTAGATATTTTATCTTTGATACTATTTTTATTTTCCATATTTCTTTTATTTGTTCTATTTTTTTCCTTGATATGTTTTTGGTTATTGCTTCTGTTTTATCTAAATTTAATTTAAACCCTGCTACCATTCCGAATTCGTTAATTGTCTCCATCCATCTTTTCAGATTTTTGTTTGGTTCCTCAATAATACATATATCATCTGCGAAGGCTCGGCATTTATAAGAGTGTCCTTTTATACTTGCCCCTTTTAATTTCGTATCATCTCTAATGTTATTTAATAAAATTTCCAGAGTTAATATAAATATTAACGGCGACAGTGGGCATCCTTGTCTAGTCCCTTTCTTTATATCTATTTTTTTGTCTCTTGTCCATTTACTACGATTTTTGCGTTCTGTGTTTTATATATTGCCTCTATCGAATTTCGGAAGTAGAAACCCATATCCATTTCTCCAATTAATAATTTAAAGAAATTCCAATTTACTCTGTCAAAAGCTTTTTCCACGTCTATAGCTAAGAACATTGCCTCTATTTTTTTTTCATAATATTCGATTAGATCAATTATTGTTCGTACGTTTTCACTTTGGTTCCTGCCAGGGAGAAAACCCGATTGTTCCTCTTTTATCCATTTAACTAAGAAATTTTTAAATCTATCTGCCAGGATGCTGCTGAATATTTTATAATCTATGTTTAAGAGAGATATTGGTCTATAATTTTCTATTCTTTCTGGATTCTTATTCTCTTTTAAGATTACACATATGTTTGCTTGTTTCCATGTATTCGGTATCTCTTGTGTCTCTCTAATTTCATTTATTACTTTTTTTAAGTATGGCGTTATCTCACTTTGTAGTTTCTTGTAGTATATCGCGGTGAATCCGTCTGGACCCGGGGCTTTGTTTACCTTTAGGTTTTTTATTGCCTTTATAATTTCTTTTTCTGTTATTTCTTTGTTTAAGGCTTCTCTTTCTTCTTCCGTTATTTTTTGAATTTTCATTTTTTCTAAATATTTCACAATGTTTTCATTTTTTATTTGTTCGTCCTGGTATAATGATTTATAGTATTTCTCGAATTGGGCTTTTATTCCTTTCTCTTCTGTGTGTACTTTTTCT